AAAAGCGGTGTTCCGCGGAAATCGGAAGAGATTCGAGGAAAAAAAAAGATCTTGATAGCCGAACTGGGTTACATTCGAGAAAAAGCGAGCCGAGAAATCATTCTCAACATGAGATTGTTTCAAAACGTTGTCTTTGGAAGTTCCTCAGTTCATTATTATTGTTTTAGTTTTTCATCACATTTTTTCGAAACTCGCTTTTTCAATGATATATCAGTTTTAATCTTCTATCAGTTTCAATCAGCTTTTATTTTCCTGAATATTCTGGTCCTGATTAATTTCCTCCCGTGGATAGGCTGGAAGCGGCTGTGAAATGTTTGCGCCCGACCTGAAACGACTTGCGCGTCGAGACAGTGTAAAACATTAGAGCCGGATTTTAAGAAGGCTAGAGACTCTAAAAACGCACAAATATACGTTTTACTCCTCTACCATCTTTACTCAACTTTCCTTTTTCCGAATTATTCCGGTCTTGGTTCATTTTCACCCGTGGAATGGCTTGAAGCTTGGAAGCTGTTCCCGACCTGTAACAGCTTGCGCGTCAAAGTATAAAAAAGCACGAGAGCCATTTTTTTTTTTAATGAAACCTGAAGACCCTCGTAACGCAAAAGTATCCGCTTTCCTACCCGATTAGTTTTGATCCATTTTTATTTGCCGTAATCATTTGGTTTTCGCTTGTCGAATGGCTCGAAGCGGCTTTTAAAGGATTGCACCCGACCTGAAACGGTTTGCGCCTCAAGGCGTCGAGAAGCCTTAGATCCAGGTTTAAAGACGGAGACTCACCCAAGGCAAAACATCCTTTTTACTCTTCTAAAATTTTTACTCAACTTTGTTTTGCGGAAAATTCTGGCCTTTATTCTTTGTCTCAACGATTGGAATGGCTCGAAGCAGCTGAAAAATGACTGCACCCGACCTGAAACGGTTTGCGCGTCAAGGCATCGAGAAGCGTTAGATCTAGGTTTAAAGACGGCTAGAGACTCTCGCAACGCGAAACATCCGTTTTACTCTTCTAAAATTTTTACTCAACTTTGCTTTTTGGAATATGCTGGCCTTGTTTCTTTGTCTCAACGAGTGGAATGGCTCGAAGCGGCTGAAAAATGACCGCGCCCGACTTGAAACGGTTTGCGCACGGAGGCATTGAAAAGCATCACATTCAGATTTTAGGAGGGGCTAGTGATTCTCGATATTTCTCATCTTTCTCTTCTTTTTTTTCCAAATTTTCAATTTTTTTTGCAACTTTATTCACCTTGCAAGTTTCCAAGGAAACCGGGGGGCGCGATAAAAAACAAGTCTATTTGAAATGTTTCAGATGATATCAAAGAGTGCTTGAAATAGCCTCTCAAGTAAAATTATACATATCAGGCTTATCCGAACCCCATGGCAACGCTTTTTTTTTTGATTCCTCTCATTGTTTATATCCTGATTTTTCAGGACCTTATAGAAATATTCGATAGGAGCGTTTCAAAATCTTTTTCGACTTAGAATTTTGCAAATGTTTCGAATTTTCAAGAAATAAAAAATTTGCTTTAAAAGCTCGTAACCCTTTAGGAGCTACTAGAACTTTTATCAGAACTCTGAAAAATTGTATTAATTTACGGAAAACTTCCGTATTTCATGAGGTGTAACGATATATCGTTTTCTTCAACCGATTTCGAAGAATTCAGAGAAATTTGAAAAATTTCCTATTCTGCTTCAAAAAAAACTTCAAAAAAAGCTTGAGATTCAAAAAAATTCAAAAAAAATCTTGAGAAAAAAACGGAGATTATTTCGAACTTTTTTTGAACGAAGATTATTTTTGAATACGGTATGTGCAAGAGCGCCTCAGTGCATGCACACGGCACACTACACTTTACGAAAAAAAATATGGGCGGGGCGTCATTAAAAAAACGATTTATTATAGCTTTCTAGTATATTTCTCGTTTCAAACTCTATATGTTCTTCTTATTATTTTTTTTTCGTAATTCGACCCTTTTTTCAATTTTCATCAAGTTATTTTTTTCATTTCAGCCTCAGCCTCGTGGAATTTTTCACCTGTACGCTTTTTTTTTTACAAAGTTTTTCGTTCGAAAGCTTTTCAGTTTAATGTTTTGATTTTACGCCTCTTCTTGTTCGTTTTTTTCGTTCTTTCGAAATCATTTTTCCGTTGATTTTTATTTTTATTTTTTTCTTTCTTGAAAACTCATTTTTCTAGCTACTTTTTCCTGTTAGAAGTTGATAAATTGACCAGGAAGTTCTTAAGTTCACTCATTACAACTTTCCAGGGAAAAGAATCAAACGAAAAAAACCAGAATAATCAAACTTGAGTTTCTTTTTTTATTTTTTTTTTGGTTTTTTTATTTTTGAACAGAACTCCAGAGTGGTCCCTATGGGGGGCAACCTCAGGGGCCCTTGGAGGGTCTCCTCTAAGGATCACAGTACCAACCCCTATAGGGACCCCTTACGCTTGAAAAGTGGTCTCTATAGGGGTTTCAGTTAGTGGCCCCTATAGGGGACATGCTAGTCGATAATTTCTATGAACTCTGTGCATAAAACTGAAAAATTAAGCGTATTTTGATTAAAAATTGGAAGTCCACTATAGGGACCACTTGAGCCTAAGGGGCTAAGAGGTTAGACCCTAAACCCCTATAGGGACCACTTTGATTTTACCTTTACAGTGACCACTTTTTCGGCCCAATAGGGGCTGTTTATGTCCCTAATCACTATAGGGATCACTCAAAAACTCCAAAGATGCTTTCCTCTGGAAAAATGTTGTGAAATGGCAACATGGTGACTCAGACTAAGCCAAGAAATTTATTCAAAATGAAACGGAGTTCTCTTTCAGGAAAACCTATTTCATCATAGTTTTCATCGTTTTATATCAATATTTTCTTCAAACGAGGTATTTTCTGCCCATTTCCAGTGGACTCAGCGTCGTGTGAAAATAATCCTAAAGTTTGTCTAGTGGTCACTTAAGAAGTCCCTCAAGGACTACTTGGAGATGACACTAAACTGTCAATATTTTGCCTCTTTGCGGTCACTATTGTAATTATGTTTTTAAGGGTTTATAATCTACCTTTAGGGGGCATTATAACGTCAAACCCCTAAAGTGGACACTAAAAATAGGTTGGACTTTTCGATGGTTGGACCTAGTTCATCTAGTTTAGTTCATTCATATAATCTTATTGTATTTTTTTAAAGGAGCAGAGATAGAACTTATAAATTGTTTTTGAAAAAGAAGAATCTTTTTCGAGTTTTTTTTTTTGAATTCCAACTTCACTTCTAGGTCTTGGAGTCCTACAGTAACCTGCTTTGAAGTTCTCAAAAACCTCCCTTCAAAACTTGTATTCAAAGGAGCAGTAGAATTTCTCATAGTTTATTAACACCGTCTGCCTAAATGACTTGAAAAAAGCTTTAAAAATGACTTTTCGCCTCGAGACCTCCATAATTTTTTTTTCTCATGCTCCTTTAAAAATTATCGCGAGCATTTATGATTTTGTTATATTTCGCTTGAAACGATTTTTGTTGAAGGCTGTAGTACGTCTCATAGTTCATTCATAACAGCCTTCTAAATAATTAGAAGGTGTAAAAATTACTATTAGAAAGGCTCTTCGCCTCGACCTCTATGAATGAACTAAAGGTCGACTCAAAACAAGTAAACAGATTTCGAAACGCCGTCCCATCAATGCATATTCCTGACTTGTCCGGCGACGAAAACGGACGGAAAAGGAGGACATATCGGTGTGGAAATATATGCGTCGGATGTTGAGACAACGGGTCGATCGTCGACACTTATAGAAAGAGGAGAAATAGGGAGGAGAGGAGGAGGAGCGGGCTGGCCGAACGGGAGAAGTGGAAGAAACAACGCTCACAAACACACTCACTCACCGCAATTTTGGCCTCTCTCTCTTTCTTTCTTTTTTTCTCTCGTTTGCCTCGCATCAAACGCTCACCAACACGCATTTATAAACACTCACCGCACAAGAGAAAGAAAAAACACAGCTCAAAAAAAAAGCACACTCACTCCGGGATTCGAAAAAAAACCTCATTCCTTGCAAACTTTCAAGTATCACATCACCTTAAATTAATCGTAGAAATTTTTTTTTTCCGAATCAACAAAAAACAGCCGTTTCGCCGTTGTGTCGGAACCTTTTTGAAATTCGCGCCCAAAATTCTCGCCGCATGACGAATCGCACGCCCACGCAAATGCCCTGCATACTTTCAATGGAATTTCGCTTTGTTTTTGTTTTCTTTTGATGCTTTTTATTCCAAAATAGACTATCTAATGTATTTTGATAAATTCTCCCATTTCAAGGAGAAGATACGTTTCGCCTGTTATTATTATTTTTTTGATTTGTATTTTTGCATATTGTTCGGACGGTTTTTCTGTTAGCCCGAATATTTAATTATATGTTTAATTTAAAAAAATTTCAGTTATTCGAATACCTTTTGCTTGAAGAAAATGGAGTTTTCAGAAATCAGCTGATTTTTGTTTTTTCCTACTCTGTTTATTTCCAAACTGTCAACTTTAAATAATTTTTTAACGTTTTTTTAAGGGAAAAAAACGTAGTTATTTTTTTCATAAGTTCAATCAATTTTTTTAAAAAAATTATATCTTCAACGCGTTATCCAAGTTGAATGGTATTTTTTATCAGCTCTTTTTTTAGTTTTTCTTCTTTTTTTCTCTTCATTTGTGTGTTTATTTTTTTCTGTATACGTTTTTTTAATGTAAAAAAATTTGCTGCGGATTTTTTTCAAAATAAGTTACGTTTTGTACCATTCCGCAATTTTTTTTGTAGCTTTCTGTTAACTTTGTCGTGTTTACAACATAATATTTTTCCAAAGTTCTCTCTTTTTAAACAGCGACTTTGCTAATTTCTATAGGAAATAATTTGATCCGAGCTATTTTTGAAGCAATTTTTCGAAGAAATATCCTTTTCCGCTGGTTATTATCAAATTTTACACGCGTATTTTGCAGAGAAGCGCCTGATATGTGAGAAAAAAGGGAAAAGCAGTAGAAAACGAATAAAATGTCGACTGATAATGGTGTCGCGACGCTGCGATCCGGCGAGCTCATCGACCTGATGGCCGCCTTGGAAGTCAGCGGCACCGAGAGCCCCGAAAGCGAGGCCAAATCCCTGGAATCTTATTCGAAGGTTGGTTTTTTCAGTTTTCATCATGAAAAATCAGAGAAAAGATGGAAAAATGGGCTTTTTTGTGTAAAAATTTCGTGAACTCCATTATTTCTGAAAAAAATTCCGTAGTATAATTAAATTGTGTCCTTCAGTTTCTTAGATGCGGTTAAAATGAAACTTGAACAAAACAAAAGTTGAAAAGACGGGAAAAATCACCAGAATTCTACTCAAAATTCGGTTTTATTCAAATTTTGTGTTGCGCTTGGAAATAAACTGCTTTTTTAGTATTCATTTTATTTAATTTCGGAGGAGAAACAGAAGTGTTGACGAACTTGAAGTTTTTTGAAACGGCTCTTCTCTGCGAGACCTTTTAAAGATGCAACGGTGCTCCTTTAAAATTTTATTTTTACTGGTTTTGAATTATATGGTACACTTCTAGCCTTTAAAAAGGCCCCAGAAGGGGTTTTGAATTTTTCCAAGAGTTTTATATATTTTCCATGACTTTTGACCGAACATTTTTTCATTTTTTATCGTTTTTCAGCACTTCAAAACCAAAGAGATCTCCGTGCCGCGGACGGTTTTTGTGGAGAAAGAAGAGCTTTTCCACAAAAAGCCCTTCAAAATGCCCAAATCGTATATAGTTCACAATCCGGAGATCAACTACGACAAGGTCGTCGAGTACGACTGTGACGAGGAGGTGCGATTTTATCCAAAAATCTCGAAAATGTTTGATTTAATAGAAAATTTGAACTTTTTAGGTTATTTTCATCAAAATTTATGTGTAAAAGAAGCTATGAGAAAATCCAGAAATATTCAATTTTTAGGACTACGAATGGCTGAAAGAAATGGAACCGATCCGGAAAAAAAGGAGAAACAAAAAGACGATCACACCGACGGATTTCGAATTCGTCATGGATCGGCTGGAAAAAGGAGTGCTCCTTCAAGGTATCGACAGAAGAATCTTAGGAACCCTAGAGTGGTCCCTAAAGGGCATTCAAAGATTCCCCTCTAGGGATCATTTTAACTCCCCTGTAAGGGGCACTAAACCTTGCAAAAGTGACCAATTTTAGTTCTTGAAAGATCCCTAATGGGACCACTTAAGGTATAAAGGTTTAGTGTCGTGCTCTAAACCCCTATAGGGTCCACTTAAATTTTGCCTCTCTAGGGAACACCATATAGTCCTCCGCGGACCCCTCTAGGGACCACTCTGGCGTTCCTCAGTTCAAACATTTCTTTTTCGAGTTTTGAGAACTTCGCGTTGATTTCAATTATGGTTATTCTGATTTTTGGTTACAATTTTTTTTTTCATTCTTGGTTTTCTGTTCATAATGTCCTTATCAGGGGGATTGGCTATCAAATTTGATATATAACTTTTTTTAAAACGCTTTGAGCTGTAATTTTCCAGGAGAACCCAAAATTTGAGGGTTATTTTTGATTTTACTCTTTCGAAGCACTTTTTTTGGATAACTTGTTTTTTCTTCATTTTTTATACTTTCTCGTGAAGTTTTAACGTCTTGAAAACGAAAATTCAAACATGCTTCGAAACATTTTTGAAATATCTTTTCAAAATTCCTAAACGGATATTTTTGAACTTTCATATCTCGGTACTATGCTAGAATATTTCAATTTTTCATTTTTTGTCGATTTTCTTAAATTCAATGCTTCTGTATGTGAGATCAGTCATCAGATTTTCAAACCCATATCTTCAAAAAAATTTCATTTTTCCAGGCCTCTGGCGGGAAAAACAACTCGAATCAAGCCGGAAACAGTTCGATCGACGCCGACGACGTCTGCTGCGTGTGCTCCGATGGCGACGTTTCCAACGCCAACCAGATCATCTACTGCGACATGTGCAACATTGCCGTTCATCAGGTTTCAGATAAGAAAAATATTTTTTTGAGCTAGGATTTATCATAAGCCCGGTTAAATTGATGAAGTTAAAAATTTAAAAAAAATGTACAATTTCGGGGCAGTTTTTCATGATAAGCTATTTTCCCTATCAAAAAAAATGATTTTTTTTTCCAGAAAAATTTCAAATTTTGTCCGCTTAACCATCTATCCAAAGACGCTAGACTCGAAAAATCCGCGATTTTTTTCAAGAATATTCCATTTTTTTAGGTGTTTTTATGAAAAAGTACACTCTAGGGATCACTTGATCGTGATTTTTTTCTAATTTTGTGATATGTCATGTGTAATGTTAAAATTGAGCGACATTCTTGGAAAATCAAAAAAAGTTTTTTTAAGACGTTTTTTAAATTTCGAGACTTTCCGTTTGCTCCATTGGATTTGCCATGAAGAAAAATCAAAAAAACTGGAAAAAATTTTTTCTTTCAATTTTTGGGTACAACTCGTGTTTAAAGTAATTTTCGCGAAATTCAAAAATATCTCTGACTCTCCTAAATTTAGTGATCTTTTCCTCTTCCTGACCGCTTTTTTTTTTGTGCAATCACTCTGAAAACGGAATAAAGACTCGAGAGTCAGAATAAAGCGGGAAAAATTTCGAAATCTGTCGAAAGTATTTTTTTTACGAGAAGGACCCAATTTTCAGGACTGTTACGGTGTCCCCTACATCCCGGAAGGCTCGTGGCTCTGCCGCAGGTGCAAAATGAGCCCCTCGCAGGCCGTTTCCTGCTGCCTGTGTCCGAACCCCCACGGCGCCTTCAAACAAACTTCCGACGGTCGTTGGGCTCATGTCGTTTGCGCTATTTGGCTCAATGAGGTATGGAAATAAAAAAAGGGCTCAAAATTGGTGGTTATTTCGAAAAATGTGAAATATGAAACGTGAATAGATGCATTTCAATAAGAAAAAGGGGTTAAAATTGGTAGAATTTTTTTTTAAAAATTTGAAAATCAAGTCATTTTTCCATTTTTTTTTTGTCAAAGTTAGGTTGGGCTCATGTTCTCTGGATCAAATAGGTATTTGAATTTTTAAAATATTCGGCTGAATTTGGTGGATTTTATTTTTAAAAAAACGTGAAGAAGGGAAGGTGACTCGAAGCATTTTTTTATAGGAAAAAAAGGGACAGAAATTTTTGACTCGAGGCATTTTTGTTAAAATGGAAAAAGGGGCCTTAAATTGGTTGATTTTATCCGGAAACTATGTAAAATAGTAGGTTATTTTTTTATATTTTTTTCATCAAATTATTAAAACTTACAAAAAAAAGCCGTATATTAACGGCATTATTCAATAGATTTTCGAAAAATTTGATTTTTGAGCTAGTCAAAGACCTTTTTGTTGATTTTTAAAAAATGCTTTTTTGAATAATACAACTGGCTTTTTAGATCGATCACATGTTTTCTCTTTAAAAAAAATTTATCGCCTTGAAACTGATCAATTTTTGTTTCTTCAAGACGTTATCTCTGAGTTTTATAGGTTCATTTCGGCAACGCCGTCTTTTTGGAACCAGTTGAAGGCGTTCAAACGTCGTTGAATGTCAGAGCGAGGCTACGATGTCTCATTTGCAGGTTTGGAATGGAAAACAGAGGGTAAATAAAAGTGCAAAATATTTATAAGGAAGAAAAAATCAGAATTTTGAGCTCTGAACCAGAAATTACATTTTTCTTGGCTTTTTGAGCTTCAGAACCTCACAATTTTGAGTAGTTGTTTTTAAGCCCTTTTTTGAATTTTCAGGGGTTCTTGGAGTTTGTAGATTTTCAAAATTGGCTGTTTCAGGATCAAAAATTACATTTTCATAGACTTTTTCAGTCTAAGAACCATTATGAGCAATCTTTTGATTTTTTAAGGGCCATTTTTTTTAGAATCTAGGGATTTCTGGAGTTTGTAGATTTTCAAACTTCGCTGTTTCAGAAAGAAACAGGGCGCGTGTGTGCAATGTTCGACGCGAAGTTGTGTCCAGGCGTTCCACGTGACGTGTGCCCAGCGTCTGGGACTCGTCATGCGCGTCGAGACAAAGGAGAACGCCGAGACTTCGGATGACGTCGACGTCAAGGTGCTGAAAAAAATAATTAGAAACTTGGGAATCGAAAGAAAAAATCAAAGTGTCCCCAATCTTATAATAAGCACCGGTGGAAGTAAAAAAGTACTTCCTAAAAGAAAATCTTTTGTTGCTCTCTCCATGATCTTAAAGATAGGAAAGCGGTGGAATTTCCATTTCTATAAGGTTCCATCGATTTTCGAAACCTGAAAAGACCTTTTTTTTAGCATAAAAATAATAAAATTGAAGTTTCTCCGAATTTATAAGCTCCCAAGTACAAAACTGTTCCTCTTCCCTGAAAATAACTTCTTTTTTTTCCTTCTAGAAATATTTGTTCCTTTTCAAAAGCTTTTCTATAAGTTCCCACTGATGAGAAATGAAGTAAGAATCTCGGCGAAATCTGAAAAAGAAGACATCGAAGTTCTAGTGTTTTTCAAATTTTTCAAAAAATCTGATAAAAGAAAGAAATCCAAGTACTTTCGAACTTTCAGCGGTTCATCCACTGCCTGAAACACGGCAACGACGGGAAACACAACATGAATCGACGGCAACACGATGAATGTTTAAGGAGGGCGAGGAGGAGTCTCGCCGCCAGTTCCTACACTCCGACCATCAAGTTTGACTTTTTTCTGAACGTCATTGTGGTCCCTATAGGGGCAATCTTAGGGGCTCTTGGAGTTTCTCACGGTACCATTTTACCTGCATTAATAGGAATCACTGAAGATTTCAGTTCCTTCTTCTAACCTCTATAGGGGCTACTCTGCAGTTGCTAAGCTTTTTATCATTTTTAAAGTATCCATTTCGTTTTCGTTAATTTGTTGCCTTGGCGTTGAGCTTTTGGCGCTTCAAAACAGTATTATCTGCGCCCGACCTTGAGCGATTTCCGCCCAGTGTTATACCCAGAGCGCGCAAGTAGTTTTTGGTCGGATGCTCAAGAAATCCGAGAACTTTTAGTTGTATAATACAGAATACTCTGTTGAGATTTAATTTTTTACTTGCGCCCGACCTTGAGCGATTCCCACCCAGGTTGTACATGATACCCAAGCGCAACTAGTTTTTGGTCGGATGCTTAAGAAAACCGTGAACGTTTAGTTGTAAAGCATATGAAAACTGTCTTTAACTCCGGAAAAATAAATTTCAATCGTTCATTTTGCAGCATGCCGACGATTTCCAAGGATTCTATAGAAGGGATCACGGAAAGGTCCGGAATTGGAGACATTTCCGAGATTACGACCTATTGGTACCTTAAAAGGAAGTCTCGACGCGGTGTTCCACTTATCCGACGGTTACAAGTTGAAGTAAGAATTTGAAAAAAAGTTTTTTTCTCAAAAAGGGTTTTTTTGGTTTGGAAAAAGATTGAGAAAAATTTTGAAATTTTTCCAAATTTTTTTTGCTTGATTTTTCATGTTTCGATTGGAGTTTTTTTATATTTCTTCAAAGTTTTTTTCAATATAATTCTTTTCCCACTCGGTCATCAAAATTGAAAATTTCTTGTTTTCTGAAATTAGTTATTGAGTCGGATCATAGTTTTTCGAAAAAGGCATTTTTGTCAGAAGCTGTATTTTTTTACAAAATCAGAAATATAGCTTAAAGACTTTTTTTCCATTGAACAATGAAATTGGTTATTTTTTTATATTTTTTTAAATTTTTTTCCTGGTGATATTTTTCAAATACACGGTTTAATGGTTATTCTTGTCACTTATTTTTTTCAAAGAATTTCAGTTTTTTTGTTCTTCAAAACATCTGTCAGAAAAAAATACAAAAAAAAGTTTTTTTCGTTCAAAAAAATTTCTTATTTGTAGTTTAATCTTCCTGAAACCTTCTGGAGTTTTAACGACCGTTATTTTTTTAACATTTTGGTGGAATTTCAGTTCGCAGAAAAAAAGCGCAGTTTCAGAAAGTTATTGAGCTCCATATAAGGAAATTGCGATTTTTTTTAAAATTTTCTAGATTTTTCTCTGACGGACCTGTTTTCTATACGAGAAAAGATGATTTCTCACTTTTCATAATATTCTCTTTCAGATGTCCCAACCCAAAGCGAATCGAGTTTCGTCGAATGAGCTCGAGGACAGCCTCCAATTACCCTATAAGGACCTGAAAAACACCCGGTATTCGATGGAAACGGCCCGACTTCTCTGCGAACAAGTCAAAAAGCGCGAGAACTACAAGAAAAACATTGTTCGTCATTTTTTCTTGAGAAGTTTTGATTTTTCTATTTTTAGATTGACAAGTCCGTCGAGTTGTTTGAACTGGTTTTTGTCGATTTCACGTCCTTTCTGCAAACTTTGGTTGATCGGCTCAATAAGAAGGACTCGAAAGCGGTTCGTTTTGACCTTTTTCCTAATATATTCGTCTGACCTGTCTGCGCTCTCCTCCCTCTCGTCTCTGCGACTTTTTTCATACTTCATTCTTGAAATTTGCTGACCGGCCTGCGCTTTCTTCCCTCTCGTCTCTGCGCGCTGTTTCTGCGACTTTTTTCATATTATATTCGTGAAATTCTCTGACCTGTCTGCGCTTTTTCCCTCTCGTCTTTGCGCGCTGTTTCTACGACTTTTTTCATACTTCATTCAGGAAATTGTCTGACCCGTCTGCGCTCTCTTCCCTCTCGTCTCTGCGACTTTTTTCATACTTCATTCTTGAAATTTGCTGACCGGCCTGCGCTTTTTCCCTCTCGTCTTTGCGCGCTGTTTCTACGACTTTTTTCATACTTCATTCGTGAAATTGTCTGACCTGTCTGCGCTCTCCTCCCTCTCGTCTCTGCACGCTGTTTCTGCGACTTTTTTCATATTATATTCGTGAAATTCTCTGACCTGTCTGCGCTTTTTCCCTCTCGTCTTTGCGCGCTGTTTCTACGACTTTTTTCATACTTCATTCAGGAAATTGTCTGACCCGTCTGCGCTCTCTTCCCTCTCGTCTCTGCGACTTTTTTCATACTTCATTCTTGAAATTTGCTGACCGGCCTGCGCTTTCTTCCCTCTCGTCTCTGCGCGCTGTTTCTGCGACTTTTTTCATACTTCATTCGTGAAATTGTCTGACCTGTCTGCGCTCTCCTCCCTCTCGTCTCTGCACGCTGTTTCTGCGACTTTTTTCATTTCATACTACGCGAAATTTTCTGACCTGTCTGCGCCCTCTTCCCTCTATTCTCTGCGATTTTTTTCATACTTCATTCGTGAAATTGTCTGACCTGTCTGCGCTCTCCTCTCTCTCGTCTTTGCGCGCTGTTTCTGCGACTTTTTTCATTTCATACTACGCGAAATTTTCTGACCTGTCTGCGCTCTCTTCCCTCTCGTCTCTGCGCGCTTTTTCTGCCACTTTTTTCATACTTCGTTCGTGAAATTCTCTGACCTGTCTGCGCTCTCTTCCCTCTCGTCTCTGCGCTCTTTTTCTGCCACTTTTTTCATACTTCGTTCGTGAAATTCTCTGACCTGTCTGCGCTCTCTTCCCTCTCGTCTTTGCGCGCTTTTTCTACGTTTCTACGACTCCTCTTCCTAGTTGTGTCTCTCTGTTCTCTCACCAGCAAGGTCAAGCTTCCGGTGAGGGAAATCAGAGCGCAGACTAGTCAGACTGCCTCAAGTCTCTAGATGAAAAAAGAAATTGAAGAAAATAGAATATTTTCAGGTTTTTGCCCAGCCTGTCAAGTTGGACGGTTATTCTTCGATTATCAAGCACCCCATGGACATTTCGACCATTAGGAAAAAGATCGTAGATGAGGAATATGGTGAGTGGTCCAACTTGGAATGGCTCTTGAAGCGGCGCGGTTAGGCGTTTTATCCCAATAACTTGCTCAAAACGCTCAAAAAAAGTTGTTTGCTGATGTTTTTCTGTACAATGTTTTTCTACATGAAAGATCTAAGATTAATTTTTTCGATTTTTTTTTTTTGAATGGACCGAAAATGTACTCATTTTTTTCCGATTTTTTTCAGTGTTAAACTTGAAAATTATGAGGAATATCTTTACTTTCATGCCGTGACCGCATTTGGAATGGATCTCGGCGCGGTTAAAATGAGAATTTTTTTTCCCGATGATTTGTTCAGAACGTTCAAAAAACTCGAAAAATTTTTTTTTTCTTTTTTCTGTACACTTTTTTTCTACATAGGATCTTCATATTTTCTTTTTTTGAGTACTTTTTTTCATAATTTATTTTTTTCGAGATCTCAAAAGAACGCATTTTTTCTAATAAACTCAAAATTTACTGTGTTCGAGAATATTATTCTTTTTTTACACATTTTTCCGCCGAAAATGATCCGATAAAACCTTCAGATTTCAAAGAAATATTATTTTTTTTCAAGTACTCCTAATGATTCAAAAATACTGAAGGGTCGTGTCGATAGATTTTTAGAAGTGGGGCTAATTTTCTCAAAAACGGAAAGTAGGCTGTTTTTGAGGGTTTCGAGCCAGAAAAAAAGGCTTGAAAAAGCTAAAATTTTTCAGGTACCCTGAAAGACCTCCGAAAGGACATTTTTCTGATGACGGACAACTGCGAGAAGTTCAACAAGGGCAACGATTATTACCTGAGATACGGACGAAAGTTCCGAAAAGTCGCGACCGAAGTCCTGGAAGAGGCCGAGGAGCGATGGAGACAAATTTCGGAGGTACTGGAGTTTTCTGGGGATTTTGAAGGGAGTTTTGAAGATTTTCATCAAAAAATAAAACTAAAAATGGGCTTGGAATGTTCAGAGATGAAGAATAAAATATATATTTAGTTTCTAAAAAAAAATTAGCCGTTATTGTTTTTATTTGGGCTTTTTTTAGGAACTTGAGTTGATGATCAAACTAGACATAAAATGTCTTTTTTTTCTGAGAAATAAGTTTTGAAGAAGCTTTCCAGCAATGAGGGGAATGAATAGTAACAGAGGGGTCCCTTTTTCTTCTTTTTTGAATATTTTTGAACCCTTGATTCTTTTAGGGTCTTGTAAATTGACGACTTTTTCACATTCCTGTACACCTATTTTAATAGTTTGAACGCTAATTCTAGTTAAAACGTAGAGAAAAAAGAGCAAAAAAAGGATAAATTCCGTAAAATTTCGCTTCCGTGTATGTTTGGTCCACACCCTCATATCTTCGGTCTATGTAGCTTCAAGTTCATAAAAAAACAACAATGAGTGAAGTGACTGCAAGAATACACGCCCACGATATTTTGCGGATCGGAATTATGGAAAGAAGAAAAAATATCCCACTTTCTGCAGCTCCAAGAGACGGGCATGGAAGGGCTGATGAAAGAAGTCTGCGAAATTCCGCTTCTTGCTGCCTGCGACTTTGAGCGTCTGGCGACGGTGGAGCCGTTGTCCGACGACGCGAAGAAGCGGCTCGGGGACGAGACGATGGAGTTCGACGACCACGACGACTTCCCCACCACTTCTGAATCCTGCGTCAAGGAAAATCAGCCGGAGACGTCTTCGGATGCGAGGACGAGGAGGCAGTCGGGAAGGTGGGGATTTTCCTTGTGATTCTCATGGAAAGTGACATGAAAGTTTTTATTTTCAAGGAAGGTAGGATCCATAGTTTGGACCAAAATCAAATTGAACTACCGTTGTGTAATGAAAAGTGGTGGTTGGCTGAATTTTAGGCCATTTTCTGAAGCTTTTTCTTGAAAAATGGCATGAAAACCCGTACTTTTTTTTAGGAAGTTGAAAATGAATTTTAACTCTCGTTAAACATCTGTAAAAAAAATTGTTGCTTTTTTGAAACTTCGGAGCCATTTTCTGGAGTTTTTTCTTGTGTTCCTGATGAAAATGACATAAAATTTCTATGATTTAAGGCATTTTTGAAATAAATCCGAAAGTTGGAAGCAAAGTTGCTCTATTGAGAAATCCTCAATTCTCGTTTTTTCCTCATTTTTTTCTCCATTTTTATCTTTTTTGTGGCTCTCAAAAAGGAAGAAAGCTTCCGATTAGGAGGAATTTTCGAATTTTGAACAAGAGATTACGGTAAGCAACTTTCTGTACACCGATTTTCCAATGCCCTGGCGTGAAGTTGGAGATGAATTTTTCTTGATAAAATACAGGCTTTTGTGCGATTTTAAGTAGTTTCTGAGTAGAGTTGCGATATATCAGAAAACACATGTTCTCTAGCCTATACGTCTTGAAATTTGAATTTTTTTTTTCAAAATGTTCATTTTTTGCAATTTCAAATGAAAAACACATGTTTTACTGGAATTATTGCTTAAAATGTAGCTAAAGATCAATACTTTCTTCTCAGATCGACGAGAAAAGGACGACCGTCGAAGACAGAAATCGAGGCGGTTGAAGTGGAAGAAGACGTCGTCGAACGGCCGGAGACGCCGCCGAGAGCCCCGTCGAGGCTGGTTCTGAAGACGGCGGCCTCTTCAGCGCCCCAGTGGTCGACCCTCTTCGGCTCGGCCAGCACCAACAAGAGGAAAATTCCGCCGACAACCAACAATAAGTCGGCCAAGAAACGGAAACCTGACAGTGGTGGGTGTTGATAATACATTTTTTCACTATCATCCAAGCCTCAAAGTCTAGTAAAAACCCTTCAGTTGCTGCTCAAACCGCCTCGATTCTGCCCTTCCTCTCCGCCGCTCGACCTTCCAAACCCATCGAAACGACGCCAACGTCCTCTCTCGCCTTCGTCAACGGAAACATGACATCGAGACCGTCGACGGTGTCTCTAACGACGCCGGCAAGGACGACGAGGGCTTCCAGAACAGGAACCGCAAACCAGTCGTTCAACAACTACCGCGAGATGTCCATTGCCAGGTTTTCTGCCTGATTAAGTGATCGAACTCATTTTTTGCAATTCAGTCCCTTGCCAGCCGACACGGCGTCTTCAGAAGATTCAGCGGATGAAGATTTGGAAAAGTCGGTCACGACCGCGTTGGAACCGTTTTTGAGTCGCCGAAGAGACAAGGTTCGTTCAGAGAAGAGCTTTTGAAACAAATTAGTATTTTAAGGCCACCGCGACAGCTCCAGCCGTCAGCGACAGTGCGAAGCGACGAGCGACCACTGTGACGTCACCACCGCCGTCGGCGACTGAAGAAACGCCGCGGGCGTCGCTGCGACGGATACGACCCAACGGACGGCCGGCGACCCGCGGCATCGTCAGCTCGCTGGAAAAAGCCCGCGAGGAGGCCAAGTCCAAGCTCGTCCACAATGCTTTGGTGGACATTGACGGAAAGGCCGCTAGGTTGGTCTTTTTTTCTCTGCGCCCTCCTCGTTTCTCGGCGACCCTCTCATGTTGCCATGCTGTTTTCATGATTCTATGATCTCTCCGGTGAGGGAACAAAGAGACGCAGACACTCTAAAAGGGTCACGTCGCGGTAAATGGACTATATAAAAAAATATTGGGGTCGTGCCAATTTTTTCAGAATTTCATTGAAAATAGGAAAGTTTTGATGGACGTTATTCTAGATTCTTTTGGTCTGAAGGAAAATGCTTCAAAAATATATGCTTTATAAACTTTTTTGTTCGAAACAGTCTCTCAAGGAAATCGAATTTTTCAAAACTACTGAAAATTTCTTGAAGCTGGTTCTCGAGACGAAAAAGGATTTTGCAGAGTAATCGAGCCGACTTTCTCGCACCTGGAAGGTTATTCGCGAGAAAAACGGCTTCAGATGCTGGCGACCAGGCCGCGGAAGGACGAGGAAGACAATCAGCACGTCTACGTCCGATTTTTCTCCGATTCCAAAGAGTTGGTTTTGAAAATATTGAGGAAGCGTTAGAATCAAGAAATTTATGTAGAAGGGTAGTAAAGGACGTCATTGTTCTGGTACAGAAAAATTTCGTCTTTTCTTGGCTTGAAAAAAATAACGTCATAACCCGCGGAGTCTCATGAAAAGTGACGTCATAATTACCCGTAACCCTTTATGACTCATAACCCTGCAGAAGTTGAATCTCAAGAAAATTGACGTCAATTCTCTGAAAAAGTGACGTCATCGCGTCTGCCTAAAAAATGACGTCACAACGTTCTTCGCGACGTCTTATTTGAAATTTCAACACCGGGATCGTGAAAAAGAATTTTTGGAACAAGTTTCTATAGCTTCTCAATGAAAACTTCGTTTGGCTTGGTTCCAAGAGAAAAAAGAGCGGTAAAATCATGCAATTTATGTAGAAGGGTAGAAAATGACGTCATGATTCTGTGTCAGACAATACAGGTCCAAAAAAACGTCGTCATTTTTTGAGTTCGGAGAAAAAATGACGTCATAACCTGCATGGTCTCATAAGGAGTGACGTCATAACCCTGCAAAAGTTGAGCCGCAAGAAAATTGACGTCATCGTGCCTGCCTAAAAAATAAAAGAAGAAATGACGTCACAACGTTTTTCGCGACGTTTTTCCAGCCCCGGAGTCATGAAAAAGATTTTGAAGCAATTTCCTATAGTTTTTCGATGAAAACTTTGGAACGTCTTTTTCGTAATGAATAGTTCACAACTTTTCCTTCAGATGCTGGCTGCCGGCTTCCCGAATCACCATGTTAGATCTGACCAACGCCAAATCAGCTGTCCAAGGCCTCAAACAGGCCAAAATTTGGTTGGTTTTTTTTGTAATTGATAAAAATCATAGGAAAAGTCTAGACAAATTTTCAATTCACTTCTATCTTTTTTTCGAAAACTTGAAGCATTATAATTATGAAAAACGTGAGGAATACTCAAAAGATCACTAGGGAGACTTTGAGTAGTCATTTTAGTGGTTTTTATGCGCGAAAAATTGGAACCAAAATAAGTGCTTTAAGTGGCCACTTGAGTGGCTCTGATGCCCGAAAAGGGTGAACTAAATTTTTTGAGAGATTTGTTTTTTTTTCTCGCAAAATTAAAATTGAACAGTTCGATTTTTTTTTCCCCTCTAGAGGGGCGTAAAGTAGTCACTTTAGTGATTAAGATGCCCGAAAAGTAGTATCAAAGGATGAGGCAATTTTTCGACACTTTGATTTTTTTTTTCTAGACCCGCTTGAAGTGGTTACTAGAGGGGTTCTGATGCCGAATAGGATGGATCAAAAAATTTTTTCTTATGATTTTTGCGTAAAGATATTATTTTCTAACGCATAATAATTATGAATTTGACTATCGGTTTATATCGAAAGATCCGAAATTTTAGGCAACGACGGATGCTGGAGCAGCAAAACTGATCGACTTGTTCAGTCTTACGAGTTTCCCCACTTATCTTAATCTCTCACTGTACCGGTAGTCAACAATTGAAATAAACGTGGTCTAATGCCTTAACTTGTTTTTCCCCCCTTTATTCGATTCTCTGCAATATTCGAGGTTCTTGATCTTCCTTTGCCCCTTCTTCCTTAATTCCTTCGATTCCGGTTCTCTTTTTTTCCTTTTTAATGTGAAAAGTCTTTTTTGTTCGATTTTCTTCCTAATTTTCCCCAAACGGGTCGGATATTTCTCCCTTTTAATCTTCAATGGCATGATACTCTCGACGATTCCATGTAATATGTATAGATTGTTCGTTTGACCCATCCATCTGCTTTAATATTTCCATTTTCCTTCTGTTTGATGTGTGTTTTTTTTAATCCAATAAGTGCCATTTTACCAAAATTTTCCCCAAAAAATGCATTTTTTGGTTTCGAGAGACTTATCTTCGGTATATTTCACTTATCAAAACGTTTTCGGTTGTTCCATTTTTTTCCCTCCTTCCTTGATTTCCATTCTCCTTCACCCTGTGTTAGCATACATATTTTTTCTTTGTAATCAATTGATAAATCGATTTTGATCTAGAAGAGATCTCGTAGAGCATCTTGTAACGAAATAAAAATGTAAATATTACTTTATCTTTCCTTTTTTTCGATTTTGAGTGATTTTTTTGCCTTTAGATTCTGATATACCCATCTAATTGTGAGGTAAACTAGGAATGATAAGGATATTGAAACGAAAATGATGAAGAAGATGACGTCGACGAGATAGTACTGAAAAGTGGAGAGTTTCCGGCCGTAGGGATCCATAGATGGAAGTCGGCCAAATCTGAAAAGAGTCTAGTTTCACGAAAGATATTGATTTTTCAATTTCAACACAAACAAAAAATCAAAAAAACGAGAACGAGAGAGTAAAAGAACATGAAGAGACAGCAGAGAAAAAGAGACGCTCTAGCTTCTCTGGCGTCTCTTCAGCCACCTCTACTCTCTCGCTTCAGATTTTTTGCCTCTTACGCTTGGTTTTTCCGTAAAGGGAAGAACAACGAGAGATCACGGGCTTATGAAGAGACAACAGAGAAAAAGAGACACTCTAGCTTCTCTGGAGTCTCTTCCGTCGCTAGAATCTCTCTCCTCAGCTTTTTTTTTTGGCTCTTGAGCTCTATTTACTGTTTTACCTTCATTTTTTACTTCTATGAGCTAAAAAAAAGAAACAGCTTGGCCTGAAGAGACGAGAGAGAAAAAGAGATCCTCTAGCTTCTCTGGTGTCTCTTGGAGCGTTCGAATCTCTCGCTACTGTTTTTTTTTTGGCTCGAGTTACTGGTTTAACCATCATTTTTCACTTATATGAGCCAAAAAAAAGCAAAAGGTTGGGCTGAAGAGACAGCAGAGAAAAAGAGACACTCTAGCTTCTCTGGCGTCTCTTCAGGCAGCCGTTGATCACTCGCTCTTCTTTATCAGCTCTAACTTCATTTCAGACCAATTTTTCATTTTTTTCAAACTCACTGGGCCGCGAATTCCACATGCCTCACAAATGTGTCCTTCGCATCGAGTGGATAATTTTCTAGGGCCTTGGAAAGGATTTTCGCGTTTTTTGAGTACCTGTAATTAACCTTTTATTAATTGGAGCTTATTCTGAATAACCTCTCATCATTTAGAATTTTTCGAATCGCTTCGATAATTTTCTCAGGTTTCTCTAGATTCTCCTTCTCTAGAATGATCACTCCGCCATGCCTTTCCAACATGAAGGCGTTCCGACCCTGGTCCGCGTAGATTGGAACCTGAGAATTGATTTAATTTGAACCTAGAGCAGTGGGTAGAGTGTTAGGTCATGGCTCGAAGGGTCTCGAGTTCAATCCTTGGCGCGGAAAACATTTTTTTGCTATTAACAGAGGGAAAATTCTGACGACTTTTTAGTTATACTGGGAAAATTTTCAGTGGCCACTATAGGGTTTTGACGTTTGAGTGGCCACTATAGTAGCCAAATTAGTGACCACTTCAGGGGTCAATGGACCAATATAACTGATCCAATATGTTTGTTTTAAAATAATCAGAGTTACAGGAAGAAATACTGGATGAAAAACTACTCAAGTGGCCACTAAATAGAGAACCCCTTTAGTGGCCACTAAAATGGAAAATAGGGGCCACTATAGAGATGGGTTTAGTGGTCACTTTAGTGTTCTCTCCAAGTAGTCCTTGGCGAGCCTCTAAAGTGGCCACTAAAATGTTCCCAGTTTTCCAATGCTTAAAAAGTTTCTCATTTGAACTTCTCGAGGCGTAACCAAATGATAAAATGAATATTTCTTTAGAGCGCACTTTCCAGACTTTAAAAGCTGCGTCTGAGTAACATAAAAGCCTCAAAAATCACCATAATCGCCGGTTTTCCGAGGAAAGCGAGCTCCATCGAACTGCCCAAGCCTCCATGAGTTATAAAAGTCGTCAATCGATCATCAGCTGTAAAACTCTTTGAACCCCAAAATGTTTCAAAATCAACCTAAAAGTTCGTTTTGCGGCACCCAAGTGCTCAGTTTGACATTTTGCAAGTGATCGGCGATTTTGGCGCCTTCCTCTTCGTATTTCCAAATGAACGTCGTTTCTGGCATCGATTCGAAAACTGTTAGAAGGGATTTCCTTAGAAGAAAGTTTATTTTGTGACGAATTTCCGCTTAAGAGCTCACTTGAACTCGTCCGGCATATCTTTTGGAGTGTAGATTCGAACCAAAAGAGACGAGAATCGTAGATTTCCGTTTGGACAGGACCTCTTCCCATTCCTTCATTGAAAAATTGTTCGTATAGTTTCATAAAAAGGCTTTGAAGCTCCATAGATACTTAGGAGCCACCTTAGTGGTCACTATAGGGGTGAAAAACAGACCCCTGTACGCAACAAAAAAGAGCCCCCTAGAGGGCAAAACTTTGGTGGCGCTTACAGAACTTCAAGGTCTGACTACTAAGCTCCTCGAGCTCAAGTGGTCCCCTGAAAGAGGTCTCTCAATTTTTGTTCAGATTTTCTTGTCTTAGAACTTATATCAGTAATCAACTAGTGTGTCCCCTAAAAGGGTCACTTTTGAAAAGTCTAGTGGCCCCTATAGGAAGAGCTAAAGTGGTCCCTAAGTGGGGAACTTTCAAGGGTCCCTAGGTTGCCCCTATAGGGACCACTCTGAAGCTCTTTTCAAAAAAAGAGCCACAAAAATTTTTTTATTTAATTACTAGAAAAAAAAACCTGATCAAGCTCCCCAACTGGCTTCCGGACACTTATTCCACCAATCGGGACGATTTTCTGAAGAGTTGGCCCTGGAAAGTCCAGAAAGGGATGGGAATTAGTGAAAATGAAAGAGGATTCAGCGATTATTTCCTAGAACTTCCTTGACTTTTCTTTTTTCTTTCTTTTGAACTAACCCTCCAATCGCGCATATTCGGCATGAACTGTCTTATCAGACGCACTTGATCATCTCCAACCGTGGAAAAGACGTAAACTCCAAGGTAATACTGGAAAGTGTTCCCGAGACGTTCCAAAAGCGACATTTCGGCTTTGTAATTGGCGGTGAGTCCTGTGAGAAAGACAGAATTTAAAAATAAATGAAGATTGCTTTTTAAAAAGCTTTTTTTCAAAAAGTTCAGATCCGTTTTTTTGAGCCTTATGAGTTATGTTTAACATTTTTAAAAACAACCTGACAACTGAGAAAAAAATTTTTTTCTCTATATTTTTGACCTCGTCATACATATTGATCCAAACAAGTTTTTTTTTTTTGAAAAATGAGAATTTGCATTAAGAATTAAAAGACTGATTAACCTGGCACATAACTAGTCGCCGCCGGTTTCCCGATAGCCCCAGAAACATGATCAAAAACGACAGCTGAATATGCGGCCACAGATGATGGAAGTTTCAGAGCTTCGAATAGGACTGAAAAAATCTCAAAAAAATCCTTCTTTTTCTGTCTTCCATGAATAAGAGGTCTAAAAGTTCCAAAAAAAGAAGTGATGTCTTTTTTTAGAGAGTTTCTTGCTATTCAGCAAGAAAATTTAGCTCGAAAGCTTGATGTAAAAACGGAGCATAGAAAAAAAAACATCTTGGAATTTCCGGCTTCGTGAACCGAAAACTTGAATGAAAACGCGCTCCATGGGCAATTTCTCAGTGAAGTTGAATTTTTAAATTTTCAAAAGTTTTTCTTGGATTTTCGTATATAATAGTTCAATCTATTCTCTTTCGAAATTTGATCAGAAAAGCTATTTCAAATAAATTCACTCACGAAAAAGGGCACTGACAATACGGCTCCCCCGATTCCGATATCGAACTTCTCGACGCGAAGTTTCTCCATCAAACTTTCGTCCGAGAGAACTTCTTCAAAGATTTATATAGTCAATTTATGATAAATAAAAAAAGAAAGATACGATTTTTCCTACATTTTTCCCTAAATTTTTGTAAATTTTAGTACTTCGTGTCAATGTGTAGAAATAAAACATTTGATTTGAACAAAATGAATAACTTACTCACACATTGTGTAGAGAACCGAATCGATACGACCTTCATGTTCTGAAAAAAAAATTTCAAATTTTATTAATGTAACAATGGTCCGATTCGATGAAAAGATTATTTTCAAGCATTTTCGGCACGGCGTTTTTATTAATAGATGAAAATGCAAAACCAAGAATGACGGGGTGTTGAATTTCGCGAAAATTAATATGAAAACGGCATGTGCGAGAGCGCCGCAGTGTATGCACACGACACCCTACATTTTACGGGAAAAAAATGAGCGGTCGTCAAAAAACGCCGTCTCGGGATCTTATACTCTATTTATGTTTCATGTCTAGTGCCTATTCTTGATTTTTCATCGTAAGACTGTCCTTAGAAGTTATAAAATTGAGAAAAAAGGACGAAGGAATATTTCTTTTTGAAAAGATTTTTAAGATGTTTTTTTGCCCGAAAAAGATTCTCAAGCGAGGTTTTTTGAATCTTTCAGGAGCTCATAATATCTTTCAGGAAAATTTAAAAATCTGTGATATTATGAAAAAAAAAGCGAACATGCAACATGGACATGGAAGAAACCGGCGCCTTCCACATGGCCCTCATATCATCACTTCTTTTCTTTAAATACGGCTTCAGTTCTTCCGCCAGTGGCACGAATATTGTCTGAAAAACTTAAACTCAAACTGGTAAAAAAATAAATGGACCTTTTCGGTCAGTTTCAGAGTTGTTTTGTTGACCGAAGATGGGTCAAGAACTGGGAAAAGGACGGTCTGAAAGTCTCAAATCAAGTCATTTCGAAAAATACTCTGTATTTAGGGTAATTTCCGCGAGTTCAAAATTGTCTCTGACTCTCCAAAATTTAGTTATCTTTTTCTTTCTCTAACGAGTTTTGAACTTTTCGGAACTTTCGACATGCAATAACGTCTTTTTTCAATTTTAAAAAAATTCAGGATCATTTTTTTGTGAGCTATTAAATTTATTAAAAAGCAACACCTTTCTAGCTTTTTTGAGACGGTAAGAATGAAAGTTTACGGTCCGTAAATGGATTTAAAGACGTGTATATTTCTCGGAATTCTCTATGTAATCAGTATACAGGGTCTCTTTCAAAGAACTTTTAAAAATAAGTCAAATAATCTCAAGTTTTAAACCCATTTACGGGCATTGCTAATTTTTTTTTCTAGCAAAAATTCACGTAAAAAATCTTCCTAATTCAATTATCCCTCAAACTAACAGCCGAATTAGCTGAAAAACTGGTTTTTTCACAGTAAAACTATCTATTCTCTCTTTTTTTTTAGAAACTTCACAACGCTTATCTGAAGATTTTCAACCGAAAAACTGGAAAAACTCGAAAATTATTCAAAAATATCATCAGTTCTGCAATCTGAAGCGTTTTTAAACACTTCAGCATAGTTTTCAATGCTGAAACCTACACAAAAAACCCAAAAAAGCCCACCACGTCATGTCCAGCTTCCGTGAGAGTATCCGCAAGTGTCGACATGAATTTGACATGGCTATGACCGGCGAGGACGTTATAAACAAGGACTTTGTAGGCATTTACATTGAATGAGGTTTGAAATAGGAAAATGAAGAAGAAAACAACAACCTTGGCGGTGGGCATTCGGCCGGAATGACCATAAAACGGGGCCCTTTCTGATAGCAAGGCGAGGAAAAAACAAGGCAACTGGGACATTTTTTCGCTACAAAAATCTCAGTGAATTTTGAAAAAAAGGTCCCGCGACGAAAAATCTTATATTTTTGTGAACACCGATTCAAAATTTAAAGGCGCATAGTCTTTTCAGATTTTGAAAATCAAGTACAATGACGTCATTCGGAAACGCTCTGTGGATGGCCCGCTCTCTGATTGGTTTTTCAAGCCGTTAGGGGCGGAGCTTGAGCGAACACTTTTTTCCTGGCTCCGCCCTGCGCCTTTAAATGTATAATTCACATCTGGACTTTTTATAGACTTTTTATTGGATCTGCACTTTTAATTGTATCGCATTCAAGACTAGTCCCTTTTCGAATTTAGATACACTACCGTAATCTTCTTGTTCACTTATCGCTTCAGGACCAACCTCTTTAAATTTATTGATCCTTTGAATTTTAATTCAGCTTTTGATGAACCTTTCAATGCAAATTTTCAAACAATAATGATCGGCCTTCAACAAGAGTTCAAAAAAACCTTTCAACTTTTCAAAAATAATTTTTATTTCCAAATAAAAATCTGTACATAAATGCGAGCAAAATGCAATATTTTCAACTAAATAGGAAATTATTGAGCTTTTTCTTTTTTGGGCTTTCCGCACAAATATTTACGAACGAAGAACCTAAAGACAAAGAACAAGATTATCAATGACGTCACTAGTCCGGTGATCACAAGGGCGATGACGTCAACCAAATAGTACTGGATGAGGGAGAGGTGACGTCCGTGTGGAACCAGGTTCGGTAGCCGGCCGAAATCTGGAAAAAAACATATTTTAACTTTTTTTAAAATGTGAAAAAAATTTGAATTGGCGGGGGAAAGTGCGCTCCAGCGAAAAAAAGGAAATTTTTTTAAAGCTTTTAAAAATTTTTTTAATTGTTGAGCTTATTTTGAATCCAACAAAATTGATAGTTCAGCTTCAATAAAATTTTTTTCAAAAAAATCTTCAGAAAGATACAGAAAAAAACTAACTCGGCGGCAAATTCGACGTGATCGACGAAGACCTTTTTCTGGTCCAATGGGTATTTTTTTCAAGCCTCTTTGCCAGTTCTTCAGCGTTTCTTTTCGATAACTGAATGAAAATAATAACTTTTTATCATTTTAATCAGTTCAACCTGTCATCATTGATGACTTTCTTGATGGTATCAGCGATTTTCTTGCTATCATGCAGGTCTTTTTTGTCCAAGACGACGGCTCCACCGTGTCGGGACAACATTAGCGCGTTCCTGCCTTGGTCCGCGAACATTGGGATCTGAAAACTCCAAAATTTCAGTCAGAAATGTGACCCGAGGTTAGAAGAGCTCTAGAGAGCGATAAAGTGGCCACTTCAAAGATCTTATTGAAGTCCTCACAAAGTAAAAAAGACCACTTTGGGGATCTGACTAAGAGCGAAATTCTAAGGCGAGAGAACTGCCAGTACCCACTTTAGAAGTTCCAGTGAAAAATTAGACTTTAAAAAAGCTCTAGAGAGCCCAGAAGTGGTCACTTCAGAGATCTTTTTCGTAAATCTAAGTGGTCACTAAAGGGACCTGATCGAAATTCTGAGGTCATAGAACTTCTGGTAACTACTTCAAAAGCTTAATTGAAAAGAAAGTTAGACTTCAAGAATCTCTAAAGAGCGAAGAAGTGGTCACTTCAGGGGACTTTATGAAGATTGAAGTGGTCACTGAAGGGATCTGAGCGAAATTTCGAGGTCATAAAACTGCTAGTAAGTACTTTGAGAGTTCTATTGGACAAAAACCAAGTGATCTAAAATATTAGTGACCACTATAGGGATAGGAGTCTCTGGAACTCGTAGTGGTCCCTAAAGAGATCTGAACTCAATGTTTAATGTTATATAACTTCTAGTAACTACTTAAGGAGTTTCATTAAAAATGATCAAACTTGTCTAGCAAAAAAATAAGTGGCCACTATAGGGGTATGACTCATACCCCTATAGTGGCCACTTATTTTATACCGTATGAGAGGGATTCCTAAGCGTCTTGATAATAATAAAACCACGTGAAATTATCCTTCATTCTTCGAGAAAACAAAGTTTTTTAACAGAGACTCTTCTCTATAGTTTTTTTCTGATATCCTTCAAAAAATTCTTGTCAAAGTTAGAAGGTCTCAAAAACTACATTTAATTACACTGAAAGCCTCAAAAATCACCATAATCGCCGGTTTTCCGAGGAAAGCGAGCTCCATCGTACTGGCAAGGCCCCCGTGAGTGATAAAAGTCGTTAGTCGATCATCAGCTGTAAATTTTCAACTTATTGAACCCTAAAATGTTTCAAATTGAACCTAAAAGTTCGTTTTGCGGCACCCAAGTGCTCAGTTTGACATTTTGCAAGTGATCGGCGATTTTGGCGCCTTCCTCTTCGTATTTCCAAATAAAGGTCGTTTCTGGCATCGTTTCGAAAACAGAGAGGAAGACTTTCCTAGAAAAATTCTTCTTGGACTAGAGACTTTGAAGTTTTAACCGACTTGTATTCCTCAGGCATGTCTACTGATCTCATATTTGAGCCAAAGGACACGAGAACCGTTGATTTTCTCGCGGAAAGTACCTTTTCCCACTCCTTAAAATCTTGACTTTCCTTTCATTTGATCAGTTTCTAACCTCGGAAAGTTTAAGTTTCTTGGTTTTAGTGCCTTTCTGGACGTTCAGCCCTCCGATTGGAATGACTTTGGTGAGACCGGGCGCCGGGAAATCCAAAAGCGGATGGCCATTCGTGAAAACGTAGGCCGACTCCGCCACGATTTCCTGAAAGATGGAATTCTTTTGAATAGTAACTTCGAAAGTTCATTGGAATCTAAGCCAAAGCTTCATTTCAGGCCAAAAAAAAGCCCGAAAAAAATTTAAAAATTTTGTGTATATCAATTTCCGAAAATCAGCCTTTCTTTACAGGAAAAAAAACTTTACTGGCCACTTAGGAGGTCCCTTAAGGAACATTTGAAGAGGACACTTAAGTAGCCACTAGATCCACCTCTTTAGAAGCCTCTGTTTTGCGACTTGGTGGCTACTGTAGTATTTTTTGTAGTCTCGTAGTACCAATCAAACTTCTGAACAGGCCAACAAGCTTTAGTCACTTAGGTGGCCACTAATTCAACGGCTGTAGAGGCCATTAAATCTTCAAAACCCTTAAGTGGTCACTTAACATTTTCTCAGCAATCGTTCCTAAAAAGGTCGAAAAATCTTTGATATACGTATCCTACAATGAAAAAAAGAATTTTTTATCGAAAATTTCCTAATAAAAAACATGATGAGCCAGTGATTTTGATTAGTTTTTCCATGCCTAGAACAGGTTGTAGGGAATAAATTTAGTGGCCACTTAAGCGATTCCTCAAGGACTACTTGGAGAGGACGCTAAGGTGGTCATTAAAACGTCAAAACCCTAAAGGGGCCACTAAACTATTCATCGAAACCCTGAAGAACCTGAAAACGTCAAAACCCATAAAGGTTTTTGCTAAAATTTTCGTCAAAACCCTCAAGGGCCCCACTAAACTTTTTAAATGTTGAAAAACGGATATTAATCCGAGATATATCTAAAGCAAAAATACGAACATCCCAGTTACGCATACTAGGAATATGCTTCCTAATCACTTCCGTCTGGTAATCGCCAACGGCTGAGAAGAAATAAACGCCAACAAGATATTGGAAAGTGTTCCCTAGTCTTTCCAACAACGTCATTTTGTCCGAGTAAGTCGACGTTGTTCCTGAAATCCTTCAACGATCTTAGAAATTTTTTTTGGGAGTACCTGGGACATAACTGGGAGCTGCGGGCTGCCCGATAGCTTTCGAAACATGATCGAAAGTTGTTGCAGAGAGGGCCGCGACGAAATGTCGGGCACTTGGATCGCTTCGAAAAAAACTGAAAAAATTTAATTTTGAAGCTTTTATGAAACACCGCGTTTTTGTTAATGTAAGAAGAAAAATATAACTGAATTTCGGAATTTCAGAGACCATTTTTAGCGGAATTAGTTTGAACACGTCATGTGCGAAGCGCCGCAGTGTATGCACACTATACACTGCACTTACGGAAAAATATGGGCGGGCCACGGCGTTCCTAATGGGGGTGAGGGAAGGTGAGCGAGGCGTCAAAGTTTCTAAATTTACAGAAAAAATTTTGTGCGCGCTACGGATAAAATGACGTCATTCTACGCCACAAATTAAACTGAGTATTCAACGTTAATAACTTGTTTGTTCGATCGCCTTCGGCTGAAGTACTGTAGATTTCAAATTTCGCGCCAAAATTTTTTGACGTCTTGCCACCCCGTTTGGGAACGCCGTGCGGGCGTCGTCAAAAAAAACCGTGGAAAGAAGGAACAGTTCTTTTCAAAGTACAAGGTGATAAATGAGTTGGAAACTACTTACGAATTTTAACTTCTTCGAAAATACTCAAAAAATTGGATAAAACTGACGAAATGCGCATTCGCAGAATGGTTCGCCAACCGCTATGTCGAACTTTTCGGCGCGGATTCTGTCCAGCAGCTGCTTATCAGTCAAAACTCCTGGAAAAATTTTTATTCGATAATCCTGACAATTTTTGAAGTTGAAAGGCAAATAAAATTTAAAAAACTCACGAATCATGCTAGCTCAGACCTACAGGAACCCTCATTTTTTTCTATTTAATAAAATGGAAATGACTATTTTTCGACTTTTTTTCAAATTAGCCTATTATTTTTTTGTACAAAAAAACTCTTCATAATCGAAATATAGGCCAAAAAAATCACGATTGGTGTTAAATTCAATGCATTATAACAGTAAGAAGGGTGAGAAGTTAATCTCAAACATTCAAATAATTCTCACTAACTTTCGCATTGTTTCGACAACCCATACTTGAACTCGTTGAACATCTGAAAACTGGAATTAATTAGCTTCAAAAAATGATAATGATTTTTTACGTTGAACATTGTAACTGGACCCATTTCCTTCGTCCAATAGTCCTTCAACTTCAAATCCTTGTTGTGGAAAATTGGCAAAATGTCCTCATTTTGCGAGGCAAAGATCGTCTGAATTTATTGAAGTAGTTTTAGCCTTTTCTATTATTCATATTTCAACCTTTTTCGTGGTCTTCAAAGCTGTTTTGTTGTCTGTGTGGTCGATGACCGAGAAAAAGACGGTCTGAAATCAAAAAGTTAAACACTGCAGACTATAATCTTGTTAAGAAAAAAGGAGTTTTGTCGGAAAATCTGTTCGAATTAGGTTTGAAGTGGGAAAAAAACCGGTTAAAGGTCATTTCAATTATTTGCTTCCATTTTTTTGGACGCCACTTGCGGAAAAAAAGGGATCTTGAAAAAAACTGGGATCGAAAGAAAAAAACTATGGGAAGAAATAATAATTTTATGACTTTAAATTATGCTATCATAAAAATTGGAAAAGCGGACCTATTTATTTTTTGAAATACTATAATAATATTTTGATAATAATAATATTTAATTCGTGATACTGAATAGTTTTTGCACGCAATTCACGGTGCTACGACAAGAGCGAGTTTTCCATTTGCGAGCAGTACTGTATGCGGCAAAGCGCATTGCGTGCATGCACTCTGCGTGTTTACACTTTTGTGGCGTGACGTCATCGCGCCGTACATCTGCGGGTTTTTTGCTTGCGGGTTTTTTTTTTCAATGTTTTTTTCGGAATTTTTTTGGATTTTTTGGATTTTTTTGGTTTTGATTGTGCGAATATTTTTCGAAACAAAAAAAGAAAACTTCTTTTTACCTTATAAGAAGGCTCCTTTTTGTCCTCAAAAAAATCTTCGTGTTCTTCTTCTTCTCATATTTTTTTCTCTCGTTCAGATTTTTGAAATGAAAAAAAGTGGTGCTATGAATGAAATTCAGGATGGAAAGTGACGATTATGTTAACGCCATTGTTTTTCGACTCAATTTTAAAGCAACAAGAAATCACAAAGGAAGTTTTTGGCGAAAAAAAGATGTCCCTGCTCCTCCACCCTCAACACCGGCATTGTACAAGAAACCAATTTTCGTAAAATTTCTGACAAGTCCCTTCAAATCTCTCAATGTACATTCAAAAATATCTTGAAGATTTTTCTGGGAAAATGACTTTTTGTTTGATATGATGGTTCTGTAAAATTTGTTATTTTTCTTATTTTTCTTATTTTTTTGATATAACTTATTTCAATTACTGGTATTTGTTATGATGCAATTTTTTTGATATTTTTCCTCTTTGAAATATCAATATTAGCTTACTTCTTTTTTCCATATTTGTGGAGTTGACCTAATAGCTATCTATAAAGAAACATTTTTCCTAAGCTGCCCCCTTGACAAACAGAGTTTTTCATCAATTAAAAAAAGTTTTTCTTTTTGTTTCGAAAAAAATAAATAAGCCGGAAAAAAATTCAAAAACCCGAAAAAAACCCGCAAGCAAAAACCCGCAGATGTACGGCGCGATGACGTCACGCCACAAAAGTGTAAACACGCAGAGTGCATGCACGCAATGCGCTTTGCCGCATACAGTATTGCTCGCGCTCGCAAATGGAAAACTCGCTCTTGTCGTAGCACCCAATTCACGGCGTTTTTTTTATTACGCAAGGTCAAGACTTCTCGTAAATTATGATGTTTAGGGTGTAAGCACACCGAGACGCACTATCGCATACTCAAAATTGTTTTTTTCAATTTTAGAATTTGCAATTTTAGGATAATAACTTCTGAAATGTTCGAAATCTTGTCAGTTTGAAGATTATGATGTGAAAAAAAACATTCACTTGCGTTAAAAAAAATTTAGGAACGATTTCGGAAGGGGAAAACTCTAAATTACTGATTACAAAATGAAAACAAAAAATATTATGAAGGTGAATCAGCTCTAATTGAATAAGCAATTGTAAATACGAAAAATATTGAAATGAGGAAAATTCGAGGAGCAAATGAAAAAAAGAAACATTTTATATACCTTGAAAACCTAGCTTCAGAAAAACAAATAATGGATAAGAAGCAGAAATTTTCAAAAAAAAACCTCGTATGGCGAAATCTTTGTTTAAATCCGAAAAACCATGAAACAACTGGAAAAAAAAATATAATTTAGATGATTCATATAACAAAATCTTCAAACTGCATCAGTAAATTCAATTTGGCTCTAATTTACACGAAACTGGTTTCAAACTACGCCAAAGGAACTGGATAATAACTTTTACTCATAGAAAAAACGTTAAAAGAAGTATTAATAAAGAAAAAAGCAAAAAAAATGCTTTTTTTCAACTAATTCTTTCCGTAAATCTTGCGAGAGCTTCAAAGGGTGGGTATTGTAATCCAAAAACGGGTCCTGAACAGATCAAAACTACTGCTGCCGTACGATTTACGGCGCCCGCCCCTGGTATTTTTTTTCTGCATTTTCTTTCACTGACAAGAACGCCGTGAATTTGCAAATTTTAAAATTTTAAAAAATAGTGAGAAAAATTTCAGACTTTTTCGCGCACGTGCGCTCTATCGCACCTATGATCTTTTTGGCGGCATTTTAAATTTCCAAAATTTTTTTTTTCTCTCACTTGTTCTTCTCTTTTTACTTCTATTTCGACTCACAACGTCATGTCCGGCATCAGTCAGAGTGTCGGCCAATGTCGAGAGAAACTTCACGTGGCTGTGGCCGATCAGGTTGTTGTAAACCAGAATTTTATATCCCTCAGAAAATGAAAATATTAAGGCTAGAAATAGCACTAGTGTATGAACGGCGGTAGACATGAAGGTCGAAAAATGATCTGTCGCAGGAGTTTCGAGGGAAAACCGAAGAGAGAAAGAGGTGGAGAGAGACAAATAGAAAGTCAGGTGGGAGTTTGAACTAGGCAGATAGAAATCATCGTTTGGCGTGTAGCCTACATTTTCTGCGCAGAAAGATGGTTCTTCGCGGAAACTAGGAATAAAATTACTTAAGGATGTTTATTTTTATTTTAAAAAAACCGCAGAAAGCTTTTTATCTCTTTTTAGATTATAAATGCATTGAGTTGAGCCGAACTCGGATTAGGCTTTAATTTTTTTTTACTGATTTCAGTGATTTATTATGTTTTTTTTTACCACTATGAAACTGCTTAATCAAACCGAGTCAGTAAAACTTCTGAAAAAAGCAAAGGTCAACTTGAAAAATTATTTACCAAGTTCAAACTCAGACTGTACCCTCAAGTCATTGGCAAACAAACAAGTTGAGTTTTGGGTTTAAAAAAGCTCTATGAAGTTACGAAATCGGGATAAAATTGAGAAGCTTTTCAAGATTATTGACTTTAAAAATAAAATAGCCGAAAAAATTCGAGTCTCACATTTTCCGCATACAAAATTAACCGTTCCCATTGGTTTAAAAACCATTCGGACTTTTTTCAAGACTTTTACTGTACTTTCCCCTTAAAAAATATCGTCTGAACTTTTTCGGTATTCATTTCAGCTTCATCAATAAATTTGGCTATCTTCCAACTTCACACGAAGCAAAAAATATACTAGTTCTCTGCGATTTGGCATCTTTCAAAACCATAATTACGCCCTTTCCTTTGCAAATTATAACTTTTTCTTAGTTATTCTAACTTTTTTTTCAATGCTGATGTGAATTTGCTGCTATGGTTTCTAATATATGCACTGATAAACCGCTGGCCCACTGTATTTCCGTATGTCTTCACTTATTTTTAGTACTTCTAACGGTACCCTTGTGCATTATTTATACCTATATGTATAGGAAATTCACTGTTGTGGACAAAACGGTGGGATTTTACCCTTTTCTTTCATCTAAAAAGTAATTTCCTGCGAGTTGACTTCATTCTTGAAAACTGTCTAGCCTGTCTGAACCCTGTTTTCTCTCATTCATCAGAAATGAAAAAAACCGTTTTTGTCGAGGCGGATGGAAGTTTGTGAAGCTTGGCGATATGAGAAAGTAGGAAAGTTACGCAAACCGAATACGTGGTTCAGTGGATAACACGTTAGGCTGAAAGATTTGATGCCAAAGTTCGGATCCTCCTGGTGCAGATTTTCTTTTGCCATTTTTGTTCTCCAAGTTTAGAACAAAAAACAATGGAAAATTTCAGACCTGGAGCTTCCCCTTGACCCGACAACTCTATTGGTCAACATTTTTCGCCCAACTTACGACATTTCTATTTTACTCCACCTTGGTTTATCTGGCTACCATAGAGACCTCAGAACTTGGCCACCTCAATGATAACTTCAACTTTTTTGTCTACGTCGTCGTGGCTATCTACTCGGTTTCATTTTCAGAAAAAAAGCGAATGAAAATATGAGTTTCAAGGTGAACATCGACCTATACGGATCGAATCTCATCCTTTACCTGCACCTTTTGTTGGCGATTCAAAGATTTGTCCTTATTCACAGTTTGAAGGGCCATTCTTATGTACTCGGGTAATTATTGTGAAACAGTCTCGCATGTCTGCGCTCTCTTTTCGCAGTCAGCGGGTGATAACGAGAGGGCGCAGAAATCAGACTGTTCCAAGTTGTTAGACTTTCCAAAAACTCTGTAAAAGTCTCGCCTTTCTCTGCCCTCTCTCCGTTTCACGTGTTTTTTCCATGATTTTACGACCTTGTCAGTCAGAGATAAGAGAGCGCAGACAGGTCAGATGGTCTTAACTACTATCCAATTTTTCCCAGAAACTTCCTAACTCTCTACATTATTTTCTGCTGGTTTTTCTCATTCGTCGAATTCTATCTCAACCATGACTCGTGTACAATCTGCGACGCCGTCCACGATTTTTTCTGCCACGTTCAGCCATTTTACAACTTGAGTTGGTTCTCAAACTTCTCGAACTATTCAAAATCTTCAGGCTCAACTAAGCTTCAAACTTTCCTTGCCGTTGGCCGGCTCTTATTTCAGTTGGCTTCTGGTCCGACAGATCCAAAAAGAATCCTCGGCGATTTCTCATAAAAAGAGGGACTTTGAAATGACCGTCATTTATCAGAATCTACCCGTTTTCTTTTTCGCGATTGTGGGTTTTCAATTGTTTTTTTTTCCGATGAGCAAACATTTTTTGGCATGCCTTTTGGAGCGCATTGAGATAGTTGAGTCTTCGAAATTAAAAAAAAATCATCTTCCTTAATTTCTGTCAAGGAAGGGGCTTTAGTGTGAAGATTGTGATTTTCTATGATTTCTTAGGAATTTCGAAGTGTCCCCTTGAGCGGTAAGGGGCGAAAACATAGAGTGGTCCCTATGGGGGTTTAGGGTCTGACCCATTAGTCCCTAAAGCTCAAGTAGACCCTATAGGGGTCTCTCAATTTCATTCAAAAACGCCTATTTATTCAGTTTTTCTCATGTGCTTCTTCGCTTATAACAGTTATCGACTAGCCTGTCCCCTATGGGGATCACTTTTTCAAACTTTAGTGGTCCCTGTAGAGGTTCATAAACTGCCGGGGACCAGGGGACCCCCCAAGGACCCCTAAGGTTGCCCCCAAAGGGACCACTCTGGATTTTTTAAGCTTGTCCAAAACTGGTTAGAATTTTATTTTTGTCGCTCTCTGCACTAAATTAGGTTTTCGAAAAAGTTGTCATAAGTGTAACATGAAAGTCCGGCCTGAGAACGGCTTTGAAAAGCCATACCTTTTTTTTTACAAGTTTGTACAGAATATCAAGCTAAAATTACCTCCCTGGTGATTACTTTGAGTAAAGTTAGGACAGGCTAAATATTGCTCATCTTATGAACTAATTTAGGGCAAAATCATCGTAACGATCACCTTGATTGTATTCGTGAAACGGAATTCCGGAAGCACCTTCGATTTCATCATGGTCAAATTGGTACTTCCCCTGGCTTGCAACGATAATTTATTCTATATGACAATCATACCCATTTTCTACACGTTTGGCGGCGTGACGAAAATCGAAGAATTCAAAAAGTTAATCACATGTCAATGTAGCAAACACGTCGTTCCGTATATCGATAATTGAGGGCTTATTCTTGTTTCGACTTGTTCTTTCGTGTCGATCTGCAGAAAAGACACTTGAAAAAGAGGTAGAAAACGAATAAAATGGTGGAGAAAGCTGAGAAGAAAATGGCGGCAATGTCGAGGAGATAATATTGGATGAAGCTGAGTTTTCGGCCGTAGGGATCCATTGTGGGAAGCTTCCCGAACCTGGAAACCAGATGATTTTTTGCTTCATTTCCATCATCTGAATGACCTCGGCTGGATTTGGTCATTATACGATTTTGAAAAATCCAAAAAGGCTCAGGACAATATTACATCATATAGTATGTGTGCCACGACCTGGAATTTCACGGAACGACATTCCACTGTGCCGCTGAGCGCCTTTGCGAACTTTGGTCGCTTTTTGAATTTTTTTTTTCTTTTGTTAAGGTACTCTACTTCAATGTGCTCTCACAGCAGTAACAATCAATTGAAAGCGTGACCTAGATTCGAAAGACGCTTCGCAAAGGCGCACAGCGGAAAAGCGGAATATCGTTCCGTGAAATTTCAAGTCGTGGCACACAGACTATAACTTTTCTCATAATAACATTTCTCCAAAAACTGAGCATTTTTAGAAACTAGAAGAGTTCAGCTTCATTAACAAGTCCATATCAACAAGAAAAAAACTGACTTGGCTGCAAATTCGATATGTTTCAAAGCGACTTCTCGTGGATTTGTCGGCTGCTCTTTCAGCATTTCGGCCAGTCTTTCGGCGTTTTTCTGGTAGCTGAAAATTTATATCTCTTCTTGGATCAAAATGCTTCAGAAATCAATGGAAATGCCTTGGATCCTTCTAGAACCCACCTGGGATCATTGATAACTCGGCGAATGGCCGATTCTACTGTTTCCGAATTTCCAAGGTCCGATTTGTGGAGGACGACGACGCCGCCATGTCTCGACAGCATTTGGGCGTTGCGGCTTTGGTCGGCGAACATTGGAATCTTCAGGAAATGACTTTTTTGTTGGAGTTCCAAATAAGGCTAACCATAATCGCCGGCTTTCCAAGAACCGCCAGCTCTGTAGTGCTGGCCAGGCCTCCGTGGGTCACGAAAAGCGAAAGGCGCTTGTCGGCTGGAGTTTTACCTTTAATGGGCCTTAATAGTCTTCTCACCCAAAAGCTCGTTCTGAGGAAGCCAAGTTCCCAGGTGAACATTCGGTAGATGATCAGCGAAAGTCGCCTTTTCCTCCTCATACTTCCAGATGAAGGTCGTGTCCGGCATCGAGGCGAACACTTTCAGAAGCTCTTTTCTGAATTTCGATTTGTCAATAGGTACAGGATAAGGTCCTCACTTGTAGGGTTCAGGCATGTCTTGAGACTTGATATTGGATCCAAAAGATATGAGAACGGTACGCTTTCGTTCTCCAAGCACCTTGTCCCATTTCTATAAGTTTTTATAATGAGGACAGGTAGTATTTCTTCTTTTGGAAGCTTCAAATTATTGAAAAATGTCGTAATGTTTTTTCTAGTGAATTTACTCTACAGTAGAACTTGATGTTTAATTTCGAGGCATTCATAAAAATGAGGCGACCTCGGGTAGTTTTGTGTCCTTCTTCAGGGTATTGACCGTCAAGCCACCAACTGGAATGATTTTGGAAATGGTCGGCGACGGAAAATCCAAGATAGGAATGGCGTTTGTCAGAAGAAAAGACGTTTCCGGTAGAATTTCCTTAACAAAAATTGTACCAACCACCAAAAATGGGCCTCAGAAAATACCCGCCAGGAACGAAGTTCTGGATAATTTTTCCGGATCGAGTCGTAGGTCGAATCTCCAACGTAGTTGAACATGTAGGCTCCGGTCATCGTTTGCAAAGTGTTCAAGAATCGCTCGAACAACGACATGTTCTCGTTGAAGGTTGACTGGGTCCCTGGAAAAAGAAGGTGACGTCCAGATTTTTTGGATCATAGTTTTTCTTCCATTTTTTGGCGTATTCAGAAATTATTAATTAATTTTAGAACTTCAGTATCCCAAAAAAATATCATTTTCTATCGATTTTTCGATATTCGATTCATCCTTTTTCAATTTTTATTCGGACATTCTTTCTCAGGTTTGAAAAGATCAGAAGAAACCTTTTTTCAAGTCTATAGGGCATTTTCAGCTTTTTTCAAGTTTTGGAATTGTCAGAAATGATTTTTAAGCGTTATAGGCATATTATGTCACTTCCAAAAAGATTTTTTTGGTAATTTTTAAGATTTTTTTTATTGTGATCAGAAAAGGTAAGTTTCGAAGAAAATTTTCGACTATAATCCATTTTTCGAGACTTCTCTGTGCCCACCACATCTCTCGACGCCTCTCTCATGTTTACGTGCTATTTCCCTGTTTCTCTGACCTCGCCGGTGAGGGAACAGAGAGACGCAGACACGCGAAAACTGTCAAGTCGCGGTATGTACTGGATTTTTTTTTGAATAGTTTCAAACTGTACTCATCTTCTACCATCATACCTGAAAGAAATGAACCTACCTGGAACGTAACTCGGCGCTTGGGGCTGTCCGATAGCCACGGAAACGTGGTCCATCGCAACACATGAAATCGCGCTGACATGAGCGGGAATATCAATCAATTCGAATAAAGCTGAAAATTGTCTCTTTTTGGTTTTTTTTTACTTGAAAGTCACCATAAGGACATTGATCAAATGGTTCTGCAACTCCCAAGTCGAATTTCTCGTTTTTCAGTTGCTCCAATAAAGCCGTATCGTTGACAACTCCTGGAAATCCCAATTATTTCGAAATTTTTATTAGGCCTTCTCAAAAATTCCTAGATCCTTAAACTGAGATTTTGAAATTTTTTTAAAAATTCAATCCTCACTTTCACACTGATACGTGAACATGTCGGCCATGCTTTGAACCATCTGAAAAATGTTTTTTTTTTCTTTTCGAATTTTCAAAAAACTAACCGTGAGTAGTGAGAACGGATTTTTGTTCTCCATCGTCCACAAATCCTTGAATTTGGTACTCTTGTCCTTCATCAAGTTCTTCAGCCGATCTTCTGTTTCAACGTAGATTATCTGAATCATTCTTTTAAAGAGGAAAATAAAGAAAAAAGGACCTTTTTAGTTGTCTTTAATCCTGTTCTGGATTTCTCAGTCATGTCCATCATCGGCATCAAGACGGTCTCAAAATTGGAAGAAATGATGGAAAAGTCCATTTTGGGGTGTCTTTCACATTTTCATAGTTTGTTTTTTTCAAATAATTGAATTTTTTTCTGAAGAAGAAGTATACATAAAGATGAGGAAAATATGGACTATGTGTAATTTATCATAGCAGAACGCGCCTGCCCTCGTGGCGCAGCGGTTGTCACTTTGTTTGCCGATCTTGAGGTCTTAGGTTCGATTCCCGAGGTGTCATTTTTGACAGAAATTTTTGTTCACAAGCTGTTTTGAAGGCAAAAATCATCATAAAACAATTTTATATCAAATATAGTTCAGTCACAGAAGATTTATGTACCAAGCAAGGCCAAAATAAGTTTCAGACAATTTTACGCCTCCAGTGCTTTATAAAACACTCTAGATTATTATTTCTCATAAAACCAGTAGATTTCTGGGATTGAATTTGAAACTAACAACGTCATGTCCAGCATCCGTCAGAAGATCGGCCAAGGTACCCATAAACTTGACATGACTGTGCCCGAAAAGGTTGGAGTAGACCAGGATTTTGTAGCAATCTACCTGGTAGATAACGACAGCTATCAAGCTGATCAACGTGAATAATTTCATTTTTTCTGAAAGTTTATTTTTGTAGAAAAAAGCTTGACAAACGTGAGAAAAGTAAGGAAATGAAGTGAATTTGTAATAATACTCCCGTCCTTATCTTTTATCATGGCCTTGTTATCATTTTGCAGAGCCGTATTATCGCCTTTTTACGGTTAGAGCTCATATACCACAGAAAACATTGACCCCTCGACACGGAATTTTATTTTGGAGGATTTCTCGAATAACAATTCGATTATCGACTTGATCCAAGTGAAAAACAATAACTTCGAGGAAAGGTGAATAACAAGGAAGGCGAAAACAAAATTAGGCGATTCGAGAAGGTTATTTGGAATGAAAATATTTTCGAAAGCCCTCCAAAACATGAATTGAATTTAAAATACGATATAGTTTCCCACGGAAGGAGCGCGCCGTAGCGCAACAGGTTGTGGGCCTGTCTACGGTCCACAGGGTCACAAGTTCGATCCCCGCCTCGACGCAAACAAGGGGTTTAAGAAATATTGGTAGTGTGAAACCACGACTTCATAATCCCCAGCCGACGTCACTGGAGCCAGTCCACTGATTATCACATGTCAGGATAGGACCTCGGCTTATCGACTTGGGGCGCCGACACTGCTCAAACGGTATAAAGGCGTAGGAAGAAGAAGAAGATAGTTTCCCACGGAACCGGTGCGAGAAGCTAAAAAACAGGACAATATCAAAAAAAAATGCCTTTTTATCTGCTTTGACCGATGTAGTTTGTAGTTCAAGTTGTGCGGTCTTATCTTCAGTTTTATATCGAATGATAATCGGAGAAAAATCAGTGGAATTAATATTGACAGTTTTTTTTTTCGTTCAAGACAAATTTCCATTTTGATGGAATGCTCACTTGTATCTGTATTGAATTTTTTCACGAAAAGGATTTTTTGAAAATATTATCGAACTTTTTCCAACAAAATTTTTGAAAACTGTCTTTTCATACACTTTGACCCTATCGTTCCAGTTTTTCCAGCTCATTATTCCAAAAATTTTTATTTTTTCACAAAAGTCCCTTTTCCAATTTCCTCGTCTTGTAATGTTCTTAGACTCCCAAATTCTTCTTCAAAACAAAAACGATGTCGAAATCGTTTCTCACGCTTTTTCAAATTACCCCGAAAAATTTCATTCATCTTTTGATTTCTTCCTATTCCCACCACAAGTGGAAAACAAGAACTTCAATGAAAAGTGAAAAACAAATACAGTAACCAGAAAAGCGAAAAACAAGAGGAAGGCAATATCGAGAAGATAATATTGAATAGAGAGTAGTTGCCGGCCGTATGGATCCATCGTTGGAAGCTTTCCGAACCTGGAAAAGTGATAATCTTCAAATTTCTCACAGAAACTAAGTAGTTTTGAAAACCAGAAGAGTTCAGCTTCAACCGTATCAAAAAAAAAAAACTGACTTGGCTGCAAATTCGATGTGTTTCAAAGCGACTTCTCGTGGATTTGTCGGCTGCTCTTTCAGCATTTCTGCCAGTCTTTCGGCGTTTTTCTGGTAGCTGAAAAAAAAAAATTCTTCTTGAATCAGAATGCTTCAGAAATCAATGGAAATCCCTTGGATTCTCTAGAACCCACCTGGGATCATTAAGAACTCGACGAATGGCCGATTCTACTGTTTCCGAATTTCCAAGGTCCGATTTGTGGAGGACGACGACGCCGCCATGTCTCGACAGCATCTGGGCGTTGCGGCTTTGGTCGGCGAACATTGGAATCTTCAGAGAATGTCTTTTTTGTTAGAGTTCCAAATAAGGCTCACCATAATCGCCGGCTTTCCAAGAACCGCCAGCTCTGTAGTGCTGGCCAGGCCTCCGTGGGTCACGAAAAGCGAAAGGCGCTTGTCGGCTGGAGTTTTACCTTTAACGGGCCTTAATAGTCTTCTCACCCAAAAGCTCGTTCTGAGGAAGCCAAGTTCCCAGGTGAACATTTGGTAGATGATCAGCGAAAGTCGCGTTTTCCTCCTCGTACTTCCAGATGAAGGTCGTGTCCGGCATCGAGGCGAACACTTTTACAAACTGTTCTCTGAATGTTTTTCGTGATTCGAACTACGAGCCTTGAATACCTGTACTGTAGAGGCATGGACTCTGACCGGATATTGGAGCCAAAAGAAATCAAAACATTGCGCTTTCTTTTTCCAAGCACCTTGTCCCACTCCTAAAATCGGTATTTCTCGCTCTCCACTCGATTGAAGTACACCTCGGAGAGTACAACGTCCTTCTTTTTAGTGTTAACCGTCAAACCGCCAACGGGAATGATTTTGGAAATGGTTGGAGCCGGAAAATCCAAAAGAGGAATCGCGCTGGTTAGAAGGAACGATGTTTCGGCCAGAATTTCCTTGATTTTTTTTTTTAAATCTTGTTTTTGGATTCAGATTCTCACTCTCCATTGGCGAATGTGTGGATGAGATTTCCTCACTGCGTCAAATTCCGAATCACCAACGTAACTGTACATGTAGTTTCCGAATAAAATGTGAATAAGGTTCAGAAAACGCTCTTTGAAAGACATCTTGTCACTGAAGGTGGACTGGGTCCCTGAAAAAATTCGTTTTGACGATGTCTTGGATTTGAATCACACGGAAAAAAAAATCCGAGTTTTCTGTATTTTTTAGCAAATCTTCTAGGACCTTCCCAGCGATAATTAAGCACTGCTGAAGCTTGAAAAAGCCTCACTAGGGTACTGTCTTTTTTCAACTGGACTAAATAGAAAAAGGAGAAAACAAAGCTTTTTGTCGGAATCGGAGTAGTTTAGAGTACACCTCAACAAACTCTTAACACTTTTCCCTGTGAGAAGACCTCTAGGCGTTGTTCAGGATGCCGTTTGGCGTTATTTGGATTCCGCACAGCCTTCCAGAACCCCCTGCGAACTTCCGAGAAGCTTCTTAGAATTCTGTCAGGAAGAAGCTTTTCGAAACTTTCCAAACGCCTTCCAAGAAACAGAAAGAAGAAGCTTCCCAACACCTTTCGAGGAGCTTGAGCCATATTCATTTCTCTTCAGGTAGACACAGCCATACTATTACACCTGCGGAAAATTAACCCACCTGGAACGTAACTTGGAGCTTGGGGCTGTCCGATAGCCACGGAAACGTGGTCCATGTAGACACAGGAGAGGGCACTGACGTGAGCGGGAATATCGATTAGCTCGAATAAAGCTAAATTTTCCCGTTTCAAAAAGTTTAAGATCCAATAACTACCATAAGGACATTGGTGGAACGGCTCTGCGACGCCCAAGTCGAACTTTTCGGCTTTCAATTGTCCGAGGAGCTTGGTATCGTTTGTAACTTCTGAAAAATCGATAATTTTTGATGATTTGTGAAAGATAGAATCTGACTTTCGCACTGGAATGCGTAGGAATCAGCCATAGGTTGGAGTAACTGAAATAAAAATCAAGGAAAATTAAAAAAAAAACTCACTTCAAGCTGAGCGAACGGATTATCAATGTCCGACGTCCACAAATCCTTGAACTTGTCATTTCCTTTCTTCGCTTTTTCCTTGATCCGATCTTCCGTTTCCACATAAATCACCTAAGCTTCATCACAAATAAAATATATATTCTGGAAAACTACTTTCTTGGTCGTCTTCAGGCCTGTCTTGGGTAACTCTTTCATGTTCATCAACGGCATCAGGACGGTCTGGAGTAGAATATTTTTTGAATTATAGGAAGATGAAAAGGCTTATGACCAGTTCAGTTGATTTTTGAGATAGTGAAGACATGTCTTAGATCAAAAATTTACAAAAAAGTCTATAATATTCCAGCTAAAACCCCAACTTTGCCCCCAAGCAGCGAATGATATGCACTGCATTATCTTACCGTAATCTACTTCTCACCAGAAAATTCCGTAAATTTGAATCAGGAACAACTTAGGCCTTGGTAACGTGAACCGAGCGCCTTTAGCTATTTCTAGTGACCCCTTTAGTAGCGTCAGCACTCAAGTGAACCCTAGAATAAAAAGAAAAACGGGTTTCTTTACCAACATGAACATTGGTAACGCGAAACAGACGTGCTCCGGACGTTTCTGGGCGATTCTAGGAATCACTTAAGAGTGTTGACGCTACTTAAGGGGTCACTAGAAATGCCCAATGCCCTAGTGACCATTTTAGTACCGTAAGCACTCTAAAATTATTCCTAAAGTTTCTCAGAAAAGTCCGGAGCGCGTTCGGTTCGTTTCACCATTGTCCGTGAAGGTCCGAGTGACAATCCGTTTATCCATAGAGCAACCTTGCTGCGAGAGTCATTTTTCGGCAGAATGAAAATAACTTGGTAACGAAATCAAGCCCTAGTGATTTTCGAATTACGGTAAGCGAATTTTGCACACTTTTCCTTCTCTGTCTGGGCGTTTAAAAAATTTTGAACATTTCTCAAAAATTCAGAACTTTTTGGGGGCAGAACTCTACAGTACGCGGATTCAAAAATTCATTTCAAGCTTTAAACTTTCAACAAAACTGACAACGTCATGACCAGAATCGGTGAGAAGGTCGGCCACGGCGCCCATGAACTTGACATGACTGTGGCCGGCGAGGTTCGAGTAAACCAGTATTTTATAACAGTCGATTGCCGGGGTCAATAAGATCAAATTTAGTAGATTCATCCTTTTTTAGTGGAATCAGACGACTTTAGAACCCACTAAAATGTTGGAATCGATAGGAAACAGTACAAAAGACCTGAAAGATCCAAAAGAAGACCAAAGAGAAAAAGTTCAAGAAAGGGTCCATTTATAGGTGACCCCACGTAATTCGACGTTGCCTTATCATTTCCTGTGCCCCATACATTGTTCACACATCACCTATTTCTCTTTTTGTGATCTTTGCAATTTTCGAAAGTGTTCTTTCACACGCATCGCTACGAAACGTCACGTTTCTTTAGCTGGTTCATGCGGCTTATAATTGGCCGCTCTTCTAAAGTTCAGCTTCTTTGAAAATCACGACAACATTCCAAAGGAACATGTTTTCTGGGGTTTTTTATTAACGGATCAAAACAACCAGGTAGGACAACAAACCGAGGTTGTAAGTTGGGAAAAGCGAACAATGATGAACAACAGAAAAAAGTGAATTTTCTGAATATTTTCTCAAAGTTCGGAGGTTGCCAAGTTTTGAATAGCGAACAATTTCAAAAAGAGGACTTTTTGAAAGTTTGCTCAAGGTTCCGAGGTATCCAAGTCTAGTAAGCGAACAAAAACAAACAAAGGAATTTTCTGAGAATTGGCTCAAAACTTCTCTTAAGCTTAAATATGAGGCCTTTTTATATTCTCAAAGAAAAAAAGGTTCAAAGAAAAACATTTGAAGCCTTCTATGCGGGATTTTTCGACTAGCGCATCAGATAGAGTGTCCGCTTGCCAATCGAATGACCCGGGTTCGAGTCCTTCTCTCGGAAAACTTTTTTGCCATTTTCCAGAAAGTTCCAAGTACAAAAGTATAATACGAAGGATTATTTGATGGAGGGATATAAGAGAACAATTGGGATAATGTTGAGGTAGGATATAAACGAGGTAATTTAATTTACGGTCCGTAAATCGGTTCACTGAGGGCTCAAAGTAACGACGAAAAAATTTGAACACTTATCCTGGAAAACGTATTTACGGATCGTAATTACATCAAATTGATTACAGAGGATATCATAATTTTTTTTTTTTGGGTTTTTTTTTTTTTCAATATAATGAAACTGAACAAATGAATTAACATGCACAACGATATAGGAATTTTTTTTGATTTTTTCTATTTTTTTTTTCTACGAGACGGGGTATTTCAATTAGACATTTTTAACTGGAAAAAGGGGGAATGATGAATCTTACTAAAAAAAAAAAAGGGTTGTAGTTTTTAAAGGCGTTTGGTCAGTATAAAAATGAGTTTTGAGATTTTAATGTCATCCTGTAGAGATTTTATTAGTTTTAAGCAATTTTGTATCTATATAAAAATTCTTAGTTTAGAAAAAAACCACTTTTAAATTCAATAGAAAAAACTTGAATTCTCGTCAAAAAAAGTCAAAAATCATCATTTTTGCTGGTTTCTGAACTTTTTTTTTGGCTTCCAAGTTTTCTGATATTCTCATGAAACTCTCGGTTTTGGGATTTCAAACTAGGATAGTCAGAAAATATTACTATTGTGAATTTAAGGTTACGGTAAGCAACTTTGTGTACACCGTTATCCTGAGGACTTGGCGCAAAATTTCAAAATTAAGATTTCGAAAAATATTTTTAAAAAAGGATCAAAAGCTCTACAAGATAACATTAAAACATAGTCAACCCTTTCCGACTTGAAAGGCGAAATGGGTAGATGACAAGGGTGGCGCGTGGCGTATGCGACGCGGTTTTTGGCGGGAAACTACAGTTTTTATGTACTCCCATTTATTCAACGGGTTACTTTAACAATAAAAAATCAAAAATTATCGAGATAGTTTAGAAAATGGCTTGCGTTTTATCTCGAGTTTCCCGCCAAAAAAAAACCGCGTCGCACACGCAACGCATCACCAAAACTCATCCCGCTTTTCAAGTCGGGAAGTATTGACTGTATAGCCCATTCCGCGCCAGCTTATAACGATTTCCATTTTTCTCCGAGCTACAAAACGCTTCCAGATGGCTTCACTTCGATGCGCGCGGTCTGCCTCTATGTACGCGCCTTTAATATGCTAGATAAAAGACGCATACACACAGGCAAGCCGGGCGCATCGAAGCGAAAGGTTCTGTAGCTTGGAGGAAGATAAAAATCAGAATAAGCTGGCGCGGATTGGGCTATGTCAAAACTCAAGCCTACGCTGACAACGGCACCAGCGCAATTTTCTCAGACTTGACGCTGGATTGCTGGCTCGAGGCGGATGATTCAGACGAAGGGTATCTGCGGATCGGCGCCCGACGGCAGCAAAAGAGCTGGACGCACAAGGCCGCGTAGAACCTCATTTTGTCGTTGTCCTTGAGGCGTTTGAAAACGAAGACACCGAGTCTGAAAACAGGTGGAACTGATTCGAAGAACAAGATCACTAGGCTTTGGAAAACTCATTTTCGGTCTTAAAAAGGTAGTAGGTGAGGAGAAAATCGCAGATTTGGTTCGAATTTCTGGGTATAGCTGATTCACGATTATCTTGGGACGTGTTCCGAATTTCTAGGTATAGTCAACTCACGGCTAGCTTGGAAAGCTAAGGGGTGTGGCCTGTCTGCGCCCTCTAACAATCATGAACTATCTCTTTACTGTCAGAACCTTTTTTTTTGATAGTCAGTTATGGTCCTAGCTCAAAAACTGATTATCTTCGGACTTTCGTTGCCCCAAAAAGAATCAGTTCTTGAACTTGATCCTTAAACTTTTGACGGGCTTTTTCTAGGTACCCCAGGCTTGTGCGAGGAAGAGTTTTTGAACAAATTTGTAGAAAAATCCAAACCGCAAAATAAAATGACTTCCCGTGTGTAATAATATTCACTTTGCGGTTTGGATTTCTCCACCAATTCGGTCAAACACTCTCTGAATGTCTAGGTCATATGCGCTACCAGCGCAAACTTCTAGTATTTTAAATAATAATCTTCAAAGTTCGCGTTTTACAAAGAAAACCCCACAAGGAGGCCATTTCACTTTGCGACTTGAAAATTTCTACAAAATTCCTAAAAAAAAAATTTTCGGATTTCTAGATGAAGGTCCCTTATAGTCGCTACCTGCGCGAACTTCTAGTTTTTGAGATATGATTTTTTTAAAGTTGCGAAATATTAACTTTGAGGCTTTTCAAAGTTCGAAATTAATAATCTGGAAAACTATAAGCTTGCCTGTTACGAATTTGCTCAAGCGATCTTTGAAGGTAATAGGAAGTGTCATCAAAGTTGCATAACACGCCAGATTATAGTTTTCGAGATTATTCACTTCAAAGTTTTGAAAAGCCTCAAAGTTAATATTTCGCAACTTTGAAAAATTATACTTCAAAAACTAGAAGTTTGCGCAGGTTAAGCCTGTACACAGGCCTGTGTACGACGACCTGGAATTTCACGGAACGACATTCCGCTGTGCCGCTGCGCGCTTTGCGAACCTTGGTCGCGCTTTTCATTTTTTTTTCTTTTATCAAGGTACTCTACTTTCATGTGCTCCCATAGCAATAACAATAAATTGAAAACGTGACCTAGATTCGAAAGACGCTTCGCGAACGCGCGCAGCGGAACACCGGAACACCGGAATGTCGTTCCGTGAAATTTCAAGTCGTGACACACAGGCTATAGCGACTATGAGGGATTTTCATCTGGACGATCAAAGTTTTTGAGCGAATTTGTAGAAAACTCCAAACCGCCAAGTAGAATGACTTCCCGTGTGAGAAGTCTTTGGTGAAAAAATGGCTGAAATGGCATGTTTGGTCCAATATTATGGGAACACTTCTTGAAAAAAAAAACTCACGTGAAGATCGACACAAGCAAGAGAACGAGGATGGAGATATCCCTGGACTCGCACAAGTAGGGGACCTCGCAAAGGCTGAAGAGACCATGAAAAGAGACGATTTTCGACGGTAGGTAGATCATCGTCTGATTGTCTCGGAATTTATTCTTCACCGCGTCTTCTCTCGCTTCTATGATGCTCCTTGACTCAGTGCAGTCCACAGACCCATTCAGAAGCTTCAGATGCGGGAAATCGAACTTTTTGCGCTCCTTTTGGACGAACGCACTGGCTCCATTATAGGAATAAGGAGTAACGCCTTTGTTTTTTCGGCAAAATTTCCTGATAATTCCGAAGCAAACATCTACGGCGTAACGTCGGACTTCGTCGTCGAGGAAGAACTTTTCGGTGATTCTGTGGTAAATATGATTACTACGGCAGTTGCTGTGCGAAATCGAAATTGAAATCTCCAAGTACTTCAATTTTTTCTTCTCATGCGGAGGTGTCGTAAGGAACAGTTGGGTCACCACATGCAGGACGATTTCAGAAGGATCTGGCTCACCCAGGCTGACGGTCAAATATGATAGAAGTAGAAAATTGAATAACCTCATGGCCGAAACGAAGGAAGAATGAGGGACTGAGCCGAGGTTTTCTCGGAACAACAAAGAATATTGGCGTGGGAAGAAAAAAGATGATTTTCTCACACAAGCCTAACTTTTTCGTGAAATTTTGACAATGTTCGCCTTCCACCGACCTTGATGAGTCAGTTATCGAGCGATTAGGCGTACAAAGTGACTGAGTCAAGTTTTTTTCCTTCCTTTTCGTCACATGGCCACGAATATTAGCTGACTCGGTCAGGCGTTTCTACCGTTCGGCCTGATCTATCAATCAGCGATTTAATTTGTTGTTTCAATCTTGGCCGAACACAAAGGGAAAGGCTTCTTACAAACTGTACCGGAAGCCGCTTCTGACAAACAAGAAGTCAGATCGAAAGGTTGAAGAATGATTCTCAAGCTCATTGGTCGACCTGGACGAGCCTGAAGCTCAGAAGAAGCTTTAAAGTAAAAATTAAGCAGAGAAAACGAAAATACGAGCGTAACCATGTGACATCGGTAAAGTGTTCGAAACATTTGAAAGGAATGCAAGAAAAAAGTTGCGCAAAAAGCTCCAAAATGACCGCAGAAAGGCAGCAAAAAGGTCCCTTTATCAAGCTTTCCATAGTTGCTGGGATTTCAAAGGCTCAAGAAAGGGTGGAAAAAGGGAGAGGCAGCAAAAATAGTGCATAAAAGCAGATAAAATGGCGCAAAAAGCTGCAAAAAAGGAGCCTTTGTCACCCTAAAAGGAACATTTCTATGGAGCCTTTTTCCACCCTTTACGACTTCGCCTATGGATATTGGAAGGTGAAAATGACAGTCTGCAAACGTCGAAAAAAAAATATTTTGACCGCCACGAGATCAGAACCTGCAATGCCTTGTTTGATAGTTAAACTCATAGGCACTACGACATGCGAAGACCATGAGTGGGCGCCACGACAAGAGCTTTTTTAAGGGTACTGTATTTGGAAGTACGCTTTTGTATGAATTTTATATATGAAATGGACCACAACTTGAGGAAACATTTGGATTGGATGCCGTGTTCAATTTGATTACGCGAAATGCAAAATACCCGTTAGAGAAAGGAAAAGTCACTAGATTTCGGAGAGTTAGAGAACATTTTGCGTTTCGCGGAATCAAATTGAACACGGCAGGGGCATCTGTTCATTAAAAATTATAATAAAACAAGAACTAAACATTTTTTTAAATTAAGAAAAAAAAACGCGAAAAATGGAAAACGCAAAGATGGACCACGCGCAATGTGCAAACACACAAAGTGCGTACTTCGACATACAGTACTCTTCGCAAATGGAAAACTTGTCCTTGTCGGAGCACCACTTCTGATTTCATCACTTTTAAATGAAGAATGAAGTTTTCTGCGACTCCCTCATGCAATCATAATCAACAAGCAAACTCCAAAAAACAAAAAAAAACTTTCTGAGAAGAACTTTAAAACACCTTGACTTGTTATAAAGGTCCAGGAAAATTTCCAAAAAAAGAGTGACGAATGAGTTTGGAGCTTGGATTTTGCTTTTGGATGATTTAAAAAAGCCTTTTGAACGTTTTCTATCTTATTAATGAGGTATTGAGACCCCTTGAATTATGAGCATCATTGAATGGGGGATACTCCCAACATTATCTTCAAAATTATGTTCTTTATTTATCCATTTTTCGCATCAAAATAAACACATTCCCAGTTTAGCAACGCTCCAGCTATAGTGAAAAAAAAAAATCTGGAGTCCCTTAACGAAGTTTCCGTCGCGACTGGACCTGATAAAACACGTAATTTTTCGCCGACAGGTGCTTTTTGAGCTTCTAAACAGAGCAAAAACTTTTTTTTTCATTTTCAACCGCTTTTGGATCGATTCATGTTTGTTTGAGGATTCTAAGCTTGTGTTTTCCGATTTTTTCTGGTTGAATCTTTAGAAAAGCAAATGTTCGAAGCTCCAATTTCCTCTTATTGTTTATAAAACGTCATGATAACCCTTGAGTGGTCACTTAAAGGTGTATATTGAATCAAACAGTAGCTACTAGTTTCTAGGGGGGTTTAGGGTCCGACCCCCTAGCCCCTAAAGCTTGAGTAGTCCATCTAGGGGTTCGCATAGAGTTCATAGAAATTACCGACTAGCATTTCCCCTATAGGGGTCACTTTTGCAAGCTTGAGTGACCCTTGAAGAGGTTGGCAAAGTGGTCACTAGAGAGGACTCTCCAAGGGCCCCTAAGGCTTCCCCTATAGGGACCACTCTTGAGCTCCTAAGTATGACTCACTTGCAGCCTAAGATTTTTTTACTTTTTCTACATCTTCTTCCAAAACTTTTTTTTGTAACAAATGGAGCAATTTACATCAGAGCGCATAGAATCATTCCGCATGACTTCCCAAAAAAATAGCATAAAACCTGAAAAACTTTTTTTTTCGTGTGAAAGTTCATTTGGGAGAATGTAGTTGAGCGGGATTTTTCCAAATTTTTTGCAATTCTTTTTGCAATTCATATACTTTGGCCCAGGATGAAAATGATGGCCGCACTCAGAATGTCTCAAATCAGTTGAGTTCAAAATGCGTCCGACCCGAAACGACTTTCGCGCGGTAACATCGCAAATCATTATGATTGCTATCCGAAAAGCTTTAGCCATTCCAAGTGTGGCCAAGGCTAATAGAGCATGTAAAAAATCTTCCCTAAATTTATTTTTGTACAAATTGATCAATTTTTCCAGATGACGTCAACAACGACGGAAATTATTGATTTTAAAATCTTGACTAAAGATCCATGGACGGTCCTGCTGTACATCTACAACTTTACCGCCGTTTTGACTACAATTATCGCTTTCTTAGGATTTTACCTTATTCTTCAAAAATCAACACGCGAAAGTGCTCTTTTCGTTCGGGTACTTCTAGGCTCACAGGTGAGTTTTTTCCTTATTTATGCCGTGTTCAAAGTGATTTCCGCGAAATGCAAAATGATCTCTGACTCTCCAAAACTTAGTGATCTTTTCCTTTCTCTAACGGGTATTTTGCATTTCGCGGAAATTACTTTGAACACGGCATTACTTTTTCCCTAAAAAAATTGACCTCAAATTTTTTTTTCCGTTGTTTTTCTGAACCAACATTCGCATAAAAATTCACAAAAGTTCCTGAAATTCGCAATTTTTATAAACCCTTCCAAAATCATTTCGCAACAATTAAAACTTGGAAAATGTATCTCAAATCCATTTTTTCGGAATTTCCAGGTGATCATCTACATCTCCTGCATTTATTGGAGCTTCTTCATGCAACCCGTAATTCTACTACCATTTCCTGGAGGGTATTCTCTGGGCTTTTTGTGGAACTTTTTGCACGTTTCTTCACATTTTCAATTTGTGAGTTATTGAATTTCCTTTCTAAAATGAAATTTGACGTTTCAGAGTGCCTTCAATTTTTTGTTCGGGTCATATTTTGCAACGGTTAGCGCCTCGATGTTGGTTCGGCTACGGCTTGTGGCGAGAAAAAATTATATTTTTGACGTTGGTTTGCTTTTTATCCTGGAAATTCTAAGTGGTCCCTAGAGGGGCAACCTTACGGTCCTTGAGGGTAGAGTCTTTACCTTCCCCGTTAAGAGGCACCCAAGCTTGGGAAAGTGGTCACTCTAGGAGAGCATCCTAGTGCTTTTCATTTTTTTTTTCTATATTCCTCTAGGGACCACTCTGGAGTTCCTGAGTAGACAAAGGCAAAGTCGGAAACGATGGAAAAGGCTCCATAAAAATGTGTCTTTTTGGGCCAATTTATCGGCTGTTATGCACCATTTTTGCTGCCTCTCCCTTTTTCCACCATTTCTTGAGCCTTTAAAATTCCAAAAAAAAACCTTTTTGCAACCTTTTTTGAGGCCCCCTTTTAGCGGCCATTATTCAACATTCCAACTTTTCTCGAGAACATTAGAAAATCGGAAAATTCTATTTTTCACTGATTTTCAGTTCAAAGACCAACATTATATCGTTTTTTGCTCCAGTGTCTTGTTACTTTTCGCCGTCTACCCTTCGATATTATTCTATCTTTGCCAAACTTCAAACCGGGACTCTGTCGCCTATGTTGAAATAGTTTTTAAAATTTAAAAAAATGAATTTTCTTATTCTTTTTTCAGAACTACCCACACTTGACGTGGATTTTCTCGATTGAAAATCTGAAAGTTTACAAATGGAATATTTATTTCCACGTCTATATTATTGGCTTGATTGTCGGCATTGCATTAGCCTCTGTGGTTTTTGAATTATTTTTTTAATCGGATTACTGGAAATTTCAGATATTCATAGCGACAGTCGTCGGGATTCAATACGAAATAACTGCACAGGGGCAGCAATTGAGCTCTAATATGAGAAGTTATCATATGAAAACTTTGAGGAACCTTTTCCTCCAGGTTCGGTCTTTTTCAATCTTTTCCGTGAATCGTCATTTTCATAAAAAGGGACTTCCAAAGGAAAATCAATCTAAAACCGTTTAAAAAAAATAATCAGTTCGTTTCCTGAAGTGTAGGGTAAAAAAGGAGGAAAAAGGAAAAAAATAGGGACAAAAAACGGCATTTTTTCAAATTTATCGATTTATCAGTTCTGCAACTCAACATTTTTTTTTTTCGAAAATTGACTTTTTGAACCATGACATCCACCTTATTTCTCTAGAATTCTCAAAAACCTGGCCGAGCTCCCCCAAATTTCATCAAAATTTGGAATCGACTGACTCAAATTTCACAATCTCTTTCCACGAGAGTGAAAAGTTAGCCTTTTTTTCCCTTTTTTTTTTTCTCAAAAACCCCTCAGTCCCTGAAGCTCAAGTGGACCCTAAGAGGTCTTTCAATTTTAAACGGTCATGCATTTAGTTTTTCTAATGGCAGTGCCTTTCGCATGAAATTCATAAAAATTATCGACCAGCAAGTCCCCTACAAGGGCCACTAACTAAAACCCCTATAAAGATCGCTTTGGAGATCCTAAGTGATTTCAAAAAACCCTTTTTTTGAAGACCTCAGTGACGGGACTGTTTTGTGGCGTCGCCCCAATGATGCTCGCCTGTTGCGCCGTTGTACCCAACGACACTGATACTAGAGGTAAAGTAATCATTTTCAATCAAATGATCATCTAATTAAGTGGTCATAATAATCGCCTGCTCGACTTTCGGCGGCGCCTCCATCGCCAGCACTTGCTCAATGATTGGCCTCAACGAAACCTACCGATCCTACATTTTGAAGTTTTTCGCTTCAAAAGTCCACAAAAAAGAAAACAAAACAACCGGAAATTCGCGCGTCTCACACGTTTTCCTAGTGTGATTAAAGTTTTTGAACAAAAATATTTTCATTTTCGAAAATTCGCACATAAACTATGATGAGATCTAAAAACAAAAAATGTGAATAGGACTTCTGAACGAGAAAAAAAAAACAATAAAGTACAGAAGGAGAGTTTCAATTCGTGAGCTCAAAAGTTATATTTAGACTCGAAAATCGCATATAACCCCAGTCTTATTAGAAAATATGGTTGGAACTGTTTTTAATGATCTCCGAGCCACGTAGAGTTTGGAAGAAGGCAGGAAAAATCTATATTTCAAAGTCATATGGAATTTTAAGCTGTTCGAGGGAATTTCAAACTTTTTTTCTAATTCCTGAACGCAATTATAGACTTAAAGAAAGTAGGGGGAAGAAGATTTTTACCAGATATTTTCTTGAAAATTTAAATGAGAAGAACTAACAACACTATTCGAAAGAAGATTGAATTTTTGAGCTGGAAATGGAAAAAGAAAGCTGGTTGACCTATTTACAGACGAAAAAAAAATGAGCAAAAAGACAAAAACTCAGAAGTCATCCTCGACAGTTTTCTCATATCCCTCCTCCTCTTCATCCTGTTCTTCTTCATGTTCATCTTCGAGTTCTTCGTCTTGCTCCTGTTCCTCCTCTCCTTCTTCTCCGTCCTCGTAGACCTGCTCCTGCTCCTCTTCATCTCCAACTTCCCGCTTCAGATGAAAAGGGGTCAACTGCTGACTAAGCCGCTGCTGGCGCTGATGGAGGGACATGGAGGGAATGCCCCGGTAGACGCGCTTGAAAATCGGCGTAGTTTCTTCCGGCGGCGGCTGGAGCCACTCGGGAAGCGTCACTTGGCATTGGTGTACTGGAAGAAGGTGTCTGTGAACCCATTTCACGGTTTCGGATAAGAATTCTAGAAGTTTGCTATAGCTTAAAATCTTTGTTCTCCACCCTAAAACTGAAAAAATAATTCGAAAACTTGAAAAAAGTCTGTTTTTCCATTATATTGTCCAATACTACCATGTACTTGATGATGATCCTGGAAGTCTAGGTATGGAAAAATCCCTATTTTTCGTAAAATTAGACCTCAATGCTCAAAAAAACTATAAAAGCTGGTAAAGAAAACCATTTTCCCAGTTTTTACTGGGAAAATGGAAATGTTTACCAGATTTCAATTTTTAAGGGGCTACAATAAAGAGAAATTTGACGCATTTCCAGAGAATTCTGAGGTCAAAATCTAATAATCCTTAGAAACTCTCTTTAAATGGATTTTAGCGATATTTTTTTTGGATATAGGTGCATTGAAAAAAACTTGCAAAATCATAAAAAAATCTGTTGAAAAGCTCAAAAAAATTTTTTTTTGAAACTCTACGCACAAAGATATAATACAAGGATTGATTTTCAAAAAGCCAAATTATTGAACAAAAAAACCTACACATATATCCCATATCGTATTTGTACTCCATCTCAGTTAAAGGTCGCCATTTTGCCTGACGAATCACGGCGCGACCGCCAGGACGGCCCATCATCCTAAAAAAATTTCCCAGTTCTGAAAATTATTTAATGATATGATTTTAAAGTCGCGTTTTCGAAACAGAAGAACAGAAGAAAAAGAGCTACCGTAACACAGATTTTTTGAGCTTTAGATCATAAAGCAAAAAATCACGTATCTCGAATATTTTACAATTAAGATATAGCTGATGCACAGCTGGCTTGAGCCATCGAAAAAAGGGTCCTGGCACGATCAGAAAAGAGACAGTGTCTGGTTGGTGAAGAGCTCAGACAGACCACGCTCTCTGTTCCCTCAGCAGCGAGGTCAAAGAAACATGAAAATAGCATGTCAAAATGAGAGAATCGCCGAGAGACGAGGAGGGCGCAGAGAAGTTTCAAACGGAGAACATACGGTTTTCTTTCGGCGAAAAAAGTGTACTAACAAGAGCTTGGTCATGATTTTCTGCATGATCTCGTTCCAATCGTCGGTTTTCAGGGTCGCCAAGTTCATATGCTCAAATTCAGGCTTGACCCGGATCGCCGCCGTCAGAGTTCCTTAAAAAAAATTCAGTGAGGAACAGGGTAATCAAAAAACAAAAAAAAAATCCAGGACTCACTCCAAATGTAATCGTAAGTACAGCCACTAAAAGTCCTCCAAGAATCGACTTCTTTTCCCGGCGCGTAGTACTGAATAAGCCTTATTCTCATAAAAAAATCTTCAAAATAGAGGTTTGGCTTGAAAATTATATTTTTTTAGAGCTATTGAATGTCGAAGAGCGAATAGCAAACAATTAAAATGAAGTTTTTTTAAAAAAACTATGACATTTATTTTTTTCTCAAACAGTCTACTTGAAATTATACTAACTAAGATCCTAATTTAAACAAAAAAATTATTTCAAAAAGGCAAATTGAACACATTTTTAAATGTCTGGTGAAGAAGAAACCGTGATTTTTGCTGTTATCACGAAGTTCTACGTCGAAAAAAATTTCTATAAAAAAATGTTCAGAAAATCTATCATTCTATATGGATAAATCTTCATGAAAAAAAGGGCTTTTCGCGTCGACACCATTAAAAAAATAAAGACAAGAAAACGAAGGAAAATAATAAAAAAATAATCACTCACCTGTCGGAGAAGGTGAATAAAAACGAGGCGAATCTGATTAGTCATGGTCTTGGATTCAGTGAAATCTCGATGTCTGGAGACTCTGTCAAAGGCGACAATCATCGAAATTGGCCGAGTGCCATCATTTTCCTCAGAAGGCGCCGTCACGTCATGCGCGATCTTGTCGCGCTGAAAATTATGGTTATTTTTTTTTATTTTCAAGGTTTCCTACATCAATAAAATAGAAGCACATGTCTGTAGTTTGAACCCGCGGAACTTTGCGATTCCGGGGACCGCCGCCTTCTTGGAGCTCTTTACGGAGCTCGGCGACCTCATCTTTCAGGTTTTTTATCTGAAGTCTATTTTTAAGGATTCCGTTACCCTGTTCAAATTTTTAGGACTTGTTAAGATTATTGACAGCGCAAAAAAATTTTTGTTTCATTTTTTTGAATTTATTTCCACTTTTTTTCTTTTTTTCAAAGATTCTCAGAATTTTTTTCTCCAAATTCATCTACATTTACAAAAAAATTGTAGCACGTCAATCAACTCACAGTATCTAGGAATTTAGCAGAATTTATCACTTTTGTAAGAATTTTTGAAAAATAAATTTATTCCCTATGGCAAAAAAAATGAAAAACAAGAATAATATAACAGAAAAAAAAAATAGAACTCTGATTCCCTTATGTTTTATTCACAACACCTTGAATGAACTTTCAAAAAAAAAAAATCCATTTTTCTAGCAAAAAACACGCCTTGAAACCATTATAATTTTCCCATGCTCCTTCGAAAATCCAAAAAATTTTTTTGAACCAACGAGATCAACGCAGACCTGCGAGATTACTAGCGCGAAAAGGGCAGAAAGCCGCGAATCGACCGAGTCTTGCGCGATTTTCATAATCTCGTAGGAAAGCGCCGACAAGTCCAGGTTCGCCGTGATCTTCTTCACATCTGCCTGGAAATTTTCATTCTTTTTCAAGAAGCCGAAAGATTGTTTCAACTTCAAACTCTTCTTCAGTCGTCAAATCAAGGTAATCGATCTTCTGGAGGATCTCCTGCAGCTGCGAAGGTCTTTCACGGCCTGCAAAAAAGCACTTTCAATGAGGAAAATCGTAGATTTCGGCACCTTTCTCGGCTTTTGGGTCAACGATTGGTCTGTACCGAAATTTCATCATCAAAGGTTCACGCAGCTTTTCCGGCGGCGTGCTCTCCGATAGAAATCTTTTTATATATATTATGAAGAAAATAATTAGACCATCTTCACTCTGGGAGGAAAGCACTCCCTCAGGCTCCTCATCTTTTCCCTCCACGCCAAAGCTCCTTTCGCATCATTTTTCAACCTTTTGTTGTTCTATATTCCCATGATACTCAAGAAATCTAACCTAGCATGTCCTTTTGACATCTTTTCTGACAAAATACTTTGAATAAATTGTCAGGGCCCTCAAAATCAACATTTATTAAACTTTTTATTTTGAGGAATGAAAACTTTGCCCGCGCCACCGTTCTCTCCTCCCAGCTCATCGTGTGCATTTTCTGAAAACGTGGCAAATGAAGAACAGATTCCAAATTCAGAGGATTAAAAGAAAATAAGTTAATGAATGCTAAAACTACTTCTGAATGATGATAAAAATATAAGTAGAATTAGTGTATAACTTCAAATTCTCTGATAGTACAAGATCCTACTTTGATCGATTAAAAGAACGAGAACTTATGGCGTTTTCATCGGCCGATATCGGAGAAACTGAACATGCTTCGAAACGAAAAATTGCGTTCATCGCAGCGCCAAAGTTGCTTTAAAAACTAATTTTTTTGCAGCGATTTTTGCCGTTTCGAAGCAATTTTCGTTTTTCTACGATGAACACGCCAGAAAGAAAATTTTTAAAAAACAATTTAGAAAAAAAGGAAAAAATTGATCAATTCGAAGAAACTCGCGTGCTCTTCGCTCTGGTGCACTTTTTTTAAACTCTTAAGGGTACGTATAAGTGAAAAAGTCACCGAAAAATTCTTTTTACTTTTCAAATAATAGTTTTTGTTGAACTAGGAGTGAAAAAATAAGCAAAAACGCGACTTTGTCATTTAAAGGCTTAAAATTCGAATATTCGACTTGAAAAGAATGAGCTTTTTGGGCCGCGCCGGCAATTTTTCCTTGACAGGCTTGTGCGAGGGTCACCGTAGCGTTCACATGGCCATTTTCTAACCCCGGCCTTAGCGGGCCTCAAGCAAAATCAGGCTCAAAAAGCTCAAGTTTTCTTCAAGTAGATTACTTTTTTACGAAAAAAAAATAATTTTTCTGGTTATTTTTATATTTACAACAGAAACTAAAGTTTCGAAAGTAAGCGTTTTTCGGTCAGAAATTTGAGTTTGGAAACAATTTTTTTCAAAATAAAATTTGAAATTTTTCCTGAAGCCCGGCATGACCCAAGCCCGCGCAGGCTTCTTCGAAAAAAAAATTAGTCCAGCCAGCAGTATAAGCCCAGACCTCGGTACCGCAAACCGTACGCGCCCTGGACGTTTCGAAGCATTTCCAATAATTTCTAAGCGGCTTCAGCACTCTTAAATGTTTATTGGAAGTTCTAAGTAACTTCCGCGACGAGTACGGTTTGCGTAAACGAGGTACGAGCAATTGAACGGACTGGGACCGAGCCAGGTTTGGAAAAAAATTTAAAAAACTTTCAAAAACGTTTCATCCGAACTCAAATTTTTTTTTTACCAAAAACCACGTTTCACTTTTTTATATATATGTGTATCAAAAATTATGGAAATAGACGGAGGCCGATAGATTGACAAGTTGGACCTTGTATAAGCCTGGCTAGCCTGCTTTCCCATCCAATCAGTTTTTAATGGCGTGTTCATTGGAGAAACGGAACATGCTTCGAAACGAAAAATTGTGTTCATCGGTGCGCCAAAGTTGCTCCAAAACAGTACTAATTTTTTGCCGTGTTCAAAGTAATTTCCGCGAAATGCGAAATTGTCTCTGAACCTCCAAAATTTAGTTATCTTTCTCTTTCTCTGACGGCTATTTTGAATTTCGCGGAATCACTTTGAACACGGCATTTGTTTTGGAGCAATTTTTTGCGTTTCGAAGCAATTTTCGTTTTGTCCGATGAACACGCCATAATAAACTATAATTGCATTCTTTGTACTAATGAGAAGCGTTTTCAGTCATTGTGAATTCACTGTTATTTCTTTTCTCTTTTGCAATTCAACACAGAACAAAAAACCCTCAGCTGCTTTTAAGAGCATTGGGCTGATACCTGGTATTGTTTAGCTGGCCTCACAGTTGCTCGGCGTCCGTCCGCCATAAATCTAGTTTGAAACTGTCGTCGCGAATACGAAGGGAGGCGGATTTCTCATCGTCTAGAATGACTAAATTTTCAAAGAACTTTCAAATGCGGAAAAAGAGGATATACTGCAGCGAAAATGAGTGAGTATTTTTCGGTTTTCATCCGTAACTTTGTCAAAAACAATCATCTTGTCCTGAAATTTCAGCAAATTAAGTGAAATGATGTTATTGACGATTTGAATTAGAAGTTGAAACCGATTCCAAAAAAAAAAACTCAAAGAAAATTATTTTTGAACATTCATTCAAAATCGCAAAAAATATTCAACAAAACCAGTAAACCGGTATAAAAGACGCCCAATTCAAAAAAAATGAGAAAAACAGATCAAATACTCCGTAGCATAGGCTTTGGATTTGATAAAAGCCTTGCATCTCCAGGACATTGACTCGATAAGTTTGTCCAACACGCTCATGGGAATCTTCTTCCAAACTTCTTCGTTTTTTTCTTTTTCCGAAATTTCAGGCCCAAAAAAATCGTTTTTTTAACAACAAACTTCTTCGAACTTTCAGGTCAAAACAATAATTTTTTTGACAAAGTTATGAACGAGAAATCATAAATAATCATCCATTTTCGCTATTAATTATTTTTTTCCGCAATTATCGCGAGAGTTTCTAGCTTAAATTCGGTGTTAATAAGGTCAAGCTTTCTTTATCTCATCATAAACTATCTTGATAATAAAAAAATTCAAAAACCTCACATCAAGTGTTCCAGTAGTCGATAATAAAAAGTGATTAAAAAAATATTTTTTTAGATATCAAACTGCACTATTTGAAGTTGTCGTTGAACCTCCATGGATTTCAAGCAGAAACAAGTTCGTTGAAAGGATCTGAAATATTTTCAAGATTGAAAAAGTCAAGTCGATTGCATTATAAGAAACACAGTTTTTTTGACTGATTACCTATGTAAAATCGTAAGTAAGTTAGGAATGCTTTATCGAGTCAGAAGAACTAACTAGGCGGTGCGCTAGAGCTCCGCTCGGCCTTGTCATAACTAATCCTAGACGCCGAAGGCCGTGACGGCATTTTCCGCGGGGGTCCCATCATCGCTTTGTCAGCATCGCGCTGCCAACAGTTTCTGCTTCGGCCACCGGAATGGGCTTCAGCGTGACTTTGCGTATCCAATTCGCAAGCGAAAAGGATCGGCACTCCGGGAGTCCCGCGGGCCTAATCTACTAGCGCTTATAACTCAGAAAACTATTTTGGAAACTAGATCTTTAATGAAGGTTCAAAACTCATCTTGAAGTTGAATGTTGAAACCGGACGAATCGTGAAGGAAGCAGAAATGATGATTGAACGCAGGTCGAAAAAGTAGAAATGACACGTTGCCACGTGGTTTTTTGTACGTGTTAATTTTTTCGATACCAGAAAAATGACACGCCACGGGGTTCACGTGTTGCAAAGAATGAATTTTTTTATTCTGAAAAAAATTCTGGGTCATGACGCAAAAAGAACCAGTTTTTAATTTTTGGGCTCTCTAGTTTTTTTCCGTGAATATGTATCGTTTTTTTCCCCCTTGTAGTAACGTAATTCGTGTAACTTACATTTCTTACAGCTCAATTTTTCTTCATTTTAATTAATTTTCCCAATTTTTACGCTCAACTTTTAATTCTAAATCTCAGTTATCATTCGAAAAATAAAAGGCGTTTCAAGTTATTATAATTATTTATTCACAGGCAAGAAAAAAGTAACACTTACAGAGCGGACAAGTAAAAAAAAACGAAAAATTATCGTATGAACCCGTAGAAAATGAAGGATGTGGCCCTAAGTTCCGTTCGAACCAAAAAAACAATGAACTTGAGCAAACTTTGCCTCGAAATATTCATTAAAATATATTTCAATATCCTTGTTCAACACAGCCTGCATGTCTAATCGCCTCGAATTTCTTTAAAAATATAAATTCCCGTTTTTCACATTTTTCAATAGGTGTTCTATGTCTCGTCTGAACATGGGAATAGTCCAACCGAAGCAACAGTTGGTGATCCCGAACATCTGAAGCCATTGGAAAGGGTGATAAAGACGAGAAAAAGCCGGTTGGAAGCGGCCATTTGTGGCTGGGCGCGGCTGCCTCGAGAAAATACTTGGCCAGCTTCATCATCCTGCCGTTTCATCACCTCCTGAACTGATTATCGATTGATGACGCGATTTTTTCTGCTTTTCCTGCCATTTCTGTCATCTTTTGTTTCCGCATGCCATCCACAGTTTGAGAAGGAGCTACGGTATTTGGACCTGTACTTGGGAATCAAGCCGGACAACGACGGAGTTATCCCGCAGAAAGGTTGTTTTTTTTTTTTAAATTTTTCTGTTTAAAAATTTTTTCTGTAATGTTTTAAGCAGAAGCTTTTGAAACCGTTTTAATTCTTGAAAATTGAAAGAATTGTCCCACGATTCTACAAAGAGATTTTTTACTACAGATGAATTTGTCTTGTTTGTTTTAAAAATCTCGCGCCTTTGAAGCCAAGCAAACGTTTGATTTTTCTCATTTAATTTTCATAAATTTTTACTATCTTTAAATGGATATTACTTTTTCGAGTTTTTATGCATGATAATTGAATCAAATGAAGCAAATTTTACCATCGAAATATAAATTTTTTCTTGATTTGTAACAGAATTGAACAAACTTCCTCAAATTTATCTGAAATAATTTTCAAAATCAATTTTCACACTTTTTCTTCTTTTTCTCACCTTTTTTTAAAAGTCTTCCGTGTTTTTCGAAAATCGAAAAATTGTATATTCGCCTGAATTTTTAATCAATTTTCATGTTTTCTTTCAGAACCTGTCAATTTCGCAACCTACATTTCCACTCCTGATCAGTTGAACTGCGATTTTGAGCATGACTGTCTTTGGAGGAACTCCCCGTCGGATAATTTGCTCGACACGTCTGATTGGTGGTATTTCGTGGTAAGGGAAAATTTCATTTATCGTTATTTTTGGATAAAAATGTCTGGAAATACTTCAGATAAATTCTTTTTCTCATTAGTTCGCTTATTAAGAAACTTATGAAATATTTTCTGAAGCCAGCGTTAAATGAGTTAAAAATTTTCTTTTAAACAGAAATCCGATGACAAGGCGTTCCCAGTACAGATTCAGCCAGGAAAAGCGGATATTCCTAAAGGTTTTTAGGCTTTTTTCGCATGAAAATATGTCAGGAGAACATATTTTGGTAGCTGGAAACACCACAAATAGCCCAGAAGGTGCCGTTTTGACGTCGGCCCCGATCGCGTGCCAGAAAAACACGGCGAATCTCACTTTTAGGTTGATTTTCTTTCCTGGAACTGTCAAAATTGTTAAGTTTATAGTTATTGGCTGTATAATCACGCACAAATCGAAGTCGTCATTTTGAAAGCGATGAGCCGGAGGAGGCATTTACAGGTGAATTTCGATAAGAAGAAAATTAAAATAATGAAAAATGGGTATTTTTTCGAATTTCCATTGTGAAAGATATTAGATTATCGTTACTAAGTGTTATTTTATTAAAAAAATTTTTGTCTTCGTTTTTCGTGATCCATTTTTCCTCGGAGAACATAGAAATGGAAAAAGGTCACAACAGCTTATGAAAAAATTGAAAAAAATTTCTGTAAGGTTTTTGATTATTGGTCCTTGAACTATTAGCGACTTGAAAATCTAAGTCAAGATTATTTTTGAAAAATTTAAAGGTATTCAAATTTTTGTCTAAAAAGTTTTTTCATTTCCAGTCTGCCTTCAGAATTCAACAATCCTATGTTCCTGAGAATTTAAATTTTTAACTTTAAACTCTCAAAAAAATGGCCTGCCAAACCAAGATTCGCAGCGTCGAACAGCTAGACACACAATGACGACTAAACCAGCGCGCAAGTCGGCGCGAGTCGGAGGCAACAGTAAACGGGGGGCGCAGTAGGATTTTCGCGTCAACGCTAGTGACGATATCAACTAGGGCGGTCATACACTTCCTGGTGATTCTAGTCTTTTCCGAAGCGTTTTGAAATTTTGGTCGGATGTATTGAAATACGAAAGAAACTAATAGAATTTCTCTTATTGAAAATTATTTCGAAGCAGTTTCAATGCTCGAAATTCAAAATTATCTCTGACTCTCCGAAGTTTAGTTATCTTTTTCACACTCTGACGGCTATTTTTCAATTCTACAGAATCAATTTAAACGCCATTAGGAGATTATTTAATGAAATAATGAAGAAAATTACTTTTCCGATAGGAGATTTGTATTGAATCGCAGATTCTATCGAGGCCGAAAATGAAATGCGACTTCCTCGGCGCCGCAAATGAGGAATGCCGTGTGGAAATCCCGTCCATCAAGGAACCTTTCCGCATAGGAATCAGAGCCTTCAATCTGAAAGTTTGAAAATTATCAAAACCCGCGAAAAATGACGATTTTTCAGGACAATGTGGTTGGTAGCATGGCCTTGATCAACCATATTCGATATCACGGAAAAATTTGCCAGGAGTCACGTTAGATTTCAAAAAATGAATTGAAAAAATGTAGAAAAATTCAGCTTTTCCCTCGTTTTTTGCCTCGCTTCACCTGCCTCCCTATGAAGAAATGAGCGTCCGAACAATGTCGGATTTGAGCTGCGAAAGGCCGCTGAGAAATTGTCGGTCAGCAGTTTTTTCATATGAACTGGTCGCATTTGGAACGGCTCGAAGCTTTATTTTAATTGAAAAGTGGTTTTTTTAGTTGGAGCAACAAAGGTCGTCATGGTGCGACGCAATGGCGTGTGGGAAGAAACGTGGATCGTTGGGCGGAAATGTTTGAGGTGAGGTGAGGGAAAACCCCAGAAAGTTCTGAGAAACTACGAAGATTCAGAAAAAAGTGATTTGATTTTCAGGTCAACGCGACAAAATCCCATCCGACGTCTTCTTTCTTATTCTTGGCCGTCGACGCCTTCTCGCCAAGACCATATCCCATTTTGCACAGTCAACTGATTCCTTGCACTCAGAGGACCTCGACGCTTTCCTTGAAGTTTTCCTGTAACTTCCAGAGCCTACAACAACATTAATTTTAAGATATTGGCTCAAAGTTGGCACCCAAGTCGAAGTTTGTGCGGTAGATGAGGACGGAATCGCCCTGAGTTGCGCTTATTTGAGCGACGAGGACAGTCCTGGCCCGATTTCCATCGACGTCGACGCCTATGATCGGCCTTTTAGGGTTTACACGGATTTTTAACTCGCATGGTTGCTTTTTCGCGACTTCTCTGCGCCCTCCTCGTTTCTCGACGACTCTCTCACTTTGACGTGCTTTTTCCCGGTTTCTCTGATCTCGCTAGTGAGGGAACAGAGAGACGCAGACATGCGGAAACTGTAGCTGACTTGAGCAATCGAAAAAAGGGTCCTGACACGAAAAATGAGAGGTAGTGTCTGGTTTTTGGAGAGCGCAGACTCGGTAGTATTTTTGCAGAAACGGGAAAAAGGAACCATTTTCATCATTTTAGACCAATTTTTAGCTTAATTTCTATCCTCCGACTTCCGTAATGCGAAACGGAGGTGTTCCGGACGTTTCTGGGCAATTCTAGGGATCACTTAGGAGTGCTGACGCTACTAAAGTGGTCACTAGAAAGGCCCACAACCGTCCGAGTCGAAAAACTTTTTTATCAGTTTTCTTTTTTTCTGAAAAAAGACGAAACCCTTTTCCAGTTTACCATCGAGATCATCGCATTCGATGAGAATACGATCGGACTCGTCGCAGTTTCCGAAATGTCAGTCAGTGGACTTTTGTGCAGTGAACCGACGCCTCCCGTTGTCACCACCATCTCACCGCCTACTGTAACCTCTCATATCACATCAAGCCATTCTCTCCCCTGCAGATCAAACGACTGTTCGGACTTCAACCAGGCGCCGGAAAGTATGTTCCATACGACCTGACTCTCAACTGCAACTTTACCAAAGTTTGATCAGTTTGAGAAACACTGAAATATTTCCCACTATAGGATTACTGTAGTCAGTGGGTCAACGACGACGATACGGTACAGTATGGAATCGCCCCCCGGGATAGCGACTTCTTCCCGGTGCCCAAGGAAATTCGAGGTTTCTTCTAGAAAATGATGGAAAGAGCTGTTTTTTTGAAGGAAACGTGGCGGTTTTCACGATGACCGACGCCTCGAAATCGGTCCTTCGTTCTCGCCAAGTCCCCTGCTCGAATAACGCCGTCATCGCCGTGGTTTATATGAAGTTGGTGGTTGGAATTGGATGATTTATTACTATTTTCTATCGTTTTTTCAAACAAAAAAGCGCTGGTGAAATGGTGAAATTGTGAGAGAAGATGAATTTCGGTAATAATCTGATTAGATATCTGAATCCACCTTTTAATATTGTGTGAAGTTCAATTTTTTTTAATTTCTCAAGAACTTTCGGGTTTTAAATTGTTGGAAATCGCATTTTAAATCTGAAAATTGACTTATTGAGATATGATTAAAGTTGCTGGGCAGATCCAAAGAAAAAGTCATCGCTCAAGCTCCGCCCCTAATGGCGCGGTCAACCAATCAGGAAGCGAGCCATCCATAGAGCGTTCTGGAACGACGTCATTCTGAGGAACTCCAGAGTGGTCCTTATAAGGGCGAAAATTAGGGGCTCTTAAAGGGTCCCCTCTAGGGATTACTTTACCAACTTCTATAGGGGCCAATAAAGCTTGCAAAAGTGGTTCCTATAGGGGCCATGCTAGTCGATAGTTGTTATAAATTATGAGCGGAGAAGCATTTCCATCGAAAACACTGAGTAAAAAAGAGACCCCTACAGGGTCCACTTGAGCTTTAGGGGCTAAAGGGTCAGTTCAGACCCTAAACCCCTAGGAAGGATCCCTTTATTTCACCCCTATATGGACCACTCTGGAATTCCTAAGTTGTAGATGACAATCAGAATTTGAATAGGCCACGCCTATTTTCCCTCACTATTATTTTTCTTTTGCAGTACTTCTTTTTCCTTTAAACTTATCTTGATTTATCAGATCGGAAGACGCTCAAATCCGCCTCTGCGCCCTGGAACAGTGTGTGGAAGGAGCCGACAGTTCTGGGATCGTTTCGATCGGTGTCTCCTCTGCCACCCCCTTCTATGTCTTTTCATAAAATTCCCATCATTTTTCAACAATTACCTGTTAAGGTGAGCATCGAAACCTCCTCAAGGAGCGACGCGATAGTGGTGATCAGCGAGATTGCTGTAACTGGCGACGTTTGTCCCCTGAAAACCGCAGAAAGGACGGTCTGCGACCAACTTCAGTGCAATATCCAGAGTTTGAACGGACAAAAGTTCCCAAGAAAGGAAGATTTTAGACACCTTCTGCAACTACGAAACGGTCGTTGAGAAAGCCCGGCGACGTCCCGTTGACTTTGACTCCAACGGGTTCGAAAATTCATTAGCTTCGGAGAGAACAGCTTGAAAAATGAGAGCATATGTGCTCCATGGACATTTGACTCTTTTCGAAAAGTTCCAAAAGAAACAGTTACAAAAAATTTTATTTTTTGATTCAGATGAAGCTTTCAAAAAATGCAGACGCAACTTTTTGAACTATTTCCTCTTACAGTAACCGGGCTACGGTATGTGGAAAAATATTCTAAATTAATAGTGTTACAAGGATAAGAGAACCGACTAGTTGAAGAGACGCCAGAGAAAGAGAGACTTTTCCACTGGCGTCTCTTCAGGCTTTCTGTTTTCTTTCTAATCAGTAACAGAGGAGTAATGTATTTTGAACAGGTTGTCGAGACCTGTTATGATCTTTGGTCATGCTCCTTTAAATTACAGATAAGGTTTTTGAGCAAAAAATTTCTTTAAAAAATATCCGAATGTCTCAAATTTTTTTTTTCTCCGGGGGTCGAAGAAGATCCTGCCGATTCAAAGTGATTGAATAGCCGTAAGAGAGTGAAAAGAAAACTAAATTTTGGAGGTTCAGAGATAATTTCGAACTTCGCGGAAATTACTTTGAATAAAAATAATTTCAAACTACGGCTTCAGATATAAAACATATTACAGGAGCAACGGTTACACTTAACGGAGGTGGAATCCGCTCAGTACTGCAAAGCCCATCATTTGACCTGCCATATCCATCAGTTCTATCCATGACCATCACTCAGAAGACTTTCGGTTCCAGGGTCCTTTTGTGTCCCGATATTACAAGGTTCTAGAGTTCTTAGTAAAAAAAAAAATAGATTTTAAATTAAAGCGATCGCAACGCTTGTCACGAGCTGGCTGGCCCAAGAGTCTTGGACGTGTCTCCTAAAAAGGTAAGTTGATGTTCAAACCTAAAGAAAGTCTCATCTTGACTTGAAATTTGATAGTTTTACCTAGAAAATTCATCTATTTCTTGCCAGTTTTTAAAGGAAAGTTACGAAAATATCGTACAGCCTTTTCAAAAGGGCTACCTTCAAAAGTACAACGACCAATAATTGCCCTAAACTGCTCAAGGAACCACTAGAGTGTTTTTGTTCCGCGCTTTGCTGCTCAACAATCTTGATTACCTCAGACCTCGGTAACGCACACCTGACGTTTCTGAGCATTTCTAGTGATCACTTTAGCGGCGTAAGCACCCTTAAGTGACACCTAGAAAATTTCACATACGTCCGGGCCGCTTCTGGTTTGCGTTACAGAGGATTTTGGAACTTTGTCGATAAAAAAAACTTAATAGAAAGAGAAAATTGTAAAAAGTTATTCGAATTATAAAAATTTGCCTTAAGTTACAGAAGGAGGTCGATCAAGTTATCACTTAAGTGACCAGTATGAAAACGCTTGAGTGATCACTGAATCTCTCACGTTATGATTTTGAAAGGAAAAAGAACGAAATCTTGTAGTGGTGGCTCTAGTGGTATTCAGAGAGCCCTGCTATTTTGCTTCCTAGTGATCACTAAAGAGGTGAAGAGAAGGCAATTTTACCATCAACGAACCATCAAATTCAAATAACTTGAGTCAACTCTATAAACTTCTTAAGTCAATGTTTTTGCTCCTGAACTGATTCTTCAAAATTGAAAAAAAAACTTTCAGATGACGTTCCCCTTGGACGTAGGCGCCAGCCGATTCTTCATAGTTCTCTATCACGACAAGTCTGTCGAATTCGGGCCCGCCTCTTTCGAAATCCACTCAATCGACATTAGGAATCCAGAAGACGGTCCTCTGTGCGCCTAAGTAACTGTCGACCATTTAATAACGTGCAATATGAGTAAACCAATGTATATATTCAACAATATCTCGTCTCAACAACATAACAACGGGAAAATTCGGAAAATAACAATGAGATCACGTCCGTGGCCGGGTTCGCTTGAATTTACTCGTATTTTTCAAGGAGCTGTAGAGGTCTCTGGTCAGTTCGTTGGTGATTTCCATCTCGCCTTCTCGGCCAATGTAGTATGGGATCGCCTGGTTCATCTGAGAGAAATATTACTTTGAAAAAACGGCATTTCGAAATAAATGAAGACTTTGTCGTCAAGTTTGATGTCAGGTACGCAAACAGCAGAATTGACGCCATTCGAAGGAAAAATAGAATTTATCGTCAAGTTTGACGTCTCGTACGCAAACAGCAGAATTGACGCCATTCGAAGGGAACATAAAATTTATCGTCAAGTTTGATGTCTGGTACGCAAACAGCGGAATTGACGAGATTTTTCCTAATTTTTCGGTAAGATCCGTTGACAAATCCTTGTAAGATTTTTAGAGGTGCGCTATGAAAAATGAAGAGAAAAAAACATTTTTAGTCTTTTTTTGACTTTAAGTTTTTTTTTTTCGCATTTATTCAAATTTTTTGAAAAATCCGGATTGAAAGTAAATTTTTCGAATATTTTTTTTTTAATTGACGTTCAATCAGCTGTCTTGCGAACCAGGCGTTAGAACTGACGACAATTAAGATAATATTTCACCTGATGCGAGAAGAAAGGTGCAGGCAGATCGATTCCATCGCCTCGGACAAACATGGGCGGCTCAAAAACTTTAGAAAGGTCCATTGGGGTCACCACGTACATTTGCATTGCTTCCAGGTCGATGGCGCGGATTAAACCTTGAAGATTTTTATTTTTTCAAAGATTTTATCGATTTCACATGTAGAATTTTCTCTGTAAAATGCGGCTTTTTAGGAAAAACTCACCAAAACCCAGACATTTTATCGCTGGAGATCTAGTCGTTGTAATGACGAGTTCCGGTAAAAGGCTAATATTTTCGATTCTTCGTCTTTCCTACAAAAAATCGATAACTAATCAATATTTATGCTTATTAACCATATCGTTGGGTTCACAAATCGCCACCAATTGAGCGTTGAAACAAGCCAAAATGTTGCGTTCCTCGACGAAAGAGCTGTCTTCGGGGAAGCAGAGAATCACTTTGCTGGAAATTTCCAACACTTAGAGGTTGTGAAAAATGGAAAAAATTCAAGTAGATATTTTCCAAAATTGAGAGCTGTTGTAAATTTTTAAGTAAACTTTTTTTTTGACGAGGCGAACTTTTTCTGCGTAAAGTGTTGTGTGTCGTGTGCATGCACTGCGACGCTCTCGCGCAGAAAAATTTCTTTTATGTGAGAAAACGATTTTTCTCAAAGTCCTATCGCAACGCGACCGCTGCGCCTTTAATGCTCTTACACGGGAAGTGCGAAAGGTCGAGGTATTGGAATTTAATGAAACTTGGTATATAGGTACTACCGAACACCCTGAATCCAAAGCAGTTGAAAAAAAGTGCGCCTTTTTGGTTTTAGTCGAATTAGGGCGCCTCAAAGTTTGCACGCAAAAAATGCATTGGAAGGGAGGAGGGAATGTGTTGCGGCGGCTAACTCTAGCTGCCAGCAGGCGGCGTGGTGTAGTGGCTAGCGGCCTTGCGCTGTGAAACCTATGATGCAGGTTCGAACCCTTTTTGGTGAAATTTTTTTTTGCCATGAAGTTTTTCGAAAAAATTGATGAATTTTTGAAGATGGAACGAAAAATACCGTTCAAAGAGTTGAAATTCACTATTTTATGTCGTTTTGAGAAAGACTTTCAACAAAAAAATTTTTTTAGTCTTTTTTTTGTCCTGTCCTGCTCTGTGCAGGAAATTTGGGCGTCGAGATTAATCTTGCGAGAGTTCATAGGTTTGTGATATAAATAACAACTTATTGTAGTTCTATGCTTCTATTCTTATTCATCAAACGATTTTTTTCTTCAAAGATGCCGGTTAGTTAACCCTTTTCCTTGTCTTTTTTTTCATTCCCAGCATCGCCATATCATCTCGATTGTGAAAATAAAGTGAAGCTGGACTTTGATACACATTTTTACACACATAACGTCATAAAGGAAGGAAAGAAGAATAAATCTCATAAAACTTTGATTTTATTGGTTCATCAGAAATTTTTTTGAAGGAATGGGTCGACCATAAGCCTTATGGTTAGGCAAGGAAAAATGGAGCAAAAAAATTTTTTGTCGAAATTCTTTCTCAGATGAGCGTAAAATGGTGAATTTCAAAATTTTGTGCTGTTCTTTCACTCCATCATCAAAACTTCCTCATTTTTCAAATAAAAAAAATTGGCAAAAATAAAATTTCACCAAAAAGGGACCGAACCTGCATCATAGGTTTCACAGCGCAAGGCCGCTAGCCACTACACCACGCCGCCTGCTGGCAGCTAGAGTTAGCCGCCGCAACACATTCCCTCCTCCCTTCCAATGCAATTTTTGCGTGCAAACTTTGAGGCGCCCTAACTCGACTGAAACCAAAAAGGCGCACTTTTTTTCAACTGTTTTGGATTCAGGGTGTTCGGAAGTACCTATATACCAAGTTTCATTAAATTCCAATACCTCGACCTTTCGCACTTCCCGTGTTAGATCCGGGAGCTCTGCCGTTCCAATGACGTCACGTTCGACTCCGCCCACCGTATTTTTGGGTTCTTGCACTAACAAAAAGGCCGTGGTTTTGAAACTGTACTCGGGCAGAGTCGGAATGGTGGATAATGGCCTCTAGAAAAGAGGGGCTCAAAAAAGTCCGCAGAAAGGCAGCAAAATAGGTCCCTTTATGGAGCCTTCCATTTTTTATGGAATCTTGAAGGCTCAAAAAATGGTGGAAAAAAGAAAGAGGTAGCGAAAATGGTGCATAACATGGCGCAAAAAAGTAGCCTTTGCCACCCTCAAAGAAACATTTCTATAGCCGATTCACGGCTAACTTGGGACGCTGAAGAGGCGTGGCGTTTCTGCTCTTTCCACCAACCAAGCACTATCTCTTTTCTTATCGTGTCAGGACCCATTTTTCGATGGCTCAAGACAGCCGTGGATCAGCTGTATGGAGCCTCTTCCCTCAAAAGTTTCTGAAATAGCTGGAAAAAAAACCTAAGCGGAATCCGATACGGAGCACATTCTATGAAGGCTGTTAGGGACGGCCGATGGAGAATGGTCGAAAAATAGCCGACAATCGACAAATCGCGCATCGTTTCGGCATTGAATCGTTGCATCGTCTGCACACTTCGGTCATACGGAGCTTCGTTGGGGTGCAATGGAAGGTAATCGGGGAAAAACGTCCGATACCGGTCCTTAACAGTGAGAATCGTGTTTCAAAAGGCGTGCAAAAAAAGAAAAAGCCCGGAAAATGAGTTAGACTCTTCAAAGCTAGAGAGCATTATAAAACAAGAGGGCGATTAGAGAAGAAAAGAGCCTGCACTCTCTCATTTTTGAACGCTCTCTAACTTGCAAAAAATGTCAAAATGAGGGATTTTCTACCAATTCTTTTTGGGACCTCTCAAAAAAATTATTTTAAAAAAATTTCAAACATTATTCCTCCACGGCTCCTTGGATAACCTCACTCCGAGGTCCGGTTTCAGAAATTGTAGAGCTTTTTTCATCAAAGTCTCCCCGTCACCTGGAAAAACGTTGATTTTCAATGTAACTTCACAAGATCTTTCTGTTCTTTGGAAGAGGCATGGTAAAAAGGACTACGGTATCTTTAAAGCTCCAGGTTTTTTTTTTCCTGTTCTTAGGAACGCCAGAGTGGTCATTAAAGGGGTTTTACGAAAAATAGTTCCTCTATGGGGACAATAAAAGGCTCCCTATAAGGATAAAGTTGAGATTTGGTCCCTACAGCAGTTTAGGGTCTGATCCATAAGCTCCTGAAGCTTGAGTTGTCCCTATAGGGGTATTTTAAATGTTTGTTCTGGATATACAATTAAAGACGTGTGGAAACCACTAGCATTCCTCCCTAGAGTGGCCACTTTTGCCAACTTTAGTGTCCCCTGTAGGAGAAGGTGAACTAGAGGGGAACTACAACGGCCACCTAAAGTTGCCCCTTTAGGGACCACTCTGGCGTTCCGGAGTGTTTGTACCTTCCAACATCTCAGAACATTTTTTTTTTCTGATTTTAACCTTACCTTCGATCCATCCCATGGTATTGACCACCAATAAGGAACCAGGCTCGCTAATATTCCGAAAAGAGTTCCATAACCTTTCGAAAATGTCCTAAAACTTTAGGACCTCGAAAACTTCCTCTCAGTACCACGAACCAAATAAAGATCGAAAAATCCGGCCGGATTGACTCTTCCGAAAAAGTAGCTGTTTTGCAGGATGGCTTTTTGATGGGAGGAGGGCGGATCTGGTCAACTTTTCATTAGGAAAACTCAATTTTTTTTTCTTTTTACCGAAAATGGGAGAATCGACCTTCCACAGGGACATACAGCCCGGTGGCGTGAACTCGGTTTGGCCGATATCCGCGTCCAAAATGTAGATTGGCGGGTTTTTCTCTTCAATTTTTCGGATTTTTCGGTTTTTTATAATGAAAAAAAGTTTTTTTCAAAAAAAGGTATCAAAAGCTAGAAAAAGATGTTTATTCCGAAAAGGCTTGAAATAAGCTTGAATTTTTATCTATTTCTTCAAAATTCATCATAAAAAAATCTGGTGAGAGATATTAAATAAAACTAAATTATTCTCTTTTCTGTGAATAGGAAATATTTTATCAATTTTTCAAAAAAATCTTTTTCATCCGATGTTTAGGTGCTTAAAAATCGATGAAAAATCTCAAAAAGGGGCCGAAAAAAATTAAAAATTTTTTTGCCTAACTGAGCATAAATCTTCAATCGTTCCTTGTTTTTCAGGTCAGGAAAAATTTCCAAAAACACTTGAAAAATTTTCAAAAAGGAACTTTTTCAACAAGAAAAATGAAGCAGAAAACGCACTTTTTCCATATAGAAACGATCGCCTAAAAGCGCCTCCATAGTCCGTTCACAGAGACTTGACAGTTTTGGCATCTCTGCGTCTCTCTGTTCCTTCACCGGCGAGGCCAGAGACACGCGAAAATAGCGCGTCAAACGGAGAGAGTGTCGAGAGACGAGGAGGGCGCAGAGAAGTTCCGACCTTTGAAGTTGCGGTAAACTGACTATATAACCTCCATTTTGCAGCTATTTTTATTCTTAAAACGATAAAACTAGCCTCAAACATAAATTACAACATTTTCAATAATCTGAACCCACCCATTCAAGCACCGATTCACGAAATTCCTGACAAAGGTCGACTTTCCAACACCTTTCTCAGCAATCGGGACGACCACAACCCGTTGCCCATCTTCTTAACTTTTCATTTATTTTTTCGAGGAATTTCCGAATGACCAACTCCTCTTATTGTTCAGCTTCTCTATATGCTTTGATAATTCGAGCTCTTCGGGTTCTGGATAAAGGTAATAAGCCGCCTGGAAAAATCATTGATTTTTTAGATAATCATAAATAATCGCTCACTTTTATCACATGAAATCGGATAGTTGGGATGATGGAGTCGTATTTTGAAGAATGGACCAGGTAAATCTGAATGAAATAGTTTTTTTTTCAAAGAAAAATTGGCGTCTTTAGAAAACTGTTCAACTAGAAAAATTGATTTCAAAGCCCTTGAGATGGAAATTTCTGGGACTTTAAGGAACTCGAAAAATCTAGGAATTTATTATTTTCCCCCTTTTTCCAGAACAAAGCTCTAAGAAGCTCTTTGGAAAATAAAAAAAGACTTTAGGGATATATACTCGAAAACTTAAAAATTAACATTTTTGGAAAATACATGACAAACTATAGTTGAAAAAAGGTTCAAATTCAAAAAATCACTTGAAAAATCAACATTTTTTTGAAAAAAATACAAGGCAAAATTTGAGGAGAAATTTCTAAAAATGAAGAAAACCGTCCGCTTTTACGAAAATATTAACAAAGAGAGAATATTTGTTGAAAGTTTTTGCTTTTTAAAATAAAAATTTTCCGAATGATATTGGTTTTTTTCCTTCACCTCATGCAGGATGGTCAAAACGGCGAAATTCGGGAATAAAATATCAAATAATCACCTAAAAATGAAGAAAAACGTCGATTCTTACGAACAACCTTGTGATAAAATATTCATTTTAATTTGATTTTTTTTTCCATCTTACGAAATGGGAGTTTTCAAATGATTTTAGCTTTTTTCTTTTCACCTCATGCAGGATATCAATGATAGCCTCAGGTTGGCCAACTTCCAGCTCGATCAGAAGAACGGCTGGCGTGTTTCCCTCCACATAGGTCATTATATTCTCGAATTGGGGTGTTAACTAAAATCAAAATAGGTACATTCAAGCTTGAAAATTTATATATTTACCTCTTTTAATCGATACTTTACCCGATTGTACTTGTAAGGCTTACCCGAGAAGCTAGTCGTCGCATTGATTATCGCCTAAAAATAGATTTATTCATTCAAGGAACGAGAATCTAACAAACAGGCATCAATAATCGCTCCGGAGCACAAACTCGGTGCATTTTGGCTCGATCAAAAGAAGATGAGGACAAATTGAAGCCATTTAGGGTAGCGTTACCGGCTGAATTTTTTCATAAATTTTTTAAAAATTCTGATTAAAAATATTTCCTAGAAAAAAGAAATCAGTGCGCCACCAACACGTACAGATGCAGACGAAAATTTAAAAAGCAAATTTTTTTCAAAAAAATGTGAATTTTTTTGAACTATCAATAAATGTTCGAAAAGCATTTGGTACAAAAAAAATCAACAGAAAAACGATAATTTTAAAAAAACCAGAAAAAAATGGGAAATTTTTGAAAATCCGTGTTAAAATATTGCAACCATTGTTTTTTACCCAACTTTTTGAACAATTTATCAGAAATTTGTTTTTTCTTTCCCAAACCCTACCCAGAAGCTGTATTCGGAAGGATCCGAAACAGCAAATTCTCTCCCCCGGGGCCAGAATCAGGACTCTCAAGTGATCCTCGTAACATTTGAACTGCAAAACGTCGAAGCCCTCTTTTCCGGCGACCTTTTCCATGGGGCTTTTGGAAAAAAAAATTGTATTCACATCAAAAATCAAGGTTTTCAATAGTATCAAGGCAAAGAAACAACTTTCACGCGAAAATTACTTTTTGAAATTTATTAAATTATGACACGTTTTTCTTAAAAATGGCAGGATGATTTTATGTACAAATCGACGAAAAATGATAAAAATGCAACAAATTCACAACGAATTCTCAGTAAGGAACTGAATATACATGAAAATAGAGAAGAGAATGGCACAGGGAACCCGTAAAAATACAAGAAATCGATAACTTTTAAAAAGAAACTTCTAGGTTAGAACTGATTGGCCTCAGAACGGTGTTGGATATGAAGTCGACCACCTGAAAAACGGAAATTTTTCGAATTTTCTCAAGTTCCTCAGTGAACTCGGAGGATCTTGAACAGAGGAAAAACCAACATCTCTCATTGAAGGCCTGGCGATTCGGTCTTTTTGCGAACTTTTCAGTCCGATATCAACAAGAGTATGAAAAAGAGAGTTCTCGTCTTCTGAAAATCAGAAAATGAATATTTATACAGTACAGAATGCACAGTTTTGTCAGAAAAGTTACGAAAAAAACCTTTATTTTTATTCGAAATTTTCTAGTATGAAATTTAATCTTTCTGAATCCTTCTGGAGTTGTGACGACTGTTATTTGTAACTTTTATTTTTGAAATTTCAGTTTGCAAACAAAAAGCTTTACATAGTTTCGAAAAAATGTAGTTCCACATAAGGAAGTTGTGAAGAAATAGTTTCTTAAGAAACAAGACAGATTTTTCAAAAAACGACAGATTTCCGCATTTTCCAGCTACAGAACAAGCGCAAAAACTTCTTCGACGCCTTTTCTGGCCTTTTTCAAAAAATCAGTTCAAAGAATCAGCTGAAAACTCGCCAATCAACGCCAAGGAAGGCGTTTTTTTGTCCATCAACGAATCCCTGAGTATTCCCATGTCTTTTCGCGCTTTTTCTCGAAGCATCACGCAATAATCAACAAGACTTCGTGGAACTCTTGTGTCCACGTAGGCACGAAGACCTGAATTATGAAAAGCTTCATTTTTACATTTTACAAGTTATTTAGAAGCCTATTATTACTGAAATACGAGTTAAAGACCGTAATTTTCAGAAAAAAAAAGCTTTCACTGTTAAAAGAAACTGGCAGAAGCGAAAAAAAAATCAACACCTGTGAAAAATAATTTTTCAAGCACGTCCTTTTCAGGATGCTTTTAATGTACGTATATCTATTCATAATTCCCAGAGACTCTCGTTTTTTAAGAGAAAATTTGTTCAAAACGAAATCTGCGTGAAAATTTCTCTAGAAAACGAGACACAGAATCGTCATTTTCTAAGATCATGGGACTTATATTGGTTTTCTTTATGACCCATTAACTTAACAGAATCCTAAATAAAGGCCCTTTTCAAATAAAAATCAAAAAAGCATCCTAAACCACTGTTAAAATAAAGCACCGTGTTTCAATTTTCTCGAACCTTTCCTGGCCTTTGTTTTCAAGGACAAACCTGAAGCTATTTCCAACAAAACGATCCCAAAACTGTACACATCGAGCTTGGTGGACAAAATCTTCGACGTGATGAATTCCGGGGGCAAATAGGCCAAAGTTCCTTTGATGTGCGAGGCGATCAGAGGACATTTCTCCGAAGCATCGGCTTCGACCTTCAAAAAAATAAATAGAGAAATTAAAAATACGATAATCTAATGAGATAAAAAATAGAACTTAAAAAGCCGGATAAAGAACATACAGAAAGCCCATTTTTGTTACTTATTGTAATTTTCTAGGTTTTTACTTCTAGAGCCCTAAAAATGAGATTCTTGCAAGAAAATATGCAAAAATGGGTTAGGAAGATCTTCTATACAGAAACTTATCATTACATATTCACCGAAGCCAGAACATCATAAAATGTATGTTTATTTCAAATTACGAAACGTCATTTTTGTACACAAATGAAGCTCAAAGGCCCATTTTTCAAAAATCTTACTTTTTCTCAACAAAAAAATGAAGACTTTTCTCGATTTTGAATTATTAACTTTCTTTAACAACCCTGAAAAAAATGCATTATTATTCATCGAAATAGAGTTAGGTAGATATTTTTTTAAAAATAAATTTCTTCGGTTAAAAATCACCCCCCTTCTTCTGAAACCCTTAAAACAGCCATTCTCAATAAATTATCGGAAAAGGTTAGGAAAGACCTTTTTTAACGAATAAAAAAAATCTCAAGACATTTATACCAGCTCAAACTCCACAGAAAATACCAACCTGTCCATCCCTGCTCAGGCCGAAATCGCCGAGTTTCGGCTCCATGTGCTTGTCGAGCAGAATATTCGCCGTCTTGACATCGCCATGGATTATTGGGGTTTTCGTGAAGGTGTGAAGGAAAAGGAGGCCTCTGGCGGCGCCCAAAGCGATTTCTCGCTTTTGGGACCAGGTCAGGGGGACTGTCCCTTTCTGAATTATATCCAATTTCATACCCAAAATGAGAACCTTTTAAAAAAATTACCGAAAGAGTCAAAAAAATTTTTTTATATCATGCCATGATCAATTTGATTTCGCGAAATGCAAAATAATCTCTGACTCTCCAAAATTTAGTGATCTTTTCCTTTCTCTAACGGGTATATAATCAAAGCGAAAACGTCATTAAATTGAAAGTTTATGAAGTTTAAAATATATGTATACCTAGTTTTATAGCGAAAAAAAGATTTTTTTCGAAAAAAATTTTTGCAAAAAAAGTGAACAAAAAAATGGATGCCTTGATTTGAAACTTTCTGAAATATATTGAGAAAAGCTGTTTTTTCTGATTTCAACTATCATTCTCTCGGTTTTTTAAATAATATTGTGAACTTGTTTGATTATATATTTTTCTTCCTTGTAGTTTAACGTTAGTGGAAGGAAAACCATGTAAAGTTTCAAGTGAACAAAATTAAATTTTCGTTTTTTCTCTTCAATTTTCATCACTTATTTCTGTAAGATAGTCGATTTTGCTCATTGAATCTTCATTCCCTGATACTTTATCTAGGAAATAATTTCTTAGTTTACTTAAAATCAATAATTACTGGCGGAAACTCCAAGTTAACTTGTTAAGAATCAAACTTTTTCTTGACCCCTTCCCGAATCTCTTAAAACTAACCCTGCAAAGCAGCCGATCTTCCAAAGAGCCGTTGGCCATGAACTGATAAACGAGACAAGGTTCGGCGCCTTCCAAAGAGTAGGCGTATATGGGCAGGATATTATCGTGTCGGAATCGAGCCAAAGTCCGAAGTTCTTGGAGACTTTGCCGTAACCGCTCTTTTTGAAGCTTCAATTTCAGCATGAATCTCGGAAAGCAGTGTTCTCAGTACCCTGTTGCCATTGGCCGATTTGTCGCCCGTGGCCAAAATTCGCTTTACAGCCACAACTCCCCCGGTTCCCTTCAATTCGCCTCGGTAAACGACTCCGTAACCTCCCTTGCCGATCACGTTTTCCGGCGAGAAATTGTTCGTCGCTTGCTGAAAATAATAATTTTTCAAGAATCGAAAATCATAAGGAAACGTGGAAGGATATATTGAGAGCCAATTTGAAAATATTTACTGAATGAATTGTATTTATCAAAATCTCGGAATTTCACAAAGAACTATAGAGTTTAACCATTGATATTATACTAAATAAGCAAAGTCGGAAAGGGTAGAAAAAGGCTAGGGCGACAAAGGTTCCTTTTTCGCTGCCTTTTTGCGCCATTTCATCGGCTCTTATACACCAATTTCGCTGCCTCTTCCCTTTTCCACCATTTCTTGAGCCTTTAATATCCCAGAAAACATGCCAGGCTCGATAAAGGGACTCTTTTTGATGCCTTTTGGCGGCCATTATCCACCTTTCCGACTCTGCTCGAGAGAAAAATTTTAGTGACCACCATAGGTTTTTGACATTTTAGTGGCCACTGTAGAGGTCTAAGTGCTACTACTAGACCACTTAAAGTTTTAGTGGCCACTTTAGGGATCAATGGATCAACATAACTGATCCAATCTGTTTGTTTTAAAATTATTAAAGTTACTGGAAGGAATACTGGATGAAAAACTACTGAAGTAGCCACTAAATAGAGAAGAGCCTCTATAGTGGGCACTCAACCGGAAAAATAGTGGACACCGTAGAGGTGGGTTTAGTGGCCACTTTAGTGTCCTCTCCAACTAGTCCTTGGCGAGCCTCTATAGTGGCCACTAAAAACTTTCCCAGTATTTGCAAGTTTGTAACAAAAACTTTTGTAAAATACAATTTTTTCTAGAAAAAAATAAAGGTCATGAAAACCTCGAGCTCCGGATAGGAAACCGGCAAAGTTCCTTCGATCGCCGTTCGAAGTGGATCATTTAGCGATCTGAAAAAAATATATGTCTATTACTTCAAAAAAATGATGATAACCCAGCAGAAGACGTTGACGGGGCGGCAGAAGCAGACGTGATGGTTCCAGAAGGCCTGAAGATGTTCTGAACGCCGTCAAACATGTCGGAGCGTTTACCAGTCATTGATGTCTGAAAAAAATACATATTTTACAGCATTTTCTAACTTCAAAGTTCTGGAAAAGCTGTCAAAATGATCAAAAATTCGTTATCAAGTCTTTCAAGTTTCCTAAAAAGTTCTAAGAGATCAAAAGAAAGTTAAAAAATCCTTACGATTTCGCCTGAGAAAAAGAAGTAAGAAAAACAGTTTTTGCCTAATTACTAAAATAGAAAAAGAAAATTTCCATATATTCATCAAAATAAAAACGTTTAAAAACAGCCTCTACCTGCTGTATTTTCACAGAGCTGACGCCAGTTATCACGGATTTCAAGTTGTTCTCATTTTTCTTCATCGGAGAAAGGACGGCGTTCTCCAAATAGTGGTACTGGGAACTCACTGAAAATATTAATTTGCTTCTGAATTTCTCCAAAAAATCCACACCTAAAGGCTGAACTATCCTCATGCACCTAATCATCTTAGTAACAGCAAAAAGTTGGTAAAGATGCCGGACAGCATAGCCTTTACTCGACCAAATGTGGAGAAGAAGTTTCGACGGACTCTTGTGGGCCGCTTTGTATCTGAAAACTGAATTTGCTTTAAAAAAATATTCAAAATGCACCTTCTACATCCTTCAATGTCCTTCACTTCGATTCCGGGCATTTTTCCGGCTGTAAATTGAAGAAAATGACCAAATAAAAAAACTTCTTACCGATTGTTTCCCATGTGTCGCCGGCGTCCAATATTTCACAGATTTGGTAGAGAATCTCACTTTGCATGCATATTATTATAACATCGTCGTCCGGCTCCTCAGCCATTAAAACTGAAAAAAATTTTGAGGACGGATTCCAGGAAATTAAATAAACAAGATAGATGGAAAAGGTTCACTTTTTAGAGAAAGTATTAATTTTCAGATTAAAAAACCACAAAAAGTTGGAAAGGAGCCGTAAGAAAGAGTTTTGTACGCAGGCAGTGCCTACGACTAATGCGTTTTTCAAGACGGTGGTAGGGGCATTCAAAACGAAAAGACACATAAAAAAGTTAACGAGAAGTTTTTTAGCGCCGCTAAATCCAGACGTGGGGGCTTGCCTCACGCGCGCGCCAATTCAAAAAAGTGCGCTGGCGCACAGAACCCAATATCCCATATTAATGTATGGCATGCTGGAAAGTGCGCGCTGTGCGCACTCTTTTCTCGTGCGCACGTAAGGAAAATGCGCACTCTTTTTTCAAATTTTGTACAGGAAATTGCGCTCTCTTTCTAACATCAGGAAAATGCGCACGGTGATTCCGCTCTTTTCTAGATTGAAGTCCGCATAAATCATCTCACTTTTGTCTTTGTCATGAAGAAGTCTTTCAGCTAAAGATGTATTGAACAGCTTTTGATTATTTGAAATTTTATGGAGAATATTTCTTATCAGCGAATGATGTGCGGTCACTTCGGAATGAGATCAGGTGTAGTTTTGCAAAAAAAGTGAGATGCTCTTTTTGAGACCAAGCTGATTTCAAGCTTGGTCTCAAAAAGCTGCCGCGAAAAATCTGCTAAAAAAAGTGAGGGGCTCTCAAAATATACAGATGTTGTCAATCTGATAACATTAAACAATACAGAGTGGAGGAATAATTACAGCGACAAAAGTTTGTAGGATTAGTTCTCGCCGACCCGAGCTTATTTTTTTGTTCCAGTCATTATTCCTACCTATATATAATATGATGACCGTCGTGCCACGCTGATTTTTCAAAAAGTCGTTTCTGCCTTTTTGGGCGTTTACGGAAAGGCAGGCAGGCTTGGCAATGAAAAATGAAAGCCTAAAGCCCGGCCTTTAGGCGTTCATTTTCAATTTCAAAAAAAGCGCGAGTTCAAGCCAGAGATTCGAGAAAAAAATTCTCACAGAAAAAAATTATTTTTTTACATGCTGAATCACAGTTTTTTTAATAACTCAATGAGGAATAATAAGCAAAAACCCCGATTTTCTCGTTAAAACAGCGAAAAATTCGACATGAAGAAAATTTGAGCTTTTTGAGCCGGGCCGAACCACCAAAAAGTTCTTTCAGTGATTTTTACAGCCAAGTACAACATTGGAAAAATCTTGAATCAAAGATATTAAATTACGCATCAAGGCGGTTAGAAATGGAGTTTATTGCGACCTTCAGATATTATTCGATAAGGTTGCCTTGAAGCTCAATTTGAACGTAATTTTAAGGTTTCGATTCACAAAACTGGTAACGATTCACGTTTATGTAAGCCTGTCAACTGGAAAAAGTCGAAAAAAGCTTTTTAAAAAAACATGAAGGAAATTTTTTTCCGAAAAAAATAGAGGTGTGCCTCCACTTGGCACGCTGTTTGGACGCTCTTCATAGGCGAATCGAGAAAGGGTGTCGCGAGACCCTCTGAGGTTCATCGCAGGGTCTGAAGTCTCGCGATGGTACCTCTGAGGACTTTGAGCAAAAATTAGTGAGACTAGAGAGAGACTCTCAAGTACCCCCGAGATGCCTCAGATATAGCTATAAGGTATGCCGGAGGTCCCACGATGGACACGTTATGGGGTCTACACGATCCATTTTGAGAGGAATTTTTGCGGAAAAATCAAGGTGCCCTTCTGATTCGTCTGTGTTTGTACAGACAAAAAAAAGTACACCATCGAAGCTGTCAGAGTATTTGCAGCAACACTCAGTTGCTAATATTAATGATTGGGCTATTTTACTATTCTTGCATTCGAAATACGTCATTTTGCTTGAAACTTCGTAAAACGGCAAAACTCAGCTTTTTCGAGTTTCTGTAAGAGATGAGGTCAACTCAGAGAGCAGTAAACAAGATAATTTCAAAGGTGTGTGCCTCGTTCGTGATATGAAAACCAAATAGTTCGAAAAAAAATTAATTAAAAAGAACGGAGCGCCGGCGATTCGATTCGAGGTCAAATAGGCTTACTAGAGAACTTCGCGAACTCGTATTCGCGGATCGAGTTCAAACTTTAGTGGTTTGTAGACCTGAGCCAGAATACATGAAAACAAGATAGAATACCTGTTAAACCGGATAGAGAACTAAGAAAAAATTTGTAGAAAATGCGCAGATCAAGCCTGAAAATTTTCAGAACACTGTGTTTTTACCTTATTTCATATTTCAATACAATCGTCTCGAATGACCCAGCTATAATAAACACTTAAAAACTCTATTCCAGCCAGAAGGAGAAAAGCAGAAATTTGATAATTTTTCAAGCCGAAACGCAGTTAACTGTTCATTTTCAAAACGCTTTTTTTCAGTACCTTATGGGGTTTAGCAGATTTTTATTGCCTGTTTTAAGTACCCTTACTTAGATCATTAAAACACCAAAGTTTGAACTTGATCCGTGAATACGAGTTCGCTTAGTTCCCTAGTCAGCTCAAGCCAATTTTTTTGAGTCCTTATCGGAAAAGGTCTTATCCGGTTAGAAGAATGGAGTCTTGTTCTTTTTCTGTTATCCCATTGACTCCATTTTTTTTGAGAAACTTCAGTGTGCCGCTTGTAACAGTACACACCAGTTTTCCTACTGACTTTTGGCCGCTCTGCTCAAAAATTGTGGCAAAACTGATCTCGACCATCTGCGTGCCGCAGCCGCTACATTTTCGAGCGGCAGTTCATGTTACAAAAATATTTTATGGAAAACTTTTTCGTATTTTGTGATTAAATCCCTGTAAAACTTCATAAAAAAATTGTGAGTTTCCGGTCTTTATTGACTATTGACTATTGACATATTGACAGCTCCTTCATTTTGTTGCAGTAATAATTCATCACCCTGTAAATTTTCTTCAGAAATTTTTCGAGCCTCGAAAGGTCCTTTAGATTTTTATTTCACATATTTCCTTTTTTTAATATAGTTTGTCCAGATTTGGAATGTCAAGCAGCAATCTCCGTCCCAAACAAAGCTCTGTAAGTGGCTCGTTCTATAATTGGTTTGATCTACACATAAGAGGCGGAGTTCGACCGATGACTTGACATTCAAATTCTGAACAAACTATAAACGCCGACTGTGGCATTCAAGTTCTGAAAAAACTATAAACGCCGACTGTTCGGAAAATAACATTCCAAAATTTAAAAAAAACACATTATTAAGTGAAAGGTAAATCAGTGTGACCAGTTTAGTGACCGCCTGGTATTACTATTTAAAAAGATGAATGCTTGAAAAATCAGTTATATCAACTTCAAATAATCCGAAAGGACAAAATTTGATAACCGCGCGCATTTTCTTGATGTTAGAAAGAGAGCGCAATTTCCTGTACAAAATTTGAAAAAAGAGTGCGCATTTTCCTTACGTGCGCACGAGAAAAGAGTGCGCACAGCGCGCACTTTCCAGCATGCCTTAATGTATATCCTTCAGTCAATCTTTCCGTTTATATTTTTGTCGAAAGATTTTTTTCGGTTAATTTCGCCATAAAAAGTGAATCGATTTTTTTAAATAAAAGTGAATCGACATAAAAAGTGAATCGAACATAAAAAGTGAATCGAACATAAAAAGTGAATCGATAAAAAAATAATCGAGTTTTTAAAATGAAAATAGTTTTTCGCAAAATTTTTCCACTGGTCAATCGTGATGGAGATACAAATAGTTACCGAGTAGCTACCTTTTTAACTAGCTCAGCAGGTCGTAGCACGGTTATAGGCCATTCCGCGCCAGCTTGTCACGTTTTTTCTTTCCGCCAAAAGGCCAAATTTGACCAACTTCGCTTCAAGACCTTTGTTTCTTGCCGTTATAAAAGCAGAAATTTGATTTTTATTTGGTATACGGTCTTTTTTTGGCGGAAAGAAAAAAACGTGACAGGCTGGCGCGGAATAGGCTATAACAAAAAAATTGATCTAAATAAACGACCACTGATTAGCCTCGCGGTAGCCTTAGTGACGCTGCTACCGTTTATTATTTACAAAAGAAGACCATATACAGTCCTAAACATAATGATGAGTCCACCCGTAATTTTTCCAATGGTTTTTCTGTTTTCTGAATTGACATGGGGATTCATTTTGCCTTTCGAACTGGAGTTATCTGCAAATTTGCCAAGAACTCTCTGATGGACTACAAAAAATATTCTCTACTGTAATAGTGAAAGAGCAGTGCCAATGCCAGTCTTCTGCAAAAACCTCATGCTTTCTGCAAATAAGTGCTTTCAATTTCGCACAGAAGCACCTCGAATTTTGCATTTCTTTTGAGCTTACTTTTGTGCAGGCAAAAACGAGTGCAGAAAACATTTCAAAAAGATGTTGCCGGAAAATGGGAATATTCACGATTATTATAAGGTATACCTGAGGTTATGCACTTCTTCAGCAAAGTTATAACGGTGAAAGACAAGGAATTATGAGAAACTATAGAATCTTTTCATTCAATTCTTTCCTCTTTGAGCTTGCATTATTTTGACGAAAGAGAAGAGATCTTGAAGCTTCAAAGCCAACTTCAGTGCTTCACTCACCTTCATAGTAATACCGGCAAGTAAGTGTTGATCAAACGAACAATACCTCACTGTTCAACCGGCTTATCCAGTGCACTTTCCATCGATATATGCTACATTTAATCAATGAATGAAATACAGAGGCTAAGTTTCTGCAATTTCATTACTATTACTGTTCACACCACTAATATCCTAATGTTATTGCCATTTGCGGTGGCTAAGGGGGCTTCAGAAAGTAGAAGTTCAGAAGTACAGGGTGCGCATAAATTATGAACTGTAAGTTGATGAAGGATGCTCTGTTGTTCTTGATTTCGAAGCATTTTTGTAAATTTTCAAGATCTCAGGAGCACTACCTTCAATATAATTAAGTTTTCATGGGGCTGTCTTCAAACGCCAGAATTTCCAATGGTTGAAACAAGTAAAAAAGCGGTTAAAATTTTTTCTCAGAAAACTTATCTGCGGCGTTACCAACTAACATTAATAAACTGACAAATCCTTACGGATGAAGAGACGGTTTCTGTTAGATCGTAGATAGGGCTCTTACTTGCAATATGAACACAAAAAAACTGGGATTCACCAGGAATAGGTATGAGGTGAACATCGCAGATCTGGTTGAAACTTCTGTGATAAATAGTCCTAGGTATGAGTACTCAAAAATGAAAAGAAATATCAGCTACGCGCCATAGGGTACTGAGAAATAGCCTGTCAAGAATGTACAGTGAGATCTCAAAAACTTAGTTGTTTTCTTTTTCGATTTCTAAAAGTCTAGTGTTGTTCATTATATCATAAGAAACGCGAGAAAGAAACTCTCTACGAAAAACCCAAAGATAAATCGTTTTTTAGCTTCTCCTGTACATTTTCGTAGGGCTGTTTCTCGGTACCTTAGGCTTAGCAGATCATTTTTTATGTTTTCCAATACTCATACCTGGGACTTCCTACCACAGAAGTTTGAACCATATCTGTGATGCTCACCTGACACACTGCCCTCGTCAGGCTTCTAAAAAAACGTATTTGTGTGTGTACTTCGAAAGTCTTCAAAAAACAAGAGCGTCTTGAAGGAAGCGTCGTCATTTCCATAGTAATGGTATCTGAGGAATGAAACTTTATAAACTATTTTATAGTGAAAAACAGTTTATGCGAAAAATTACAGAGAACATTAATCTGAAAAATGAACAGCAGTACTTTGAAATTTTTTATGGGCACTTTGTATGATGTCGAATAGCACTCCGATAGCTATCGCACCGTTTATTCTATACATTTACTGATTATATGGATACCTCGAGTGGCCTTTAAATGTAAACGTGAACTACATTTATAGTCAAAACGTGACATAAAGTACTAAATCGCAAAAAGAAAAAGAACCCCACTGACTATTTTTTTTATTTCAAATATTTTTATCGATTCACTTTTATGGCGAAATTAACCGAAAACAATCTTTCGACAAAAATATAAACGGAAAGATTGACTGAAAAAAAAGGATATACATTAATATGGGATATTGGGTTCTGTGCGCCAGCGCACTTTTTTGAATTGGCGCGCGCGTGAGGCAAGCCCCCACGTCTGGATTTAGCGGCGCTAGAAGTTTTTTTAACTTTCAATTTGGAAAAAATATTTTTTTTAAATTCTAAACGTAATTTTGAAAAATGTAATGGCCGTAGACACCACCTGCGTACAAAACTTTTTTTTGACCACAGTTTCCAAAAGTTTTGAGATTTTTCTAGTTTCTTCTCTCATGCCGTGTTCGTAGGTAATTTCGGCGTTTTCAAAATTGACGCGCTATTCATTTGCAATGATTTCGCTAGATATTCATTTTTACTGTGATTTCTACGGGCCAACTCACTATTTTGGAATCATTTGGGCCTTTCCACGAAATTTCCAAATTCGCGCGTAAAACTTACCGTCTTTTTTTCGAATACTCGTACACACTTCTCTAGTGAGATCAAAATGTTATTAACTTCTACCGCAAATTTAAAATGTAAAAATTTTTCGCATTATTAAATCATAATAGGGAATTTCAATCAGCAAAAAAGCTTCGAATCTTTCTTCATATTCTCGGTAATTTGGTATGTTTTACTCACAAGGAGTTCGAAATCGGAAGAAAAATAAAGATCCAGCTGACGAATTTTGTAGTTTACCATTTTTTGTAATCTCGACTTTCACAATTCAATTGACAACATTGGCTAACAATTACTCTCTCTCTATCCAATAAAAACGCCTCATAAAACGACAATTCATCAGTAATGATATGTCCGCCTGTCGCAGTACTGCAAATCACCAGCGTTTTTTGTACAAGGTGGTGCAAAAGCGCAACGCTGAACTCGACATTTCTCTGTCCCCGACTCGCAGCGACTTGCGCGGTCGCCCGTTTCAAACAATGGACGCGATGCATTTCAATACTTTTGCGTGATAAAAACGCTGAAATCACACAAAACTGAAGAAATTTCTTAACAAATTTAGGCTTTTCCAATGATGCGAAAGTGAGATCGGTACAATTTTTGGCGGGAATAGATAAACAGATGAAAATTAACAAAGATACAAATTATTATATGATTGGACTAGCGAAGTTTCTAATTTTCAGTAATTGTTTTAACAAGGAAAGACTAGAAAACGAAAAAATGAGTAACAGAGATCAACAATTTTAAGGGAAACAAGGGGAATCACGGCTAGCTTCTGAGGATTATTCGAAGTTCAATGAACAAAAAAGGTATTTTTGTAACTTCCGGTTGAACTTTCGATTTGACTTGGCTGGGTCGTACTTCAGGAGGTTTGGATTATATAAAAAATAAGGATTTTTACGACTTTTGCCGTATAGTCGAGTTACGACGTTTCAAAGATCGCAAAATACTTATTTGAAGAAATCTTTTTTTGCTCTCAATTAAGGCCGATCTAAAGCACGACTGAAATGCAAAAGCCGAGAAATATTTCCCTTGTTCTGGAACCAGAAGACCCTATAGTAGACTCCAGCCAAGTTTGATCAAAAATTCAACTAGAAGCTGAAAAAAATTCCTTCTGGAAAGTTCATAGTCCTATGCTGAAACGATGGAAATCTTGTGTTTCAGTTTGGTTTCTGGGAGGGAGGTGTAGTTGCGGAAAGCTGGGGCGAAAACGAAGACGAATGGCTGAAGCTGGGTCTCGGCCAGTTCGCAGGACAGCGACATCTCGATGTTCCGGAAGTCTTCGCCTTGGGTGTAGCTGAACACGGCGACTGCCGCGATGCAAACGTACTCGCAGGCCGCCACGCCGACCGGCACTGAAGGAAGTTACGATAATTCGGATATTCTTATATTTGAGGCCTCGGTACCGCAAACAGATCATTTCTAGTGATTTCTTTAGAGGCTTAAGGATTTGAAAAGGGTTACTAGTTTTAAAAAGGTTACTAGACCTTAAAAGATGACTAGAAGGTCTGAAATCCTATCAGTATAAACCGACCACTTTAGTGATCCCTTTAGCGGCTTAAGAGCTCTTAAGTGATCACTAGAAGTGCTCAGAAACGCCCGGTTTGCGTTACCGAAGTCCGAGACTGCTTTAGTGTCTTAAAACTCTAAAGTGAACACTAGAAACGCTCATAAACGTCCAGAGCGCGTCCGAATAATGTTACCGAGGTTCGAAAAACAATACTTAAAAATTTCGTTTTTAAGCCGACCATTTATTTTTTTAACTAATCAATACTTATTTTTCAATCTCTGAACTCCAAATCGAAAAACATTTTAACTCCCAACTACAACAGACAAAGACCTATAGGAATGAACTCTTCAATTTGTTTTGATAATTTTTCTGAATTTTCAGGGAGACAAATAAGATCCCTGAACCAACCATGAGTATGACAAGACTTCGTCGCGAGCTGAGGCAGATAATTCGCGTAGACGGTCCGGAAACAGGCGCAAAAGGCGATGATACAGAGGGCTCTGGTTCGGAACCAACACGTGCTCCACTGAACACTTTCTTTGAACATGATGACCTTCGTTTAGAAACCTCTTTACTCCGATCGAGCATCTCTAGAACCGAGAAAAGTACTGAACTGATGACCCAACAGACGGCAAAACCGACCGGAGCCATCTCCATGAGGAATCCCACTGTAATTCGCAATTTTCGGTTCATCAAGGATGGAGTTACTTAAGGCTTTTCAAAAATTGCTCTTTCAAACTTGAATCTTGTTTAAACGTCTTGAAACTCCGCCACAATTACGAAGAGGTATAAGAAAACTCGGTTCTAAAAGCAGAACCAGTTCGCGTCAAAAGGTTCGTTTTATCTTTTTTTTGGGAAGTTTCAAAAAAATTAGACAAGATTCGGAGAAGCCAGGTACAAAAGCCAGAGAAACTAGTTCATTCTAAGCTTTTCAGGATTCAAAAACTGGCTCTAAATTTTTTTTTTTCGCAGGTTTGAAGAGCCATTCGGAATGCAAACCGCACAAGCCCCACACGTTCCTGAGCATTTCTAGGTACCACTTTAGTAGCCTCAGTACTCTTAAGTGGTCCCTAGGACTGCTGAGACACAACCGGGACGCCTCCAGTTCGTGTTACTGATTCGGATAATGGTAACGCGAACGAGACACGGCCCGGAAGTTTCTGAGCATTTCTAGGGACCACTTTAGTAGCATCAGTACTCTTAAGTGGTAACTAACTGGGAAATTGGTAACGTGAATCGGAATTGTCATATCATTTCCAGTGACCACTTAAGTGGCGTCAGCTCTTTCAAGTGAACCCTAGATTCACTCAGAAACGTCCGGTTTACGTTACCGATGTCCGAGAAAGTCTGAGCAAGAGTCGGAGCAATAGATTGTTCGTCAGAGCGTACTTTCCAACAAACTAAGGAAGAATAAATATTGATTTTTTTCTCTTCATTGTTTAAAAGCTAGTTATTGTATCTCCCCCACTTGACGTGTAGTCGTTCTCCTTGTGAAGACACGAGACGAGCATGGCGAAGGTGGAAGCGGCGATTTCAGAGAAAAATGCGACGGTGGTGAAAAGACGCCAGGCGTTGTGAGCCAACAAACTTGAGGTTGAGGTTTTTTGGATCTCCATACAACGGCATAGGACGCAAAAAGCCTGGAAATTAGAGTTCTCAAAACCAAACGTTCGAACGAACGTTCGACCAAACATTTTTCGAACAAATGTTGAAACCAAACTTTTGGTTCAAGTTTGCTTTTGAACGTTCAACCAAAATGAACGTTCATTTTTCCGTTCGTAAAAAGTTCGTTCAAAAAAATGAACGTTCATTTTTTTCATTTTCAGAAAGTTCGTTCAAAAATGAACGTTCATTTTTTTCATTTTAAAAAGTTCGTTCAAAAATGAACGTTCATTTTTTCATTTCCAAAAAGTTCGTTCAAAAATGAACGTTCATTTTTTTCATTTCCAAAAAGTTCGTTCAAAAAAATGAACGTTCATTTTTCATTTTAAAAAAAGTTCGTTCAAAAAAATGAACGTTCATTTTTTTCGTTCGTAAAAAGTTCGTTCAAAAAAACGAACGTTCATTTTTTCATTTTTCAGAAAGTTCGTTCAAAAAAATGAACGTTCATTTTTCATTTTTAAAAAAAGTTCGTTCAAAAAAATGAACGTTCATTTTTTTCATTTTCCAAAAAGTTCGTTCAAAAATGAACGTTCATTTTTTTCATTTCCAAAAAGTTCGTTCAAAAAAATGAACGTTCATTTTTCATTTTAAAAAGTTCGTTCAAAAAAATGAACGTTCATTTTTTTCATTTCAAAAAGTTCGTTCAAAAAAATGAACGTTCATTTTTTTCATTTCCAAAAAGTTCGTTCAAAAAAATGAACGTTCATTTTTTTCATTTTTAAAAAGTTCGTTCAAAAATGAACGTTCATTTTTCGTTCGTAAAAAGTTCGTTCAAAAAAACGAACGTTCATTTTTTTCATTTCCAAAAAGTTCGTTCAAAAATGAACGTTCATTTTTTCATTTTTAAAAAGTTCGTTCAAAAATGAACGTTCATTTTTTTCGTTCGTAAAAAGTTCGTTCAAAAAAACGAACGTTCATTTTTCATTTCCAAAAAGTTCGTTCAAAAATGAACGTTCATTTTTTTCATTTTTAAAAAGTTCGTTCAAAAATGAACGTTCATTTTTTTCGTTCGTAAAAAGTTCGTTCAAAAAAACGAACGTCCGTTTTTATGTGAAAAGCAAACGTTCATTATTATAAGAAAACGATTTTTCGAACTTTTTTTGGTTGAACGTTTGAAAATGATATATCCTAAACTATCGAAAAATGAAAAAAAGTTCATTTTTCAAACGGTCATTTTTTTGAACGTTCGGTTTTGAGAACTCTACTGGAAATGTTCATCGATGATCAAAAAATGATGGAAAGCGCAGACAGTTCACGGACTATAAACCCACCCGGATGCCGATAGCAAGAAGGACGGCAGTTCTGAAGCAAACTTGCGCCTCGGCGCAGACGGCCATGACGCGGAGCAGCGACGGTAGGTGAACACCTGTCGGGTACGGTTTCAGCTGAAAATTCCTTCCTGGTACTAGGAAAAACAACAGGTAAAACGTAGCAATAGTTCCAGAAGGATGAGCCGAAGGTGTAGCGGATATGGTTCTTCTTGTAGATCGGATTCAGGGGGTGGGACCAGTCATTCGTCGCGGCGAGGACCTAAAATAACTTAGGAATTACAGAGTGGCCCCTACAGGGGCTGAAAAAATGGCCCCTATAGGGTAAAAATCGAGATGGTCCCTATAGGGGTTAACCCTGGGCCCTTAAAGCTCAAGTGGACCCTATATGGGTCTTCTAATTTCATTCAAAAACGCATTTATTCAGTTTTCCCATGGAAATGCGTCTTTGCTTAGAGATCATCTACTAGCATGACCCCCATAGGAGCCACTAAAACCCCTATAGGGACCTCTTTTGTAAGCTCTAGTGGTCCCAATAGGCGTTGGTGAAGCGGTCCCTGGAGGGAGCCCCTAAAGTTGCCCCTATAGGGACTGAAAATCGGAATTTCCTAATGGTATCTCCAAAAAAACCTGGCCACTTTTCAGGCAGGTCATTTTGCACGCCAAATCTTAAAGTTTGAATGAGGTCGGGTTCATCAAAACTACCAATTCCATAGTAATACCGTCTAATTTATAAATGTGTGCAAAAAAAGGTCTTAAAGGGATATTTGATGTTTGAACGGCCTACACCAACCTCATCGATATAAATGACGCTCGAGTTGGTGAACTGCCTGCGGAACGCGTAGAAGTCGTCCAAATAGTTGTCTCTAGGCACCTTCATGTCCCTGGAAGCGAACAGAAGGCCGACGGCGAAACAGAAGCCGGTGATGATCATCGTCGCCGAGAAGACGGTCGAGAGCCGGAACCGAGCGTGAGCCCAGGAGCGCTCCTCCTCCGGCTCCAGAAGCCCCATCTAGCTGCTCCGCGGCGACCTCGTTCTGGGAATTATATTTATGAACTTTGCAACTTTATAAGCAAAAATTTCAACTTTATAAGCATCCGAACCAGAAAGCCAAGGAAATTCATAAGAACTTTTATTGAAAAAAATCGTTTTAATCTGCCTTGTTAGGTTAGTTATGGCGAATTCTGAACAATTTTTGTGCTTCCCAAATTTTTTTCAGAGATAACAGTCACCATTAGGGAAACATAAAAGCTCTGAAACTGATTAAGAAAAATTGAAAGGAGGGCGGAAAATGGAAAATAAATCGATGGAGAAAAAAACAAGGTCGAGAAGCAAACAGTTCATCTTCAAAAATATATGAAAAAAATAAATTTTGATTCTTAAATTCCACAAAAAGGGATAATTTTGAGCTTCGTCATCATTTTTTTATTCGTTTTTGAGCTTCGTTTTGCAAGCCTCGAAAAAGCTACACGAACCGGAAAAAAAATTTTTCCTCAAAAATCGCTCTAGTGATAAAAATACAACCACTGAAATTGTTTAACAATTCCTCCCGGTTTTTGTCCTTCTCCTCATTTTCCTCTACTTGAGGCAGATTTTTTGATCTTTTTGCCGTTAAAGAGGTTGCGGAAGGCTAGAGCGAAAACGAAAAATCAAGTGTATGAAAAACCAATTTTTGATTCATAAATTCCATTCAAAAGGTGTAAAATGGGATAATTTTGAGCTTCATCGTCATTTTTGTTCGTTTTGAGCTCCGGAAAGCCTCAAAAAACTCCAAACATCAGGAAAAAAAAATTTTCTTTTTCTCAAAAAATCGCTCTAGTGATAACAAATACCCACTAAAATTGTTGTATTCTCCAATTTTTCCCAGTTTTTTAGCCCCTCTCTTCTCTTTTCCTCGTCTACAGGCCGATGTCTGATCTTTTTGCCATTAAAGAGGTTGCGAAAACGAAGACGGAAAAAAATGTGTGAAAAAAATCAATTTTTGATTCGTAAATTTGACTCAAACGCTAAAAAAACAAAGATAATTTTGATCATTATCATAATTTTTTTGCTCATTTTGAGCTCCGGAAAGCCTCGAACAACTTCAAATACCGGAAAAAGTTTTTCTCGAAAAATCGCTCTAGTGATATCATATACCCACTAAAAATTGTTGTATTCTCCATATTTTCCCAGTTTTTTTTTGTCCTTCTCTTCATTTTCCTCGTCTTCAGGCCGATGTCTGATCTTTTTGCCATTAAAGAGGAACGGTGACGGTCAAGCTTTTCCCTCGCTTTTTTTCGCCGCTTGCTTCCCATTGGCAGTTTTTTTGGAGGCTTTTCCTCTGAGGACCGGATCCGGAAGCCTTTCTAGGTACAATATCCAACTCTTCGGAGATTGTGTGAAGGTTAAAATTTGAAGTTCGGGAGGTTTCGGGAGGTAAAGTGAAAAAAAGGATGTGTAACTGAAAAACGAAAGCTCTTCCACTTGAAACTCTTTTGATCTAAATTTTTAAAAAAATTCAATATTTCAAAATTTTGTCCAGAAAAATTTCTCCAATCGAATAGGTAGGGACCGCAAGCCATTTCTTCAGAACGATTCAAAAAATATGTGCTTTACATTGTTCCATAGAGGAGACTGTTCATTTTCATAATCCGTTTAGTTTTTGAAAAAAGGTCCACTAAGAAAAAAGTTATGGCCAAAAAACTAGCGCGCGTGGCGTACAACTGGAGGCAAAATCTCACGGTTTACCCGCTGCCGCACGCTTTCTTTTTAAATGTTTTTGCGCGTTTCTGGATTGTTTTTAAATCGGTTTTCTGTTCTGAGAGGTTGTCCGAACTGAGCCTCATGTTTTGGTATAAATCTTTTGTACAATCCTCATAAGAATTTTTGATAAAATATCAAAAAACTACCTAGAAAAAAGGTTAAAGGGATTTTTCCCCTTATTTTTCTTTTTTCTAATCGGAAAAATTATTATCATTTGGTTTGGAAAAAAGAAAAAATGAAAAATAATGTTATTTAAAAATAAAACAAGAAAAAGTAAAATTTGACTCCGAAAAACGGCTCCTGCGACATTTAAAAGGGCGCATCGGTGTGTTTGACTCAAACACTGCTACGAACGCTTGCACGAAATCTTCCGAAATTTCAAAAAAATTGCCATTTTTTTCGAGGTTTTTCAAAGCCGTTATTTTTTCGCGTCGATCGATTTTTCATAATTTTTTCATTGATAGAGTTTTTGAACGCTTAATAACCTGATCAAAAAGTATAGACGCGATCCTATTCTCTCATGCGTCAACGAGGCAGGCGAAAAAAAGGAGGTTTTTGGTAAAACTCAAATATAATTTGATTCGCTGTCCCAATAATTATTTTTCATTTTGAATTTTTTTATTTTTGGACACACTGTTAGTTTTTAAATCAAATAAAAAAAGTATACCATATCGCTAAAAAAATTTTTTTCGCATTTCAGCTTCAAAGTTTGGTGTCACTTTACAAGCTTTTAATATTTTTTCGCGTCGGTAGATTTTTTTATTTTTTTACTCAAAAAAATAAAGAAAGTGTTAATGTATAACATACTAAAAAAATTTGGAAGCGTTCCTCACTTGGTTTTTCTGAAACGCGACGATTTTTGTGAAACTTGTCAGTTTTTCGTGTTAAATCTTACTTTTTTTCGCTTATTTTTTTGAAAAAAATACATAGTTTTTAAAAGTATTCAGTCTTGTAGAGCGTTGTCGATTACATAGATTAACAGAAACAGTTCATTTTTAAAGTGGGACTTTAGCTAGTATAAACGCCTCAAAACCGTTTTTGCAACAAAAAAATCCTCATTTTGGTGGCGTGAAGGGGCGGGGCTTTGCGCCCCCTACGAATAGGTACTATTTTTTCTACACAAGCTCTTCTTAAAGACATATTCGAATCTTTTTAGAAAAGTCAAATTTTACATCTTCTTTTTTTATGTTTAAGGTAAAGTCTGACGTGAATAAGTTGGATTTAAACCTGAAGCTTTCCAAAAAAAAAAAAACTGATTTTTTTGACCATTAAGAACTGGACTCAATCGGGTGACTTTCCAACTTTGAGGGCTCAAAACTTCCTTTTAAGGCCTCCCAAGCCATTTTCAAGCACAGATTCAGCAACAGGGAGAAAAACTGCACTTGCCAAATATAGTCTCAACCTAAAAACCAGCTTTAAGACCTTCCCTTGGGTGACATATCAAGGAGATCAAAAGGACGTTTATATCCGAAGCAAAGTAACATGGGATCAGGTTCGGGCAAGCCGAGGGCCAAACTGTAAATAGAAGACTGGAATGTGGTTGGCCGCTTGGCCGTCGCAACGATAAGCGAGATCTGTTAAGCGGCCCCTGCTGCCAATATTGCATCGGATTTTTGTCACAGGGAGAGCGTAACCAGTCCCAATCGTGGCAAGAGTCAGATCATTTCCTTGTTGAAGTTTGAAAGATCAGTAAAAGAAGGGAGGATTGTTCAAAAATTGAATCAGTTTTGTAGAGTACCTTTTATAGTCCCAATTATAGAAGGGACAGATTTTTTTTGTTGAAGTTTTTTGAAAAAAACAACCAAAAAAGTGAAGATTTGAATATTTGAATATTTATTTTATTGTAGCTCATGTTATTTTACGTACTAGAGTGAAATAAATATTCAAATATTCGAATTTTCAAAGGTAATCGTTTCGAAGTGCCCGAAAAGGTCCAAAGATTATCCACATTGTATAAATTTTCCAGAATACTTTCTAAGTCCGTTCACTGCGACTTGACAGTTTTCGAGTGTCTGCGTCTCTCTGTTCCCTCACCGGCGAGGTCGCAGAAACGCGAAACAGCGCGTCATCAAGAGAGACGAGGAGGGAGCAGAGAGGCCGCCGAAAACGGATTATAATTAAACTATGAGAGCTGCTCTATCGATTTGATACCTCCTAGTTCAAGAACAAAAATAATTCATAGATTTTGATCCAGCTCGAAAAAAGTTGGTCGCATGGGGAATGGCTAAGCGCTTAGCGGCTGCGAAGCGGTTAATCCCAAAAACCGCTCTTTTTTCCTTTTTGAGCTCAGCTTGATCCAAATTGTGCGAGTACTGTTTTAAATTTTGATGAAAAAAAAACCGCAAAGTGAAATGAACTCCCTTGTTAAAGTCAATGTTTCCCGACTTGAAAGGCGAGGGAGGCGGGGCGAGGGGCGGGACGCGTAGCGTGCGCGTACGCGGCTCTTGGCGCCAGCTCTATTCAATCGCCGCCGACTATCTAAAAAGCCCGTCAACCGCTCTTTTTCTATGTTTTCTACTATTATTTTATGCACATATGAGCACAATCAATAATTAATTAAAAAAGGAGTGCAAAAAGATAAATAAGCTCTCTGAATGCTCGCTGACGGTTGAATTGAACTCGCGCCGAGAACCGCGTACGCACACGCTACGCGTCCCGCCCCTTGCCCCGCCTCCCTCCTCTTCCAAGCCGGGAAACATTGACTATAGAGACCTTTTTTTTCCAAAAGTCCTTTTTGATACTTTTTGGACTTCCCCGTGGTAAAACTCACGTAACTCATCACCCAACCTAATCTGACTAATTCCATCTTGCAGACCCATTCACTGCCTATCTCACGGATCGTTTTCAAGCCTTATAAATGCATAAAACTACAAAGGCGTCTCTTCTGCGAAATGCGTTGGAAAAGGCTCGATAAAATCTGCTGTTGATGCTGAGACCGCTTCTGCGTGTCTCAATGGAAAGACTAACAATGATGGATTATTGAACATGTTTCGGCGAGAAATATTGCTGAAATATTGCGTAAGGAATTAAGAAAGTCATTTTATTTTGCGGTTTTTGAGGTCAAAAAACTTCTTGAAATATCAGAAAACGATTCTGAAAGTCTCAATCTGCACAGTTTCTTAGTTTCCGAGAAATGAGGGCTAAAAGCCCAAAAATGGCTTATTTTAACGGATTTTGAGGGTTTTTTCTGACGGTTCGGTGTCCTTTTTCGAAAACTAGGAAGTTTCAAAGATTGAGACTTACAGGATCTTCACCTGGTACATCAAGGA